GGGCCAGCTGCAGGGTGAAATCAGGTGGGGATAATTTCACACTGGAAAGCACCAGGTCTTGAAGCCAACTGCTCAGAAATATCTGACACCTGGGACCTCTAGCTGCTATGTTTCGAATGACAAACTTTTTTTGAGGGTTGGGGGATCCCTGTCAATGCTAGTGCCCAGGGGCCTCTCCTGATGATACCTGTCTTAGTGGTGTGGGTCTAGTGATGCTGGGGGCCTCTAAGGCCACCCCAGTGGTATTCAGGGGGCCAGACAGAGCCAGATGACAAACTGGGTGCAGGGCTTACACGTTCACAGTGTATACTCCAGCACTTTAAGGGGCTTCCCAGAACTTCGAATGACAAATTCCTGAATGACTTTGTCTTTGGGCAATTAGGACATGTGTCAAGAACAGTGGAAGCAGCTAGTAGGGAAAAAAGTACGCCATGGCTCTTAGTATCTGTATGGCAAACCATAATGCCCCAAAGTAAAGAGTAAGAAAGGAAGGTGCCTGCTGCAGAGGCAGGGGGTGGGATGGGGTGGGGGTGGCAGGAGAGATACTGGGAACATTGGTCGTGAAAAATGTGCACTGGTGGAGGAATGGGTGCTTGATCATTGTATGACTAAAACTTAATCATAAAAGTTTGTAACTGTATATCTCGGTGTTTAATTTTTTTTTTTTTAAATACTCGGCAGAGTCTCCTACACCCGCTCCTGGCTGTCCTCGCCGGGGGCCCTTGGAGGGGTCGAGTTGAGTTTCCCTCCCTGCCCCGAGCAGAGCTCCGGCAGCCGAAGACCTTCAGAACCAGCCATAACCATGCTGAGACCACTCTCCACACACATGAAGGTACCAGCAGAGGAACAAAGGCATGAGGGTCCCCGGGCTGAGATCTCCAAGCCTGCTGGGATCGGGGCTGAGCATCCTCCACCCAGATCCTCCATCTTCCAGTAGGCAGGGGTCATACCCACCAACTGACCCCCTGGCGCCATGTAATCCCATCAATGGCCAAGACCCAGAGACTACAAAACCCGGCTCTCGGAAGCGCGGCCGCATTTGTGGCCGCACGACATCTTATTATCTCATTCTTACTTTGGACAATCTGGCAGGCTACCAGATGTAACCTACCCACACGGCAGAGTCTGGCAAATTCCCCGTGGTGTACCCAACATGCCAAATACCAGTAACAATGGTGGGTCTCATTCTCCTAACCCTGAGAGTCTTGAATATGGCACTTTAAAATCTCAGGGCTAGGACAAAAGAGACGTTACTGGTGCCTGCTGGAGGCAACCGACTAACAACAGGATGATTGTGATCATGACTGTTTTAATACTCACGGGAATTTTCTTGGTCACCTTGGAAACAAGAACCCAAGTCTGACTTGGTATTTTGTAAACTCTTTTTGCCTGGAGCCAGATGTAGCACTTTGTTAGGCAACACCTTGTACAGAAGTGAGCATACTTGGTAGTTCCCAGTGGGGTTTAAGGAACCATGCTTTGCTGGGATCCATCTCAGGTCTCCTGCATGTAAAACCAGGTCTCCTACATGCAAAGTATGTGTTCAGCAAACGTGAAGCTGAGCTATCTCGCTCATCATAAATTTTTTTTCTTTTGGTTTTTTGGGCTATACCTGGCAACATTCAGGATTTATTCCTAGCTCTGTGCTCAAGGATCATTCCTGGAAGGGCTCAAGGGACCATATAGGATGTTGAGGATCAAGCCCAGGTAGGCCACATGCAAGGCAAGTGCCTTACCAGCTGTATTAGCTCCCCAAATTCTCTTCTCAAATTAGGTGTGTTTAACTTGTAACTGAAGAAGTCCTAATGAATTCAGGGCCCTGCCTGCCAAGTTGAAATCTTCTTTTGATTAAAAAAAACTGGGGGTGGGGTGGGGGATAGTACAGTGGGTAGGGCGTTTGCCTTGCATGCAGCCAACCCGAGTTCAATTCCTGGCATCTCATATGGTCCTCTGAACAACACCAGGAGTAATTCCTAAGTGGAAAGCCAGAAGAACCCCTGAACATCGCCAGGTGTGACCAATAAAGCACCCCCTGAAAAATTGGGGGGTGGTGGTGCTGGATTGAATCCAGATCTTATGCATTCAGGCATGGGCTTCACTGCTGTGCCAACATTGCCTGCACCTCAGAGTTAAATTATGGAACCCCATAATTAAATTAACAAGTCTCACAATTTGTTGTGAGATGTTACTGGTGCCCGCTCAAGCAAAATGGATGAACAACAGGAGGACAGTGACAGTGACAGTGACCCCAGAGTTAAATTATGGAGCAATCTGTGTCTGCAGAAATCCCCGGAGAAATGACTGAGAAATGACTGCAGTTTGATGCAGTCTGGCTGGGCATTGTCTGAGGCTTTTTTGATTTATGTCAGAGAATTTTACGGTTTTACTCTTCCATTTGCTGCTCATATTATTGTGATAAAATAGAGAGCTGCGACATTTTTCTCAACTTCTTGGAACCAAACTGTCCAAAACTGTGGGTCAGAAACACTCTAAGCTGTATGAGATTACCAATAGCCAGCATTTCTCTCTCTCCTTTTCTCTCTCTCTCACACAAGATGTCTGGAGATGAGTAGGACTCATTTCTTGCTCAAAGGATGTAATTCACGACTTAAGACTTTCTGCTTCGATAACCTATTTTTCCTGGATGGAGGCAATACTGCAGGAACATCAAAGTATCATGATCTTCTACTACAGTCAGGAGGCAGTGGGGTCAGGCAAAATCCCTTCCTAAAGCCCCCTGATTGCTTCTGCTTAATTCTCATCAGCTGGAACTGGGTCCAGAGGTGCCAACTATAGAAGGACTGGGAAAAGAATATTTCAAGAAGTAGAAATAGGGCTGGAGTGATAGCATAGCGGGTAGGGCGTTTGCCTTGCCTGCTGCCGACCCAGGCTTGATTCCCAGCATCCTGTATGGTTTCCCGAGCACCGCCAGGAGTAGTTCCTGAGTGCAGAGCCAGGAGTAACCCCGAGCATTGCTGGGTGTGCCCTAAAACAAACAAACAAAAAGCAAGCGTAAGATATAAAATTAGCATGAGGGGTCTAAGAGATAGTTCAGTGGGCTGAGTGCTCCCATTGCCTGCAGGAAGCCCAGATTTGATCCTGAGACGCACATAAGGTACCCCTGAGCACAGCTGGAAGCAACTGTCCAAGCAAAGAGCCAGGAGTAGCATGAGCGACAGTCTGTGTATTCCTAGAGAGGGAGGGAGAAAGGAAGGGAGGAAGGGAAAAGGGTGGAAACTATCAAGAAGGAATTAAACCAGCTGTGACTTTCATCAGGAGCTAGGAGAGGCCCCACCTTTCTTGAAAGTAGTCACTCTCATCACCATCTGCAAAGTAGCAGCCTATTAGAAAATGGAGGTGCAGGGGGAGAAAAGGGAGGTGCAGGGCAGGCCCCGGGAATGCAGGGTCTACTTAGGCATTTAGGGGGCTATTTATATTTCTCAATCTGCTAGCCAGATTTTTATTATTTTTTGGGGGGGAGTGGAGGGGTCCAGGTTGAGCCACACTTTGTGGCACCCAGAGCTCTTTCCTGGCTCTGCACTCAGGGATCACTCCTGGTGAGGCTCAGGGAACCATTTGGGATGCTGGGAATTGAACCTGGGTTGGCCCCGTTCCTCAGTGATAGTTTCATGATCCCCTCCACTTCCTCTCTTGCAGTTCTGCGCAGGGATGCATGGGCACGTCACTCATCAGACTGAGTGGGTCCTGGGCTGCCACCGGATCCTATGTACGCCTAGTGGGCCTTTCACCGCTTCCAAGTCTATCAGACGATGGGGTTCCCCCTCTGCTCCATGAAGCTGCAGTTCTTGGGGGCGGTGAGAACTCAGAAGTACCTTGAAAATGTAAAGCTGTTATAGCAGGCACAGTGCCACAGATGTGAGGGTGATCCCAGTGGTTCTGCTGCTTGGGATCAGGGTACCACAACCAAGCATGGGTGATGCCTGCTCATCACAAAACAATCAAGTATGGTAGAAACAGCAGAGGGAAGGGCGTGAAGCTCAAGTTCTAAACGGCCTCTGCCCTCTGCTGCTTGTGGATTTGCTTGTCTGGTGCCTGTTTCCACTTTGCAGCCAGGCAGGGTCCAGTCAGATAGGGCAGCATAGCCAGATCTCCAGACCGCTTTTCAGAGTAACAGAGTAAAGGCCCACTGTATTGCTGTACTCCATGAACATGGGGAGGGCGGGGAGAGGAAATGCTGCCTCAGGGAGCCTCGGGGGCTGCTCAGGTCTTGGAAATACTCAGTTCTACTGAGCCTCACACAGAACCAGTGTTTCTCTGGCCTCAGGGCTGGTGAGGGTAGAGGCGAGGTTGAGGTTCCTGCTAGGTTAGCACATATGTGAGTGTGTGTGTGTGTTTCACAGGAGTGTCAGGTGCTCTAAGGTCACAACAAATAGGCCTCTGGGGCTGGAGAGATGGTACTTGCCTTGTATGTGGCTGACCCAGGTTCAATACCTGGTATCCCATGTTGTCCTCCAAGCCCGCCAGGAATGAGCCTGGAGCACAGAGCCAGGAGTAAGCCCTGGGTGAAGCCCCCCAAAAACAAAACAAGGCTAGTTGGTTTCAGTCCTCACAGTCTTTCTCCTCTCTGCTTCATAGGAGACAGCACTAGGCACCAGAACGGAGAGCTGAGACCAAAGCAGAAAAGTAAGTGGTAAAGCAGAGACGAAGGAGGAGGAGTCTGGGCAGGGCTTCGGCAGCCGAGTCTCCTGGAAGCTGGAGAGCAATCCCCAAGGGCAGCGAGGAGGACTGGGCCCTGGCCCAGGGGACAGGGAAGGATGAGTGCCTGAGGCTGGGGACAGCCCGAGAGTAGGAGGGAAGGCCCAGAGTGCCCTGGGGAGGGAGGGTATCCCACAGGGAGAGCGCTGGAATTGGGGAAGTTCTGACACTCTGACTCTTCCATTGGGAGGCCCAGAGAACTGGCATTCGGACTGAACCAGCATTCGGTGTGAGGGCGAGAGGGGAAGGACGCAACACACAAGCACCACCGACAAAGAAAACCACACGCAATTGTACTGTTTTATATAGAATTTGTACAATATATTTCTCTTCATTTGCATATTTTATCTGCAACTTAACATTCTTTGTACAGGCTGAACTCACTCAGCTAATATAATCAAAATTCTTTCTTTCAACCAATAAGAAAAATTCAAAATCGTAAACCCGTAAGAAAACAAATTAAAAACGATGATGAAAATAAGTCACTCCTCTCATTAGGAACAGTGTCTGTTTGTACAATATATATGATTTGGAACAGATTTTCTTTATAGATTAGGCACATGTTTCCACAATACCTTTATTCCTGCCAGTTATATCTCACTGCAGGCAGTCCTGCCTCCTAAGAAGGTCAAAGGGACGTTGGCCTCGAAGGAAATCCCTCTTTCCCTTACAGTCGGCTTCGGTGAGGGCCAGCTGCTGTGGTAGCCACTGGCGGACAGGGCCAGAGTAGGCGCTGGGTCTTGCTCAGCGGCGCCACCCAGTGGCCGGAAGCAGGGGTGGGGTGGGATGCAGGGGCCCTGCCAGGAGAGCAGCCGTTCGGCATGAAGGGAAAACTCAGGCTTGTTCTAAGTAAGCGGAAGTACAGAGAAACCAGAACAGCAAGGGTGGTGGAGGGAGACAAGCTATGAGGAGCCCAGCGTTTATTTACGACTTGTCGTCCTGCCGGGAAGAAGGGGAACGAAGCTGTTGGCAGCTGCCCTGACAGGCGGGGCCCCCGCCCGGCCCACAGTCCTGCTCTGCCCAGGTCAGCAGCCAGCGCACCGTCTCGGTGTCTCTCCTCAGACAGTCCACCCTTGGAGTCTGTGCCCACCTGCTCCCTTCTCACCGAATCCGGGGCCTTCTCTGGAAAAGCAGGCAAAGATGGGGAAGGGGATTCTACCCGGCTGGCAGAACAGTTCCCGCAGCCAGGGCACCAGGCCAGGCACACACCTTGCTAACGTCATGTTCCTTCCTGATGGTTCCACAACACAGCCTCAGGCCTGGGCTAGAATCTAGCCGTGAGGCTGAGGGAAGTTGCCACATGTTGGCAGAAGTATTTGTACAGGAAGAGGTTCCTGGGACCTGCAGTCTGGGCCCTGCCCCTGCGGACCCTGCAGAGGGAGCTTCCACGGCCATGGCAGTGCCCACCTGTCCACCTGGCACTGCCAGGCCTGTGTGGAGAGCAGTATTGGGGCTCGCACACCTGCCCTTGAATGCAGCCACTGTGGACCTCTCCCACGCTCACAGACCCTCCGAGATCTGCACGCAGCCCAGGGGCCAACCCAGCCTCACTCTCCAAAGTGTGACCTTGAAAAGAGAATCACCATCAGCACGTCAGGGCGAGATGACAACCCTAAAAAGGAAAATGGCAAACAGCCCTCATAAGAACGAATGGAATTATTGCTAGACGTGTGACAGCAGAGTAACCACACAGAGTCTTAGTGGTAGGGGTGATGGTGACCACACCATCCTGTGTGTGTGTGTGTGTGTGTGTATGTGTGTCATCTTAGGGTTTTTATATTTTTGACTTCTAAGATAAGATCTCTGACTGCACTTCAAGTCCTAGGTACAGACGCTGGAGAACACTCCTTGGTTCTGCAACTCTTACCCAAAGCAGTCTGGCCCACTGGAGGCCTGGTCACTGCTCACTCTCTGGAGGCCCTCTAAGGGAGTCTACGTGGTTCTATTCTAAAAACGTGAGGGGGAACTAAAATATGTCAAGACAACAACTTAAAAAAAAGTGGCTATGCTGGGAGCCATGCATGAGCAGGAGCACACGTGGCCGCGGCTGTCCCCAAGGGCACTTGTCTTCACTGAAGGTTTCTCTGGGACGCTGCCAGGTCCTGTGCTGAGCGCATGGGACCAGGTGTTGGCCAGGAAGGGAATCTCGCTGGTTTTGATTATGACTGTCCAGTCTCAAGAAGCAAAAGCTGGTCCCTGCACTGCAGCCGAAGGGCTTGCTGAGAATGCGGCTGTGCGCACACGCAGGCTGTCCAGGGCCAGCGCCAGGGCGCCCACCCGCCTGCCCAGAGAGCTCTGTCCCATGGGGCAGTGGCCAGGTCCTCCAGGACTGCAGCTCCTGCAGGCAGACCCTGGGGAAGGCTGGCTCCTGAACAACCTTCTCAAGAGCTTCTTGCTTGTCTTTTCTGGGTCCCTCAGCATGGTCCTGCTTCTTTTCACATGCTGTGGTGTGTGCAGGGGTCGAGTCGTAATTTGGGAAGTTCTTGGAGGTCTGGCTGCTTGGTTTTCTCATCAGAGTGGAAGTGGGAACTCGAGTGCAGGAACTTTCCTGGACGAGGTCAGGTGTCTCTCCAAAAGGCCTGTGGCCAGATCAGCTGGCTCCGTGCATGCCTCACCGGGCTAACACTCTATATTCCAGAGGCAGGTGGCCTTGTTGGGGTAGTTGATGGCCAGGCTGATAGCAGCAATGTTCTGCAGAGCCTGTGGAGGGAGACAGTCATTGCCAATATCCAGAACTGTTCCCTCACTTGCTCACTAAGTGCTAACAGAGCAAGAGCCTCAGCCAAGCACTTGCCACAGGGAGAGGAGGCGGACACGAGCCAGACTCAGTTCCCCTCACCTGGAAGACGGTAGTCTAGTGAGGAAGAAAAAGGAACCAAGACCACATGAGAATGTCAAACCTCCAGCCCTACAAGGGGCTGGTGTACTGTTTGGAGCTCTGAGTAGCCAGAGGGGCTAACGTTTGCTGGGGACAGGGATGTCTAGGAGACTCTTCAGGGACAGCAGACAGTATGAAAGTATAGGTGGGGCTGGAATGAGTACATACTACAGTGGGCAGGGGCGTTTGCACGGCTGACCTGGGTTTGATCCCTGGCATCCCATATGGTCCCCCAAGCACTGCCAGGAGTAATTCCTGAGTGCAGAGCCAGGAGTAACCCATGAGCAATACCAGGTGTGACGCAAAAAGACAAAAAAAGGGAAAAAAAAGATATTAAAGACATCTGCAAAAACGGAACATAATGCCACCATTCTCAACCTTTATTTTGTTGTTAATCTAGTTGTTCTGCATAACACGTTTTTCATGATGACATAAAGAGGGCTGTTATTCAGGTTATTTATTTATTTCAGTATCTAAGGGCCACCCCTGGTAGAGCTCAGTACTCACTGGCTCTGTGCTCAGGTATCACACTTAGCAGTGCTTTGGAGGATCAAATGCAGTGCTGGAGGTTTAAGAAAGGTTAGTGGCAGGCAAGGCAAGTGCCTAACTCCTGTATTATGTCTCTGTCCTGTGGACTGGTTATTTCTTAAAATTGGTAAAAGTTTACCATTTTTCTTGCTTAATATCTAATTTGAATCCCAAATTTACAACCTAATTTAATTTGTAAATATATGTATATATACTTATATAAAACTGTGTACATAGTACACAGTAATTTAAAAGCTGCACTGCAGGGGCAGCTCAATCAACTGAATGCACTTTATCTGCTATATCCCCGAGCACCACATCCACCCTCCACGAACTGGGCCAGGACTTAGACCCCCAAACACTCCTAGGTGTGACCCAAAACCAAAGGTAAAGGTAAAGTGAGTGGTCGCAAGGTCAACCTAAAGACCCAAAACCAAATAATAGAAAATAAAAAAAACTCTAAGAATGTAAAGAACAGAGCTCCTCAGACTGAGCAGCTGTCAAGAGTTTTCCTACCAGGGAAGCAAACTGCGTCCAGAAGTATCTGAAATCTAATTCCACGGCAATGTCGGGGATCTGCCAAGCAGTGAATTTAAGGATTCGGTTGTTTTGGTTTTAAAAGTACAAATTCTTGCTCGTGCCCTCTAACCCTGCACTGACTGTGAACAACACTGACAGACGGGGCTGAGCGTCTCTTGGGCACCAGGGAAAGTGACTGAACTGGCACAGAGCCTAGCTAAGCCCGGTGGCATCTGTCCTCATGCCTCGGACACAGAGGCTGGTTGTCCTGCCACAGGGAGGTGGCACTTAGCTGAGAGGGACAGCTGTGGGGATGGAATACCTGTGCGGCGCAGCGGAGAAGATGGTCATCGGTGGTTAAGGCCAGCAGGTAGTCCTGCAGCAAGCCAAGCTCCTGCAGAGAGACCAAAGCCCAGATTTCACCCACCCAAGCCCCCCCCATGAGCCTGGACCAAGCCAAGTGCTCATCCGCACAGGGGAACTGGGGGAAGGGTCCCAGGGTACTCTGGCTAGGCAGGGACCCCTCTGTGGGTGTTTCCTTGTGTTTAAAGTATGGGGATGAGCGAAAGAATGTTGAAAGGCCCCTTTCATCTCAATTCAATAAGCCTATTGTACTCAGAGGAGGAAGAATCCGTGCGGTTTCTTTTCCACAACTCACTGCTGTCCAGACCACCCCCTCTTGGTGTTGGGCCTGACAAAACAAGGTGGGGTGCTGAGCCCAGGGCTTCCAGGGGCTGGGAAGGGGAGCATCCAGTCCTGCTGAGAATGGAAGACTCCCCAGGAAGGAGATGGGCCCGAGGTACAAGTTCTTCCCTCTCATCTGGGCACCTCATGGAGGTGCTGCATCCCCAGAAGTCTGGGTGCACAGCAGGTCCCTCACCTGTGCGCGGTTCTCGGTGACGAAGAAGAGCTCAGTGAGGGCGCGGTGCAGGGGGACGAGGATGCGACGCTGTGTCACGTCCTCCAACAGGCTGTACTCCATATTGCTGAAGAGCTGCCACAGGGGCTTTAACAGCGCAAGGTCGCAGAGGTCACTGTGGGAGGAGGTTATGTTTACAGAGAGCGCAGGTGGCTGACAAACTCACCTCGCTCTCCACCACTCCCAGTGAAGTCATCACTCTTAGCCTGCCCCGCTCCCCCTGAACAGCCACAAATAGTCATCCCCAGCAAACAAGAATGGGGCAGAACCTACAACACAAACCAGATCGAACGCACACAGGGGTCCCGAGTTGCGAAGCAGACCAAGGAACTCTCTCAAGATAGATGTTAGGTGGGAAAGTGTAAGATATAGAACTGCCTTTATAGGGTCACAGGAAAGGGCCAAGGAATGTGGCTGACATTCAATCCCTGTTCAATCCCTGGCCCTAGAAAAGGCGCTCCAAGCACCACCAGGGGTCACTCTTGAGCATAAAGCCAGGAAAAGCCTCTAAGCACTGTTGGTGTGGTCCACAATCCCTCAATGCAGGAACAAATTTTAATTTAAAAAATTAAAAAACCTGCGTATGTAGTTTCGTCACCCTTTTTAATAACAGTAAACAAATACATAGAAAAATATTATCTTTTAACTTATCAGTTTTCCAGCTTCTCTACAATACTTACTGATTTACTAATGTTGAAAAGACAAGTCATTATTATGTATCTTAGGCTCACAAAACATAAGACATATGTATGTAACGTAAAGTTGTGCACATAAAGTTTGTTTTTCTGTTTTTTTTTTTTTTTTTTTTTTTTGCCACACTCAGCAGTGCTCAGGGATTTCTCAGAATCTTGGCTCTGCACTCAGGGTTCACTCCAGGTGGTACCTGAGTATCGAACCTGGATGGGTTGTGTACATTTTTCTAAGGCTCTCCAAGGTGTGAAACAGTCGGGGGCAGAAACGGGGGTTTCCTCTAGGATTCAGACAACAGGGTGCAGAGGATGTATTCCTACTGGAAGGAAGATTGGCTGTGCCAAAGAAGTGCAGGAATGCAACCATGAATCAGTGGAGATGGTGTGTTTCATGAACCTCACTTAATCAGACAGTTCTCACCAGAAGCTGCTTCAGAAAGAAGAGAGCTAAACCTGGGGGATCAGTAACCCCTGATGTTTGCATTGGGCCCTTTAGAGAGCTGGGGACTGACTACACCGTCACCATCTTATCCCTGTCTTGGAGAGATCTTTTGTGGTAGGAGGTATTTGGACTATATGACGTGGTACTCAAGGGCTACTCCTGACTTTATGCTCAGGGGTCATTCATTCCTGGCATTGCCTAGGGGACCATCTGCAGTGCTATGTATCAAACAATGGTTGGGTATGAGCAAGACAAATTCCTTTTTTTTTTTTTAAGTAACAGATTATAGTAGTTAAATTACAACCTGTAGCTTAAATATTAACACCACTCTGACTAGCGTATTAAAAATATGGAAAAGAGTAGAACTATACTAGCAGTGAGGGTGTCCACCCAGAGGGCAGGGATGGAAGTGGAGCAAGGATGAAACAGGACAGAATCACCAAAGCTGCCTAAGAACGAGACAGTTATTTCTGTAGTCTCCACTTCCAGTTACACTTCACAGGTGGTCCTGGCTTGTGCAAAAGGCCCAAACAGTTTCGAAGGCTTGAGAGGAAGATCTAAGGTTCATTATTTGTAGATAACATGTGTGCTGGATAATTTACATATACAATCTTAGAAGAAATGGGAGTATACAAAAATAAACTGAATACTAGCAAAACCAAAATGAAATATGTATTTATTCACTTCTTTCTTTTTTTTCTTTTTGGGTCACACCCGGCGATGCACAGGGGTTACTCCTGGCTCTGCACTCAGGAGTTACTCCTGGCGGTGCTCAGGGGACCATATGGGATGCTGGGAATCGGCCGCGTGCAAGGCAAACGCCCCACCCGCTGTGCTATTTCAGCCCCTATTCACTTATTTCTGTAAATCCTCTACATAAGAAACCACAAGGGCAGAGCTAGTGTGGCCCCCTACAGGCACACGACCTTGTGTTGGCTCCCAGCACTATGCAGCACTGGAACCCCTGGCACCACACCACTGGGACCTCCAGAGGTCACACAGATGCATATGATCTTAGTGTGCATTGTAGGAAGTTGGCAAGCACTGCAATTAACTTTGCATCCATGAACACTGCAGCAGCAGCAGTGACAATAGGGAGGGAATAAGAAAAAAACAAGGTATGAAACATAACTAGGTAGCTGGGGTAGCCATTTAAAGGGCTGAAGCATAGACCCTCCACAAGGCAACCCGAGTTTCACTTCCTGGTACCACATGGTTCCCTAAGCATAACTGGATATGGCCCTGGTGACCCCTGAGCACATCTGGGTGTGGCCTGCGGGTTGCCCCATCACTGCTTGGGCCCAACTAGCATTCTATTCCAGGTCAAACACAGCCAGGTTGAACACTCATCTGGAACCCCTTACACATGCAAAAATAACTTACTTAAACAATGGCTGTGGATTATTATTATTAAAGACTCTATTTTAAATACATTATTCTTTCCAACTGACTTAAAGAGCCTATCAAAGTCCTATCAGATAAATGTGTGTGTGGAAATCGATTATCAGAAGCAAGAAAAGGATGTTTTCTTGCCACTTCTGTCGAACATATAGGAAGATAGGAAGTTTAACCCATGAAACTCCATAATATTGTAAACCAATAGTAAATCAAGGATGAAACAGGACAATCACCAAAAGCAAACAAAACACAATGTTGTAAGTTATACTCAGAGCTATTATGCAAAACAAACAAACAAAAAAGACATTATATCTGGAAAGGAAGAACTATCCTACTTGAGATTAAATCAAATTATACATAAATATATAAGACCCTTATATATTATATATTATCTTATTTATATTATATACATAAGATCCTAAAGACCACTCCAGAACTACTAGAACTAACAAACCAATTTGGTGAAGTTGCAGGCTACAAAACCAATACAGAAAAACCAACTGCATTTCTATTTATTATCAGTGAATATGGCAAGGAGAAATGAAGGGAAAGCCTTTGAAATGGATTAAAAGAAACAATGTAATAAAAAAATCCTTAGACATTTAATCAGGAGGTGAAATTCTGTACATTGAGAGCTATATAAAATAAAGATGAGGTGCTTGGAGAAAGAGCGCAATGGGCAGGGGACTTGCCTTGGCATGTGGCTGACCTGGTCCCTGGCACCCCATAAGGTCTCCTGAGAACTACCAAGAGTGATCCCTGAGTAAAGAGCCAGGGATAAGGCCTCAGCACTTCCAGGTGTGGCCCAAAAACCAATAAATGAGGCAATAGTGCAAATAGTGGTTGCATGCAGTTGACCCCAGTTCGATCTCCATGGCTGCCCAAACTTGGGTGCGACCCCCAATAGTGAGGCATCCTCAGTCCTACTGGCCAAGAATGTCCAGGAGGGGCTCTTGAGCACTACTTGCAGAACCTCTCCCCAAACACAAAGAAACTGAAGAAGATACAAAGAAATGGAAAAATATGCCATATTATGGACTGAAGAATTAGTGTTGTCAAAGCATTAACAACACTATAAATAGAATACATGAAAATGTATATAGTGTATTCTAAGTTCACTAATTTATTGATAAAATTAATTCATACTTAATCCATTATTACTTTAATTAACACATGTGGTGACAGGAATCAAACTTAGGGACTCGCACATGCAAGGCATGCACTCTTCTACTTAAATTATACCCCAGTCTAAGAAAAGATGGGATTTTATTCTGTTTTTTAAAAATCTGAAGTGGGAGACAAATTCAGAGCTTAATCCTAGTTCTGTGCTCAAGGGTCACTCCTGGTGGTGCTTCGGGGACCATTGAGATGCCAGGGATTGAACTGGGGATAGCCACATGTGAGGTAAGCACCTTAGCCCCCATCATCTCTCTCCAGTCTGGTCTTTTACTTGTTTATTAATTTGTTCTATAGGGACTATACCCAGTGGTACTCAGTGGCCAGCAGGGCCATACCTGGAGGTGTTCTGGGGGCCCTAGAGTGACAGGAATAAAACCCAGGGCCCTGCACATATCAGGCATGTGTTCCACACCTGTGAGCCACATTCCCAGCTCCTATAGACACCACTTTTAAGTCAAGTGGAGATGCAAGTGAGAAAAAGTAATCTTGACCCCTATATTTCATATCAGAATTAAAATTTATTCCACATGAGTTTGCGATCTAAATGTGGGGGAAAAAAAAAACAACCAAAAAACCCAACAAGCTTCCAGACCAGTGGCCTTCAACTGCCAGTCCACAGACTGGTGTGGGTCTGCTGGTGCCAAAGGTTGGCAGGTACTGGTCTACCATCTTGGTTAGAACTGCCCACCCAGTATCCAGTCTGCAGATCAGGTGCTGGTCTGCAAGTGTAAAACAGTTGAAGAACACTGATCTAGAAGGTAGCATAGGAAACAGCTTCATGATCCCAAGGCTGAGTGAGGCCAGAATTTCCCAATTCAGGTAACAAAAGCATTAACCATTAAGGAAATGCTGATAATTTTCAGTAAGATCTAAAATTAGAAACATCCAGGAGATAGTGTGGGTGCTTAAGTGTCTGCTTTGAAAGGTGAGACCCTGATTTTGTTTCGTGGTGCTGCTGCACGTGCCAAGTGCAATCTTGGCAGCTCTGTGGTCTGTGATCTGGTGCTCAAGTGATTTCCATGAGGACTGCAGCCAGCCAGGTACAGTGTGCCACACCCAGCAAGCACCTTAGGAAAAAGATGCCCAAACCCAGGAGTGCAAACTGAGGCAAAGGCATGTGTAGTGAGCACCATGGTTTCCTGCAATAAACACTATAACCAGAACGTGTGCATACACCATAACTATAAAGTACTCCTCGGGGAGCACCACAGCTAAATGTGGAAGCACCATATCCAAACCTGTGTGTGCGCTCTGGTCACTGCAACATCAACAGAGGGAAGGGGAGGATAAAGTGAATAAAAAGGCAAGCCACTGAGAGGGAGGACATATTGGCAATATAAACATCCCACTTAGGCCTCCTGCCTGGAAGGCAGCTTACCGGCGGCTACAGCATCGCACGATCCTCAGAAGAAGATGGATGGCTTTTAATCGCTGATGACCAGTCTGGCGACAGGCCACACCTACCATCCATTCCCAAATTTTGGACAACGGGAGATGCCGCACAACTTTCTTTTCTGACAACATTTTCTTCAAAATTTCGTATCCTGGTTGACCCACACAAAACACAGATATTTAAAAATATGAACTATTCAAGTTTAATAACTAGAATGAAAAAATTGTGACCATTCAAATTTTGCCAGAAAATATATTTTTGTCAATATCATTATAAATGCTTTTGTAAAAGCAACATCAGAACAGTATTTTTCAGCTCTTTTTTTTTGCAAAGTGCTCGAGCAAATTCTAAAAGAGCAACAATTGTTTAGGTCCCAAAAAACCATCTATTTTCTTTCTGGCCATTCAACATTAAATGAGTTAACCATAGTATCTTCAAGAGTGATAGATATATGTGGGGTTAGTGGGAGTCTTAAAGAAAAAAGAACCTGCTTTGATTTTAACAAAGATCAGTGGGATAACAGGCCCCTAAACCAGAGAGTCCCTGGAAAGGAGATGATGGAGTCAGAAAGGTCAAAGCACACACCTGTCTGGAATCGTCCCAGGTGTCCTGCAGTCACAGTGAATCTGTAGCCCCACTCAGTGTTGCTCATGTCAGAGGTGAAGCGGTAATAGAGAGTGTCTCCTGAGGCACAAGAAACAGAAACAAGTCAGGGGGTGGGCAAGAGATGGTATAGCAGGTAGGGCACATGACTTGCATGTGGCTGACCCTCATGTGATCCCTAGCACTGTCAGGAGTGATCCTTGAGAGCAGAGGCAGGAATAAGCCTGAGTACTGCTGGGTGTGGCCCCTCAGTGCCCCCACTCCCTGCCAAAAAACAAAAAAACGAAACAAAACAAAAAAAAGTCAAGGGCCAAGGAGACAGGACAGAGAAAGGTCTTGCATGTGGCCCTTAGTTCATAAGTACTACTGGGTACAGCCTCCTTAAAACAAACAAAAATGTCTAGAGAAGCCAGTCCAGGGATATATCTCAGGTAGTAGAATGTGTAAGATCCTGAGTTCCATAACTGACAATACCTGTACCCCACCCCTACCCCACCTCAGCACTGCCAGAATTGGCCACTGGTCCTTGAGCACTAAAGGGTGAGAGTACTTTTTTTTTTTAATTTAAAAAAAGAAAAAAAGTCTATGTAACATGGGCTGGGGAGACAGTAGAGCGGATCTTGCATGTGGCTGACCTGGTTGTGGTCTGCTGATCACCACCAGGAGTGATCCTAAAGGGCAGAGTGAGGAATAATCCATAAATTCCGCTAGGTATGACCCTCCCCCGCCAACCAAAATAAATAAATAATTCTTTTAAAAAATTTTAAAATTAGGGGCCAGAGAGAGCACACAGTGGGTAAATGGCCCATACGGGTTTGATCCCTGGCATCCCATATGGTTCCCTGAACACTGTCAGGAGTGATTCCTGAGTGCAGAGCCAGGAATAATCATTGTGCATCACTGAGTGTGGTCCAAAACTAAATAAATAACCAAGAAAGCATTTATTACTACCTGGAAGCTCAAAATCTTTCCATTTCTGCTGAGACCCGCTGAAATTATGTCGATCCTGCTGAAAGTCACTGCTGCTCGACATGGCTAATTCATCACAGCCTTCCTCTGTATTGCACTGAGAATCAAATTTGATTGAGAGGTAGATTGCCCCAGGAATGTGAACTTTATCCTTGGGAGAAGAAGCAGAACACACACTATGTCATTACTCAATTGATGGATATTTCCTGAGAACTTACACCATGCGGGTGTGGTAGACAGTTGTGGAAAAAATCAGATCAGGGAAGTTCAGCTCTGCCCACTAGGATCTCTTTGGCTAACTGGGGCCAGCTGACCAACAGGAAGCACGACAGAAGGACACCTGTGCACATCAAGTTATGGCAAGGTGGGAGTCACTTGGAGAAGGGGAAGGCAGAAGAGTCCCAGTGAGGTGGTTCTCAGGCTGTAGTGAAGAATTAAGAGGACAGGGAGTCCCCAGGAAGAGGCTGAGGCTGGTTAGAGGCGTGGGGAGGAGGTGATAGAGCACATGGAGGTCACTTCAGGCAGTTAGGACAGCACTGAAGTCTGACATGAGCAGCGGATTTCAAGGAGCTAGATGTGTTTGGAACAAAGGGAGTATGTGTGTGCACATGTCCTTGGTGGGTGATGACAGGGTTGACATATGACCCAGGAGAGGCTGGCAGGGACAGATGGTGGCAGTCTATGGTGGTCAAGTGAGGAGTTCAGACTTTGTCTAGATGGTGGGTGAGCTGGGGAAAGGACGTAGCAGGAGGAATACTTGTGAGATCTGTGCTGTGCAAGAGCAGCTGGCATGGAGCAGGCATAGGCTGGGGGCTGGGGGCAGCTGTGGGAACCAGAGGTGGGAGGAAAGTCTGGCGGTGGAAGTAAAGGAGGGAGTCTTTAGGGAAGACTGGCCAGCTTACTGGATTCACCTATGACAGAGTGAAGGAAGAGGCGACAGCCCAGGAATGAGGGGAAAGCAAGGAGGTTTGTATTTCTGTAATACAAAATCTCAGCTGAGAAACAACCAAGTTCCAAATTAGTTTCTCTGTCATCCACCGTAAGTGTTAGTCGGTGCTGTCTATGCAGAAGCTCCTGCCTCATCTAAGCTTCTAACTGTTGCCTAGGTACAAAAGTAAGGAGGGAAGAGTTCTGGGTATAAACAAAGGGGCCAGAGACTCCAAGGCATGGCAAGGTAGTCAGGAGGTGGCTTAGGAGGGATGAACCCCAACCCCTGCAGGAAGCCAGCTGCAGGGAGAGCCAGCCTCCCCCAAGCCTTGGGGGTTTTCTCTTACTGGAACAGAGATGGCCAAGAAGAGAGAAGACCTGAAAATGAAAAACCCCTGGCTTCAGAGAGGCTGGCTATAGGCTTCCCCAAGAGCACCTTTGCCCCAGGACTGTTAGAGCGGGAAAGGGCGCCAATTGCTGAGCTTCTTCCTTCCCAGCACACTGAGTCTGGATCGTACCTCAAAGTTGGTATTGTTGTTGTATGGATGTTTGGATTCCCGCACTTGCACCTCCATCCCTGGCTCCTCCATGAACTGGCAGGCAGCCAGAGCCATGGTTCCCAGCATGCTCTCCTGGCAGCCTCGGAGCACCTTCTGCAGGATCTGGCAGGACACAAGAAGGAAATGTCAGGGTCAGAGAGAGAGTGTGTGTGTGTGTGTGTGTGTGTGTGTGTGTGTGTGTGTGTGAGAGAGAGAGAGAGAGAGAGAGAGAGAGAGAGAGAGAGAGAGAGGCGGGAAGGAGGAAGGGACAGAGAGAGAGAGAGAGAGAGAGAGAGAGAGAGAGAGAGAGAGAGAGAGGAAGATGGGGGTAGCGGGGGAGGGGATCTTCACATTTACCCATTCAGGAAGAAGGGAGAGTCTACTTCAACCCAAGGGCCACCCCCAGGGCTGGCACCATTTAGGATTCTGACCCAACCCCATCTTTCATGGAAGGGGCCAAGCTATGGGCCTTGCTTTTGGACCAACACTGTTTCAAGGGGGAAGCAGCATTCTACTATTAGGGCTATGAGTCCAATCCCGACAGCACCTGAGAGGGTCTAGTCCCTTCAGACTTCTGAGTCTAGCAGGGCCCTGGATATACAGGTTAACAATTATAGCACCATGGGACAAATGACCAGGTGGGTAAGGAGCAGAATTAGGAGCTTCAGGGGGGCAAGAATGGGAGAAGGACATATTCGATAGATGAACGGGGAAAAAATCGCTCCCTTCTGCCACTTCAAATGAAAACTCAGGCTACACAATTTGCCAACAATTCCAAGTGGCCCAAAGGCTGTGGAGGGACAAAGGGGCTTAGCAGCTGGTGGTGGGAAAGGTAAGGATTAGAGGGTAAAGCCACTTACTAATGAATCCTCATCCATTACAGTCTATGTAGAAAAGAGTGAAAGGATGTGAGGGGTAGATAGTGTGTGGGCGTCGCAAGTGGACAGTAATATAGGAAGTAGCAGAAGTGACTCAAGATTTCTGCACTTAAGGGTGCAACTCTGCCATAGAGAACTTAGCTCGATTTTTCATGGAAAAAATTCTCTCAGGGTTTTATGTAACACTGATACGCCAGTGGAGAAGACATTCTGGAAGCTAATCTGGTGCTCTGGAATTTCCATTAAGTGACACTCTAGAGGGGGCAAGAGGCTAACAACAACAACAACAACAACAACAACAACAACAACAACAACAGACTGGTAGGAAACAGAAGAGGGAGTCTGCAATGGCAGTTTCAAACGCCCAAGCACCAGGGCACCCCTTGACTGTGGCGCTCAACTCTAGGCCAGTTCTCAGAAGTGAGTGATCGGTCTGCAGGGAGAATCACGCAGAAAGCTTACCAGAGGAAGCCTGCACAAACACGAGGGCTGGCAGGAGTAGGAAAGAAAGGTGGAGTGAATCATGTCTGCTCAGCGAGGCCTGCTCAATTACCTTCTCCCACTGTTGCTTTTCTTCCAGCTGCATGAACATATCCAAGATATAGGTCATATGTGCAGGGCCGCTGAGCTCCAGGATTTCCTCGCTCACTGGAATGTTACTGGGCCACTCAGCGAGCAAGCAAGCCAGCACATGGCGGGCATACAGGACGGCCGTAGCGTCATTCACGCGGAAAAGGTAGTCCCGTACAGCCCTCTTGGTCTTGCAATTAAGCTCCTTGTGCAGAAGGGCGGCACTCTTGCTCCGCCGCTGCTTGGCATAGCTCTTCTGAAGCTCGCTCTCTGTGCAGGAGATCAGTTTCTGGGTCACTGGGTTTGATTCAGGAGTAGCCTGGGTGCAGCATACAGGCCGGGACTGTAAAGGCAAAGACCACTGTTACAGAGGCCTGGCCTTACAGTGGGGCTGGGTGGAGGTGAGTGCTGAGGGCAGACACTGTTTCTAACATGGAGACCTACCAGGCATGGCAAGATAATCATGTCTGTATCCACAGCCTTGGCATTTTGCTCCTCTAATCTCAGGCTCCTCCTAGGTTGCCACTTCTGAGCCAGGGTCCGTATCTTTTCATCTGTGGCGAGTTCATCTCCATCAAACCTGAAGAAAATGAAGATGTAGTTTATATACACAATGGAATACTAAGTAACTGAAAGGAATGATGAGACCATGCAATTTGCTGCAACAGGGATGGAACTGGAAGACGTCATGTTAAATGAAGCCAGGAGAAGGGCAAACACAGGATGCTATCACTTATATGTGGTACTTAGAGTAGCAGGATGAAGAAATGCAATGTTTTAAAGCGGGGATGCTCAGATCACACTGGGCCCCAGAGTATACAGGAAAGAAAGAAATAAGGTGAAGGGGAGAGAGAAAAGAGAAAGATGAGAAATAATGGGAGAGGCAGTGGTCAAGGGGATCCTTGTACATGGGTGGTGTGAATGAATAATAGAGCTAAATATCCAAGCCACAGAGTCAATCACACTCAATAACTATAATGACTTTGTAAATCATGATGCTTTAATAAAATTTTGAAACCAGAAAAAAAGTGAGCATAAAATTGGGAGTACAAATTACAGAAAGACAAAGCTTTGCCTGCAACGAAACATGACAGAGATGTTGGCCAGAATTATATTCCTGCTATTTTGCAAATACACCGTGACTTCCTATATTCTGTAAACTAGATTCACAGTGTTCATTTACTCATGCACGCTGATGTGCTCTTGTTGTAGGGAATGCAAAATGTCTCTCAAGATCCATTCTCCTGCCTTTTAGAAACAAAGTTCCCTAAAGTTTTAGTAAGATCCATAATGGTTCAGCAAGAGGGCCAATCCTCCTACAGCTACAGGTAGGAATGCAAACAGATGCTTGCCTCCAACAACTGGATGAAGGCTGCTTTCCTTCAGTGGCTTAAACAGTTGGTAATAGTTGTGTTACCAAGAGAGAAATGGAATATATGCAACTCAACTTGAAGGAAATCCATGCAATATAGCACAGCCAGCTTTTATGACCTTTATGAAGAACTAAAACCCAGTCTGCATCTGCTCCTTTGTCCAACAGTACCCAGACTCAGTGAAAGAAGATAAACTCCATCTTGCTCTCACCAAACTTCCACTGCTTCTAATGGTTCTTACCTCTTCTGAACCTCCAGAAAGAAAGAATCGGTCTTTTTCATTTGCAGTTCATATATGGCCCGAAGAATGTGTAGAGGGGCATTGAGGGCATCATGAGCCATCTGAAGGCCACGAGAAGGAAGTAGTGAGTTTAAACATTGATAATTTGAACACACTGATAATCTGAACTTAAAAGTGTATATTCATTTGCTAAAGTTACCAGAGGTTATCATTAATTTTATAAAAATAATTAAAAAAATTTTAAAAAGCTATACTTAAAAAAAAAATAAAGCATATATAAGGCCCAGAAAAACAGTATAGCGGGGAGAATATTTTCCCTGCAAAGGGCCAACCTGGCATCCCTTATGGTATCCCCAAGCACTACCAGGAGTAATTCTTGAGTGCAGAGCCAGGAGTAATCTCTGAGCATCACTGGATGAAGTCCCAACTGCGTCCCCACCTGCTCTCCCCCCAAACACAGAAAATATTAAGTCCTAAAACAAGAATTGCAAAAAGGATAGCACCATAATAAGTTCAAAGGAAAATATAAAAGGAAAAAGCCAATAAAACACAATGCTGAATATGTAACACCACTTCTCTTTAGCAATCTTACACTCAAGTTTCACAAGTAGCACATAGATCTAAGTACTGTGTTTTTTTAAATTCTTTTAAAAGAGTACTTGTAGTGGGGCAGAGAGATAATACATGGGTTAAGGTGCTTGCAACCCCAGCAGAACTGGGTGTGGCCCAAACCTCCCTCCAACCCCCACCCCCCAAAAAATCCCCAAAATGGGAAAAAACTAACAAAAAAATAGTATGTGCTGGTCAAAGATATGGTTCACAGTTAAGCATCTACCCTGCATTCAAGAAACCTGAGTTTGATCCCAGCACCACAAAAAACACTGACTCAGAAATTGCATTTTCTAGCACCAACTCATATTCCATTTATTCTTCCTTCATACAGAGAGAATCTTTAAAAGTTCAAGTCCTGGCCTGTTTTCTCATTTCAAGGAAGATGAACTGTCAGAGAAAAGTGAGAGTATGTCTAAGCAATTATGAGAAGGGGATATCCCCTGATCATTTGGGGAGTATATGGGTGGACCTGGAAATTAAATGCAATTTATATGAGTATTTGAATATGTATCTTATTATATAAAATATCTAAAGTTATTAGTGGTTGGAGAAATACTACAGCAGGCAGGGTGACTGCTTTGCATGTGGCCGACTGGGGTTAAATCCTCAGCATTCCATATGGTCCTGAGTCCCACCAGGGTGATCCCTGAGCTCAGAGTCAGGAGTCCTAGGCACAGCTGGGAGTGCCCCCCAAAAAAACAAAGATCTAAAGCTTTTGGGTTCATTGATCCCCTCCAAAACATTAAGAACTATGGCTATAGATTTTTCTATTTTTATGGATCAATTTGCCCACAGACTGAGTCTTTAGGAAGTGAATTCTCAGGACATCAAAATGAATCATTTTTATGTGGAGGCTAAAACCCAGTGCAAACCAAAGAGAATTCATTGCTTAGAGTCCCTTCAGTTATCCATACCATGAACCAGGAACATACCAAGAAACAGATCCTGGTGGGCTCATCCAGGTTTTCGAGTGGGTCCAACTTTTTTGGCTCTGGCTCACTGGGGCTGCTCGCTGACCGCTCCGCCTCCTCCTCTTGGTCCCCTCGCTCATCCACTTCCAGGTCTGCGTGCTCTGCCAAATTGTTGATTTCTTTTTTTGAGGAATATAGCATGATCGACAAAATCTACACACAAAAAATCAAGTAAGAAAGGAAGGTGAGACTACACATTTTTATCCCTGAACAGTAGAAAATATTTGACCTCATTGTCAGAATTCACTAAAAGAATTTGTAAAGTAAAACACATTGAGGGGCTGGAGCAATAGCACAGCGGGCAGGGTTCTTGCCTTGCATGCGGCGACCCGGGTTCGATTTCTAGCATCCCATATAGTCCCCTGAGTACTGCCAGGGGTAGTAATTCATCACTGGTGTGACCCAAAAAGCAAAACAAAAAACCAAAAAAAAAAAACCATACTGAGTTGTACTTGTAATATAGGAAATGCTACCTAAAACTATGAAGGACCTTTGTGTACTAACTTTGGCACTGACAGTGAAAACTGGCATTATCCTTTTGTAAAGCACTTGGCAAAATATAAAGAGCTATGAAAACGTTCTTATCCAGAGGAGGTAGTAGATGATGAGAAGAGACCTACGGCCACTGGCATGCTGGTGGTGGAGATGGTGGAGTAACATAATACTTAAAGCACAGGCATTTACACTTCTATTGTAAACTCTGTTACCTCAATAAAAAGAATCAAACATTTTTTAATTGGGGCCAGCATGCTAGTACAACAGGTAAGGCATTTTGCTTTGCACATGGCAGACCCAGATTCAATCCCCAGCAAGCCAGATGGTCTCCTGAGCATTGCCAGGTCTGATCTCTGAACACAGAGCTAGGAGTAAGTCCTGAGCACCACTAGGTATGGGACCAATCCCCTTCTCCATAGAATTTTTAAAAAGTGAATATAATATTCATATCCAGGAGCTTGGGATATAATTCAGTGATAGAACACTTGCTTATATACTTGTGAGATCCTCAAATGTTTTCTAAGAGTCCTGTATTATCTATCTCAATTTCTGGCACCAGATGCCCCGAGACCATGGTGGCCCCTGAACAGCATCAGGCCTAAGCATTTCCAGGAGTGCTATACAAAAAGATATTCAGAGTCAGGAATGGGTGCCCTCCCCCTTCTTCTTCCGGGAATCTGGCAGTAATGCCCATGAACTGCCTCTAGCACCATATAAGCTCAGTAAAGGCCATGATTCAGAAACTCACAAATAAATCTTAGAAGAGAGCCACAAGCTGCAGAGATGTCTCTGGACTGAAAAGTCACCATGCATTTAAAAACTTAACTCCAGATGTATCACCCTTTTAAAAATTTTGGAATTCCTGTCACGACATCTCATACTCTACACCAATGATGCACTAAGAGTAGCACACCCTATTTTATGAGATGAAAGTAGACGGCAATCCATCTCAATTAAAAAAAAATTAGCACACAAGCTCAACCTATAACACATGTAATTTTTTTTTTTTTTTGCTTTTTGGGTCACACCCAGCGATGCTTAAGGGTTACTCCTGGCTCTACAGGAATTACTCCTGGCAATGCTTGGGGGATCATATAGGATGCTGGGGATTGAACTCAGGTTGACCAGGTGCAAGGCAGATGCCCTCCCCACTGTACTATCGCTCTGGCCCAGTAATTTGTTGTATAAAGGTTTAATGGCTCCAGGGTGAGATACAACAATCTTCATACACTTTTCTCTATGGAAATTTTTTGGGATCATTTTTAGTGGATTACTCATAACAGGCAATACAAAATATTTAGGTCCTGCTTTGGGGCAGGCTTTGGGGGTGGTGGGTATATTTAAAATAATGGTGGTGGGATTGGTGATGGAATATTGAATGTAATAAATTATTGCGAACAACTTAAAAAAATTTAAATAAAATATGTTCATACCCAGGCAGAGATGGAACTCAGGATAAAGCAAAGTTTCCCATGAACGAAGTGCTGAGTTCAATTCCCAAACAAAAGCAAACAAAAGCAACAACAACGATAACAAAAACGTTCTCTCTTTTGACCCAGTCACTCATCTTTAGGAATACACAATGTGAAAGAGAGAAAATGTTACATTCATAGTCAATAAAGTAGTAAGAACTACAAAAAACCTAAAATCTACCTGTATCATATGGGGTCATTAAAAATACAGAGCCACCATAAAATTTAAATTAATGTGAATGTCTGCTTTGTTGCATAATCTAAAATATATATGTATATATATAATAAAAGGTAAAGGCCCTCCCGTTGATCGTCGATTTGCTCGAGCGGGCCCAGTAACGTCTCCGTTGGAGACTTTGTTGTTACTGTGTCTGGCATATCGAATACTCTCGGTAGCTTGCCGGGCTCTCCAAGAGGGGCGGAGGAATCGAACTCGGGTCGGCCATGTTGGCCGCTTGTAAGGCGAACGCCCTACCCGCTGTGCTATCGCTCCAGCCCATATATATAATACAGAGGGCAAAACGCAGAAGGAAATATACAAAATGGCAACTATGTCTAGGGAGTAAAACTCGTAGTTTTTATTTCCTGTCTGTCTGTTTTCAGGCCACACCCAGCAGTGCTCAGGGCTTACTTCTGGCTCTGTCCTCAAGGATCACACCCACCAAGCTCAGGGAACCATATGGGGTGCTGGGGATCAACCTGAGTCAGCTGCATGCAAGCCAAACACCACACCCTGCTATACTATCACTCTGGGTTCTGTTTCTTTTTTTTTCCAGAAATGTCAATTCAGCAGGAAGAGAGCTCCGAGGACTGATGGGAATGCCTAACATGCAGACACATCAAATATAATCCCTGGCACCACGCGGCCTCCTGAGCAGAGGTGCCTCTAGGTACTTCTTGATGGCCCTGAAATCCCCCAGCACCACCAGATCTGAGTAGCATCAAATTGCTTGAGTACTGAACTGACAGATCCACAAGGCCGCACTGAATTTGTTTATGGGAAATGCCCTGGCCTCCTTAACATTGCTTTGGGGGTACGGGGGGCTAGGGTGAAAGGTGGTGGTGGGAGGACTGGAGAGAGAAAACAGATGGCACAATGCTTGCCCTGCACATGGCAGACTAGGGTTTGATGCCTGACAACCTATATGGTCCCCCAAGCACTGCCAGGAGTGATCCAGGAATAAGCCAGAAGCATCCTGGGTATGGCCCAAAGGCAAAAACCCAAACAAACAAACCCCCAAAAGACACACTTTATTTCCAAAGAATACAAGTGCAAATATTCTCTAGGTCATTCACCAAGATGTTTTAGTCTATTTTCCTTAAACTTAACCAAATCCTCCTGTGGCAAATACAAGCCCTTTCTAATTGAGGCCTCCTCTGGCTGAGAATGGCTGGCTCACCACTTCTCCCACATAGCAGAAACACTCCTGGACCTGAAGCTGGCACTTGATACAAAACTCCACAGGAAACCACAGAAATTCTACCAGGAGAAATCTAAGGCCTAGGGAAGCAGTAATAAAAGGAGAATTATCAACAAAAATGCTACATAAAATAAATGTAAGTGAGGACGAATTTAGAAAGTGATTTTAGCTCAAAGGGACTTTAATGAGAATTCCAAAGCACACTTAACCATGACGTAAAGGTCAACTATGTACATGTTTCCATAAATTACTTCCCTTACAATGTTTTTATGATAGTATTAAGAGTATTTGTTTGGTTTTTGGACCACCCCTGACTGTGCAAGGGCTTTCTCCTGGCTCTGAGCTCAGGGATCACTCCTGTTGAGGCTTAGTGGACCATATGGGGTGCCGGGGATTGATTTCAGGTCAGCTGCGTACAAGGCAAGAGCCCTACTGGCTGTACTATTGCTCTGTCCCCCAATAAACATCAAATTAATTTTCCTTGGCAGGGGAAGATTGTAGCATTGTCTTCCCATTGTTCATCGATTTGCTCAAGCTGGCACCAGTAATGTCTCCATTTCGAGACTTGCTATTACTACTTTTGGCATATCGAATATGCCACAGGGACCTTGCCAGGCTCTGCCATGTGGGAGGGATACTCTCAGTAGTTTTCCGGGCTCTCCAAGGGGAACGGAGGAATCAAACCCGGGTTGGCCGCGTGCAAGGCAAACGCCGTACCCGCTGTGCTATTGCTCCAGCCCATCAGGGGAAGATAGGTGTAATAATCATTCCAATTTCTGGAAGGCAAGGCGGATAAAGGACACAGCCTTAACAGCTGGAGAGGAGAATGCACGCGGGAGGACAAGTGACAATTGATTCCCAGGCAGAAGGGCTGCACCAGGCAGCAGTCGCTTACTTCAAGGTCCCGGAGGAGCCACGTTTTACTGAAGCCAGTCCCTTTGCTGCACTTTTTCACCAACAGCTTTAGCAAATCAGTCTGAAGGAAGGTGGCATGGGCCTCTTGAAAACCTTGAACCTGAAAGCAGAAAAAGAAGAATTTGTCACTGTCTCAGAATGAAGAATATATGGATCATTTGGGGAGAAGCGAGTTTTTCTCAGAGGCCAGCCTGAGTAAGCAGCAGCCCAAACTGACTCAACTAGTGAGAAAGTTGACAGGAAGGATAAAACTCTGAACCTGTCCTAGTCTAGGTCGACTCAGTTCCCCTGTAATTCTTTCACTCAATCACTTATTTCTGAAACACAGTGTTTTACTTGCCTAATCCTATATTAAGGACTAAGTTTTGTTGTTACGAGAATGTGAGTCTAACTGGCAGAAAAGGTGCCGGATGTGATCCCTAGCATCACATGGCCCCCTCATCCACTGCCTCAGCACTGCTGGATCCTAAAGCTGCTAGAAGAGACCTCCAAGCTCTCCAAGTACTGCCAGGAGTTCCCCACATGCCCTCCAAAAACAGAACTAAGATTTGTTTTGCTTTTGGGGGCCCAAACCTGGCTGTGCTCAGGGGGGATTGAATGTGGGTTGGCTCCATGCAAGGTGAGTGCTTTACCCACTGCACTCTCTAGCCCAGAAATAAAAATCTTGTCTCTCTCCAGCTCTCTGCCTTCCAAAGGGTCTCACTACTCCTCAGGTGCAAACCCAAGTCACTAGTCATGGCTGATTCAGTCCTCAGGCTCCCCGTCTGCTTTTCTTGTCTCACCTCCCTCCCGAAGCACTATCCTGAAACTCATCACCAGCTTTTGTGGATGAATGCTCTACTCATTATCCTGAAAACTGACTTCTTGTCTACCAACTCAGTTTGGACCTCAGAAACGCTTTTTGGGGTCCATGCTGGTTTTGCTGGTAGGCTTTCTGTTGCCTTTCTTACAAGTCAGATGTTGAGCTCCAGGAGAGCAAGGACCTTTTTAAAGTTCGATACTCTTACTCAGTTCCATCTGGTATTTGGTGCTCAACAAATATTTACCAAAGTCAACAAAGATAGAAATGGCCTTTGCCCTTAGGAACTTATTTTTTTCTTTCTTACTATAACATAAATGATCAAAACCAACTGTAATTTGTGATCAATCTCATGATTTGTCCATCAAAGAGCAGATGTGTGGGCCAGAATTGAAATGCCATCTAGTCCAGTCTCCCTGGGTGCCTGGGTCCCTCAATGTCTCCTCACCGGTGCTAAGAGAGTCATGGGGCTCACAAATTTCCCAAAGAAATCATTCTTTTTGTTAGGAACAACACCCCCAAATCCATTCCTACTCAACAGCACCCCTCGGGTAGAAGAATCATGTTTTCAGGAGTCAAGATTCTTGACTCCATGCTAATCATGCCCTCTCTTCAGCTTGTCTGCCTCTGCCCCTGGACTTCCAGCCACGATTCACAATTCCACTGGAGACCAGCTCCCCTAACTCTTTCCTCTGTCTTTGCCTATGATGGGCCAGAAGGGAACTGTGATTCAGAGGGAAATGAGATACTTTTTAGTCCATTTTTCTTCTCCTCTTCTAAAGTTATGGCCGTTTACAGCAGTGGTTTTCAACTCCTGGTCTATGGACTGGAGCTGATCTACTGCAGTGGTTCTGACTGCCAGTCCATAGACTGATATATGGACAGGTTGCCAGCCCACAGGTGTAAAGAGGGTTATGAATGCTGCATTAGAAGTAGCAGTACCTAATTCCATGAAATAACAGATAACTAGTTTTTGTAAATTTTGTTTCTTCCTTGAAATTATCCTATGGGACGTCCCAAGCATTTATAAAAATAATATCCCTTGGTTAGCCATTCATCAAAACAAGTCTGCTTAATTCCTGGCAGATAGTAAGTCACAACCAAATTTACTAGCAAATGGAAGAGGCTCATCATTACCTTTAATGTTTTATATAATCCTTTGAGGGCGAGGGACAGAACCCAAGTTGCTTCCACAGCCTCGGGGCAATGGCTGTCCATGCTGGTTTGTAGAAGGTGACTGGCAATGAAGGCAAAGTGCTGGGAGTACTGTCTCAGCCGGGCCTGAGAGTCTCCGCTTTCCTGTCCTCCTTTCTGGACCAGTTGGTAGTCCTTCACTAAAAGGTGTTGTCAGATACCCATAGTTAGTAAGGGAAAGGTACCAACACTCTGGTTAATGCTTAATACTACCAAATGTAAAATAAAAATATTCTTTTAAGAGTTAAAAAAGACTGAAGCCCAATCATGTACAACTTTGTAACTGTTTATCTCACGGTGATTCAATAAAAAATTAAAAAAAAATTTCTTCCCTAGGAATTGTGCCTTTCTCAGTAAGAACTAAAGAACCCCTGGGGGGAGGGTCTGGGGGGGGGTGCGGAGGAGCGATAGCACAGTGGGTAGGGCGTTTGCCTTGCATGCGGCCGACCCGGGGTGGATTCCCAGCATCCTATATGTTCCCCTGAGCATAGCCAGGAGTAATTCCTGAGTGCAGAGCCAGGAGCAATCCCTGAGCATTGCTGGGTGTGTTCTAAAAAGCAAAAATAATAACAATAATAATAACAATAACAATAAAGAACCCCAAACACAAATCTCCCTGGTTCCTATCTTAGCCATTTATATTTAAAATCCTCACACAAGGAGACAAAGAGATAGTATAGTGGGTAGGGTGCTTGCCTTGTACAGAGCCAAGTTGGGTTTGATCCCCAGCATCCCATATGGTCCCTCATGCACTGCCAGGAGTAATTTCTTAGTGCAGAGCCAGGAGTGACCCCAGAGCATTTCTGGGTATGGCACAAAAACAAAACAACAATAACAAGATCCGTACAACAGCATAAAAATAATGCTGTATAATTGGAGCCAGAGAGAGTAAGAGGTTAAGACACTTGCCTTCTTTCCCGACCCCCCCACCCCCCAGGTTCAAACCCTCGGAGATACCCTTGAGCAGAGTTAGGAATGGCCCTGAGCACAGCCAAGTGTGGCTCAGGCTTCCCTCACCCCAAATATAATAATACTAGGTCACATATCAACTACGTAATCGAGAGAGGCAATTAACAGTCCAATTACTGTGCACACACAGACTGTTTTCAGAGGTGTTAAAGGAAGTTCTTAAATATAATACACTTACAAAAATTAAGAGGAATCAGATTTTCTTTCCAACCTTAAACAACCAAACAATGGAAAAACATGAAATTATTTGCAACATTGGGCAACAGGCAATGCAGGAATATAATCCCTGAGGCAAGATCCACCAACCAAGGGCCTCCTCAAATAGTGCAAATGATTTGGAGACAATATGGCAGCTGCAAGGCAGGGAGCAGAAATTCAAACAGAGCCCAGGAGTTTCACTAGATGACAGAAACAGAGTTCAGGGAAGTCAAGAAAGAACTGATGAGACAAATCATCACAGAAAGAAGAGAAAGAATGGAGGAAGCCTCTCTATAGAGTCACAAGTCTTTTGTTGACTGTTCATCTGCCCAAGTATGGGGGGAGCTATAAGGCATCAGTCGGCAGAGTGATCTGGGGCTTTATACAGAGGTAGGAATATTTTCCCACTAGTAGATGTGAAAGTGGTATTGAAGATACAGAACGAAAGTGCTTGACTATCATGAAGCTGCAGTCAATGACACTGGTTCCAATCTTGGCACTAAATATGGTAGGGGGTAAAACAAAAAAGCACACAGAACCTTTTTCAGACCAAACAAAACCATGACCACTAAACAAGGTGTAATAATAATAGGATAGCACTGTAGCACCATCCTCCCATTGTCCATCGATTTGCTAGAGTGGGCTCAGTAACATCTCCATTGTGAGAATTGTTGTTACTGTGTTTGGCATATCGAACACGTCACGGGGAGCTTGCCAGGCTTTGCCGTGCGGGCGAGATACTCTCGGTAGCTTGACGGGCTCTCTGAGAGGGGCGGAGGAATCGAACTCGGGTCGGCCATGTTGGCTGCGTGCAAGGCAAATGCCCTACCGCTGTGCTATCGCTCCAGCCCAATAGGATAGAAATCATTCAAAATATGTTCTCTGACTATAGGGAATTAAATTTGAAACAAGTAACAGAAAGGTATCTTGAATATTTCCTCAAATATTTGTAAATCATTATTTTTTGTTATGGGGCTATACCTGGCAATGTTCAGGGGTCCACATGGGACACCGAGGATCAAACTTGGGTCGGCCGCATGTAAGACAAATGCCTTACCTCCTGCACTATCTCTCCAGCCCCCAAATTTGTAATCTAAATAATCCACTGAACAAAGATAAATTCACAAGGTAAACAGAAAATACGCAGACCTTAACAAAAACGATAATGTAACATATCAAAATTAATAATTAAGAGGTAGAAATTAGATAGATTAGATTAGAGGTAGATAAAAGTAGAAATTATTCAAACCAAAAGCTGATCCTTTGAAAAACAAAATAGATAAATCTCAATCCTTAGAACTACAGAAAAAAAAAGAAGATAAATCTTTGTCTAGGTGTCTAGGAAACAAAAAAAAGATACAGAATTACCAAAACCAGGAAAGAGAGAAGGCAGCTGATATACCAAGCAGAGTGAAAGCATCTAAAAAACTAAACTTTATGATACCTAAATTTGTTCCCTAAATAAGTAGCAAGGTATAATATACTCATGGGTCAAAAGACTCAGTATTGTCATTTTTCTCCAATCGATCTATACAATCAGGAAATTGCCAATTACAGATCCACTAGGCTTCCTTTTAGGTTCACACTGGGGAGTGCTAGAGGCCATCAGGGTCAGACTTAATGGTACAGGGGCCACCTGAACTAGACCAAGGAAGTGTTCAGTGCCTAAGCAGTGGCACAGATCAAAAATTATCTTCAAGGCCTCTTCAGCTAATTCTTCCTGGTCCTTTAATAGAAAACGACAAGCTGACTCTAAAATTTACACAGAAAGGCAAAAGAAGAAGAATAGTCAAAATAATTCTACAAAAGAATAACAAAGTTGAACGACCTGGCTTCTTTTTTTTTTTTTCATTTCTAGGCCACACCTGGCAGTGATCAAGGGTTACTCCTGGCTCTATGACAGATGTGGCACCTGGTGGTGCTTGGGGTACTTAAAACATTGCTAGGGGATCAAACTTGGGCCTCCTGCATGCAAAGTATGTGCTCAGCCCACTGAACTCTTTCCATCCCTGGAGACCTTGACTTCAAGATAGCACAAATCACTGATTTGGGAAGATGGAGTGGTATTCGAGTTAGGATACATACAGATAAATGAAACATAATAGAATCCATAATTATTTACACACATATACTACTGATTTTGTTTGCTTGCTTTGGGGACATATCCAGCAGTGCTCAGGGCTTACTCCTGGTTCTGCACTCAAAGATCACACCTAGTAGGCCTGGGGGATGATATGGGATGCCAGGGATTGAACCTAGGTTGGCTGTGTAAAAGGATTATCACTCTGGCACTTTAGCCAATTATTTTAATAAAGGTGCCAAGAAAATTCAATAAAGGAAAAGCAGATTGTTTCACAAATCATTCTGAAACAACTGTATATACCTGCGGAAAAAAAGAACCTCCACACGCCTACACAAAAACAGATCACTGCTAGAGCTGAATAAAAAAGCAATTGTTTCAGAAGCAGACTTGGGCCATAACTGTTAGATACTGCAGAAGGTTTAAAGTTGTTAAATTAAGTCAAAAGGTCACAATCTATTGTCAGTGTCAAACTGATAAAATGAAAGATGCCATGCACGCCACTACAACTTGTTGACATTAAATTCATGTAGCCGATGCCAAGATACACTTAAATTGCCCATTAGAAAACAAATAATGGGGGCCCTGGAACAGCTCAGTTGTAGAGTGTCTGCCTTGCAAGTGTGAGGCTGTGAGTTTAACCCAAATACAATCCCAATGGTAAGAAACTGCTGTTTAGGAAAAATGTGCACCCCCCCCCCCCAAACACCAAACAGTGTGTGCAATCCCTGATCACTTGAACAAAACAGTATCAGTGACAACCAAAATAGAAGGGAACTTAAAAGCAAACAAATTACACCATCAAATAGGGAAGATTAAATGTTGAGGACCTAAACTTGTGACCAATCCAAGCACTGATGAAATAACTAAAGAGAAAAATACCTTTAAAATGATCCCAAGCCAACCATATAATTTCGGATAGGAGGGAAAAAAAGCAGTTCAGTGAGTTATAACTTAATTGCATCGGGGCAAGAACTGATCTTTATTTTATTTATTTTTTTCTTTTTTGGGTCACACCCGACAATGCACAGAGGTCACTCCTGGCTCTGCACTCAGGAATTACTCCTGGCGGTGCTCAGGGGACACCATATGGGATGCTGGGAAATGAACCCGGGTCAGCCGCATACAAGGCAAACGCCCTACCCGCTGTGCTATTTCTCCAGTCCCAAGAACTGCTATTTATTAATTTAAGGGTATGCAACCTAGAGATTACATGTATTTTTCCTATTCTTAAAAAAAAAAATATGCGTGGAACCTGTTTTCCTTTTCCGAGTTTTGACATCGACGATCACAGCCCTGTTTTTCTCAGTAAAGTGCTTCAAGATGATTACGTTATGTGGTTCATTGGCATTATCCGTATAAACACAGCGGGTCCCCACACAGAGGACCTAGAATGAAAGAGAGAAATTGGAGAGGCAACTTAATGGGACACTGAGACAGAAAAGTGCGCTTGGTCTAGTCTGTTTCACTTGTACCTCTGACTTCAGCAAGCACTCAAAGAAGGCTTCTCATCTTTGATCCAGAACCTGGCACAGGCCAAGTGAAAAGAGATGTAAGGGATGCTGCATGAAGCCGTTTTAAAAAAGATGTCGTAGTCTCAGTTGAGAGACAGGAGAATTAGAAACAAGATAGCATAGTGGTTAGGGTGCTTGCCTTGTATGTGACCAACCCGGGTTTGATATATAGTTGTGGCCCCAACACAAATATAAAACAAAAATCCACCAAAAACACAAAAACTGAAAATGATGCCAAAGTAAAAAAAAAAATCATATTCTTAAATACTTTGTGATTTAATACATAGTTATCTATTAATCAAAGTCAATCACTGGCTTGACTTTATAAAATGAAACAAATTACTAAGTTGCTAAGAATTCAAGTGTAAGGGTCTGAGAGAATATATATAGGTTATATATGGGTTATATATGGGTTATGGGTTAAGACACTTGCCTTCTATGTGGCCAACCTATCCCTAGTACCATATATGGTCCCTCAAGTACTCTCAGGGTTCCTCCTGAACAGAGCCAGGAATAATGCCCTAAATACCACATGTGGCCCATGACAAAAATTTCAAGTTTACAAAACTGTTTCATAATCTTGAAAATATACCACTACTGACTGTAAAAGAAAATTACATGACTGAAGAAACAAAACTTTTAAGATATATACTACAGGGACTTTCCTGTATGTGGGGAAGATGAAGAGAGGTGAGCAGACCTTGAGAGAGATGTACCTGGGGAAACCCGACCAGCACAAGGAGGGTGAAGATGTTGGTATGCTTCAGCTGGAAAGGCAGCTGCTTGATGCAGTGGTCAGTGAAGGTGGCAATGACGTCACGCCACAGTGGGGCATTATTGAGAGACCGCAGGATCTCTGCCATGGAGCATGCCCAGTCCAAGCCCACCCGGCTGGAAGACAAGAGTATCATCAGGGACAATGCACAGGTTCTAAACTCAACTCATTAGAGCTCATTACGCTTCAAGGCAGGCCCAAAGGCATGACAAGTTGTTCAATAACAAGCTTCAAACTATCCTATGGAATGATGCTTTTCATACAATGGTAAAGAAAAAATCAGGCCTGTGCTACACTCAATCTACAACTAGTTTAAACACATACATGCGCGTGCACACACACACATACATATAAAATCAAATGAATATGTACATACATGGACACTCACATTCACACACAGAAAAAAAAACCTTGGAAGGAAGAATACTGAAACACCAGGAGCATTAGAATCCTGCCCCTCCAACAAGGCGTTTGCCTTCCACGTGGCTGACCCAGGTTCGGTTCCTCTGTCCCTCTTGGAGAGCCTGGCAAGCTCTCGAGAATATCCTGCCTGCACAGCAGAGCCTGGCAAGCTCCCGGTGGCATATTTGATATGCCAAAAACAGTAACAAGTCTCACAATGGAGATGTTACTGGTGCCCACTCGAGCAAATTGATGAACAATGAGAGGAAAGTGCTACATATTATCTGGAAAAAAAAACCAACCCAAATAAACACACAAACAAAAATACCAGGTGCATTAACACAGTGTAATCCAGTTGATTTTTCCCCCACCTCTCTTTCTGACTTCTAAATTTTGTAATGTAGGCATTATTTTTATAATGAAAACAGTGTTTTTTTTTTCCTTCAACCTAAGGCCTATTTTTTGTTCTCAGGAAAAACAAACCAGAATACCGGCTGAGAATCAGTTATTTTAATGTGAAATTTAAGTATGACTTAGTGTTAGTTGTCAACATTTCTAATAAAATAAATTCTATTCTCTCAACAATTCAGACAACTGCTCTGTAGTATGATAAAATTAATCAACAGCAAGACCTAGAGAAATGAACACTAGGGCTGAGAAGTGGCTCAGCAGAGCAACTTACACCTGACCTAGGTGAATATCCCAGGTTTGATCCCAGAACCACAGAGTTAGGAGAGTGGGAAGAGTGGGGATGGTTACCTGTCTAGACACACAGCTCCCAGGCTGAAAAGCAGGTGGGTGGTCTTCCAGCCATCAGGCACTACAGAATTGTCCCCTGCTGCAAACAGGTTGTGTTTGGCTGAGAGGACTTTGATTACTGCAGCATCTACCTCTGCTGGTAAAAGGCGGATAATTAACTGGCCAAGAAGACCCAGAGTGAGGTGGTAAGTTTCATTCAGGTGACCTGCGTTTGAGATGACAACCTGAAACATGAGCGGGAGGACATGCTCCAGGTCTACAAGGGGAATCGTAGGATCCTGCCAAGAGAGGAAGAAAAATCTATTCAGTACATAATCCAGGTAACCATACCAGCTAAACACTCTTACTCTACATGTACCATTATTTGGGGAAGTTAGGGACCTATAGGCTACTTCTGGTAATCCTTGACCTAGCAGAATAGGCCTGATGCTTTGTGTCACAAATGGTGGTACTTGGAGGCTACCAGCACTATACCCAGAAAAGACTGGTGGGCCATCTGGTGCCAGGGATCAAACTGGAGCCTGACACATTTAAGGCACGCATTCTGTCCCTTTGAGTATCTCCCTGGCCCCAAAGAAACTATATGAAGGTATGACAAATACCTTGCATGTACAATGTACAAATGCATATATAATGCATTGTGATATAAACATTCTCAGGTATAATCTTACATTCCAATTTCTGCCCCTCCCACCTTTTTTGGTCTTCTAAATGGAGGGTCCAAGGATGTGGCACTCCTCAGGCCTGCTGGGGATTTCCTGGGCTGCCCAGTGATGCCTGGGGCCTCCAGGGTTGCACCTGCTGAGGCCTGGTGCACTATGTAGTGCTGGGGACTAAATTGGGGTCAGTCAGCTGATTGCATGATCTATCTCTCAAGCCCCCAATACTCCCTTCATCCTGAAAAATAAACAGAACCCCCTGCCCCAGTATGTCCATTACAAAAGAATCCAAGAACCAGAAAGACAGTATAGTAGGTAAGGTATGGTGCATGCCTTGCACATATCCAACCCAGGTTTGATCCCTGGCACTGCATATGGTTGGTCCCTCCAGCTCTGCCAGGACTGATCCCTGAGCATAGAACCAGGAGTAAGCTCTAAGTACCACCAGGTTTGGCCCAAAAGGATGGATAAAAGAAAAATAAATGAATTAAAATACTTCAGAATACATAAAATTTAAAACTCCCCGAAACCATTCCCTTCTCTACCACTGTGACCAGGAGACAATAAACATTAGCAGACTGGTAGTCTGTCAATCCTTTTCTATGCTTATTTACATATAGATAAAATTTAATTTAAATTTTTTATTTTGATCAACTCTGCAACTTACTGTTCCCCATTAGAATACTATGCTACTTTTAGAAGCCAATAAAAATAGAGCTCTTCAGTCATTTGAATGGCTGTGTACAACTGCATATCATAATTAAAATATAATTGATTTCCTATTGCTAGATACTTTTTCTGTTTCCAATTCCTTATTACTATAAACACCATTAGGTAGAATGCCTAGGGCATACATACATACATACATACAACCGAACATTAAAACTTTTTGAGTTGCTATCTCAGTGAGGGCACTGAATGTATAATATGGAAACAAAAAGTTATTGAGAATAAAAAAAGATTGTAAGGGCTGGAGAGACAGTACAATGGATAAGGCACTTGCCTTATATGCTGCTGACCTGGGTTCTAACAATGGCACCCAAAATAGTACCCCAAGCACCCACAGTGTACAAAGCCAGTAATAAGTCCTGAACACCACTGGGTGTGATACCCACTTACCCCTCAAAAATGATTACTGGGGCTGAAGAAATAGTATTGTGGGTAAGGTATTTGCCTTGTACATGGTCGACCTGGGTTTAATACCCAGCACACCATACAGTCCCTTGAGTCCTACCAGGAGTGATCCCTGAGCACTGATGCTTGTGGCCTGAAAAACCAATAAATAAGTAGCACTGTAGTCCCGTTGTTCATCGATTTACTGGAGTGGGCACCAGTAACGTCTCCATTTCGGGACTTTTTTGCTACTGTTTTTGGCATATCGAATATGCCACAGGGAGCTTGCCAGGCTCTGCCATGAGGGCAGGATACACTTGGTATCTTGCTGGGCTCTTCGAGAGAGACAGAGGAATCGAACCCGTGTCGGCTGCTTGCAAGACAAATGCCCTACCCGCTGTGCTATCATAAATTTAAAAAATAGACATCACTGTCTGAGAGTCAAGTAACTTAGAGAAATGGCTGATTTCAGGGTTAGAGAAGGGACACTTCAAGAAGTACTAGAAAACTGTGTTCTTTCTGACACATTGCAGTGAGAATGCAGCACCATGACTATGATATTCCTACCAGAGATATAAAATCTGAATCTACTCATGAGGCTATTTTGACAAGAGTTGACTTCCCTGTCCACCCGAGGGTGCTGATTTCAGGGGCACAACACCATCTACCCACACAGAACTGGTGCAGAATGTGGTCAATTCATTCAACTCGATGGAAATACATCTTCAAAACACCCTATATTTCTCACTATAATTCCACACACACCAGAAAACCTTCTGATCTACTATGCAGTCTTCTACATAGTAAATTAATGAACCAAGAGAAAACACATACTCATTTCCTGCCATACATCTGCTCCTGTGTGTTATGACTGATTTGTAAATCAATCTAGATTCCTATGTGAGGTTGATTCCCCTGAGTCTGAGCACCTCTTGGCAAACTTCTACTAAAAAAATTCTTTGACCCAGAACTCCGGAGATCAAACAATGGGTTTAATTCCCTTCCCCAAAGTGCCAACAACTTGGGAAATTCTATTTTAGCTATTCTTTCTTTGATCATTGTTAATTGAAAAAACAAACAAACAAAAACAACCTAGAAAATTATCAGACTAATAGAACAGGAACATGGTTAAAGAGATAGTACAAAGATAAAGGACTTGCCTTGCATGCAGCTCACCCTGGCTTGATCCCTGGTACCACTTGGGACCCTGAGTACTACCAGGAGTAACCCTGAGCACTAGTGGGTGTGGCCCCAAGACCCAAACGAACAAGCAAACAAATAAAAAATAGAAAATAATTTGTAATTCACAATCCATCCCTCAGGGGTACACAAATGACGGCGATTAAGTATAAGGCTCCCTCCATTTTTTCTAGATATAGTATTACTTCTCTTTTTATAAAGCCATTAATTCTCTTACCATCCATAAGGGAGGCAACATGGCTGCTAGTAGTCCCAAAATTCTCTTCTGGGAACACTCAGCAAATACTTGCTCAGGGTCTGGAGTGACTGCCTTTTCTTCAATGGTCTTCTGAGGTGACTCCTCTGAATTTTCAGCATCTGGAGTTAAAACACCAAACATCCAGAATTTACCAAGTTTTATGTATAAGAAGGCAAAGAACCTGCTTCATTGTCCCTCGGGTGCTACAGAATGAAGCGAGGGTTTTCAAAACCTATGCTCACTTTTCTACAGATGTCCTCTTCTCAAGTGGGGCTACCGGTATCACTTGAGTTAGATGCAGAAGGACTTAGTAGATGCCCACCCAACCCTCCAACACTATTGATATCCTCCATCCTCTGATTTTACTCCACTTGAGCATTTGATCAACTTTTAAGATACCAAATCATTAATATTGATTGCTCATTGCCTATCTTCTAGTTCTTTTTTTTCTTTTCTTTCTTTTTTTGGTGATTTATCTCAAGCATATTGATATACCTGAGAAATCTAGAAATGTTTCTAGGACAGAGCAATAAACGAACAAACTGCATGTGAACCTGCATATTACTTTACAGGGGAATCAGAGGGAATTTCAATAAGCTGAGTTAATGTGGAGTATCAAACTATTTTCTGAAACTTACATTTATGTATACTTAGAGACAACTATCAGCCGCTTCTGAGAGCTGGTCCCACAGTCAGAGCAGGACATAAGATACCCAGTCTGGCTCTACCACAGAGGAAAAACTTAGGAAAGATCTGGCGAGTCACAGCACTTATGGCTCTCTACTAATGCATCTTCCTAAAACACTTCTCTGCTCTTGCCACGCTATTCTCAGGCAGTATCCAAGACTCTGCAGCAGTGTCCCATGGCATCTCCAGCTTCACCTCCAATGCCCCATTTCCATCCCTGCACATTTGACAAAAGTACTTCTCCTCTATATGCATCAGGGAGTGGGGGTCCTAATACTGGAGTTATTGTTCATGCTGCTCTTTCTGTCTTGTTGGGTCCTTCCCGACCACACATCCCATCTAGCACATTCAAGATTCCCTAAAGCACCTCCTTCAAAAGATACAAATTTCCATTCGCCCTCTCTTCTCTGGAAAGAAGGATGGCGGCCGCATGGGAGCCTTGTGGACAGCAGGTATGAGCCAGGGGTGTGGGGGCAACTAAAACCTCATGGGAAGGGGGGCGTTCCGGTCCGTCCTTCATGCCCTACTGAGGTCACCAGTTGCCCCCCACGAGCGGCTCTCCAGCACGGCCACAGCCCCAGAAGCACAAGGACTTAATGTAGAACCCAGCAGCTAGGAGCAGAAAAGTGAAAGGACTATGCGTTAATCCAGGCCATCATGTCTGCCCGGAGGGGAAAGGGTGTTGCCCCATTCGCCCTCTCTTCTCTGGAAAGAAAGATGGCGGCCGCATGGGAGCCCTGTGGACAGCAGGTATGAGTTGGGGGTGTGGGGGCGACTAAAACCTCATGGGAAGGGGGGCGTTTCGGTCCGCCCTTCACGCCCTACCGAGGCCACCAGTTGCCCCCCACTAGCGGCTCTCCAGCACGGCCATGACTCCAGAGCACAGAAACCAATTTCTGAACTATCTGACTTTCAGTAGAAATACTTCCAGGGTCAATAAGTAAAATAGCAGAAATCCAAAACCAACATTTAATTCTTGAACCCAGCTGTAGAAAGCAAATCACGTCACAATGCTTTTTCAGCATGTCTGATTTTGGGGAGGGGAGGGGGGTTAAACTCTAAATAATAGTGGTGAATCTTTTATTGAAACAATGAATCTAATCAAAGCAGATAGAGTGTTAACTAGAATTCATCTGCCTCACAGGGACTGGGAGGGGTGGGGGGTGGGGTTTTATTGGGGTTCTTCATGGTAAAAAATAAGTATTGGTAAAGGGAAATGTGTTTGATATTTGCATGACTGAGACCTAAACCTGAAAGCTTTGTAACCTTTCCCACAGTGATTCAATAAATAAATAAATAAATAAAAAGATACAAATTTGTGGACACAAATCTGTACCAGAGAGATAGCATTCACCACGAAGACCCACTTATACCTCTCTTCTGGACAAAACCATACATCACCCCAGGTATTTGCAACTGTCTTAAGCTCTCTCATACTATGAGTTTCATAAGGGCAGGAATTATGCTTTCTCTAATTGGGATTCTGTTCATCTCCAAGAGTGAGTAATGTTTGGCAAATAAGAGGTACTCAGTAAGGGAGAAAAGCAGAGAAGAAAGATAACTACTCAAATACTATCTGATTCATGTGAAACAACTGAAAAATCATGCATCTTTTATTGCCAGACAATTCTAAATTGTGTAACAAACAGCTGTGGGTATGTGGACATTTTAAGATGAAATAGACAAAGGCAGTTGTCAAATAGTCTTTACCTGGAAGTTCTGTAGCTGTGTTGGCATCTGCAGTAGAGTCTGAAATTTGAGTCTGCTTTGTTACCAATATACCTTCATCTGCCTTATTTTTCTTCTTGCAATCTGAAGGTCTGGTTTCCTTATTAATATCTCTTTCTCCCTAAAAACAAAGCAATCAGTACAAAAAATAATTACGGTTTATACAATTAAGAAAACAATTTTTTTTTTGTGGTGCTGGGAATTTAACCCAGGTCTCAGTGTATACAAGGCATATGCTTTACCACTAAAACACATCCCTAGCCCCCAAAAGAACATTTATTTTTGGTTTAGGGGCCTTACCCAGTGATGCTGGGGGCCTAATTGTGGCTCAGCACACTGGGGACCATATGGTGACGTGACTGGGACTGAACCCAGGTCTCCTGCATTCAAATCATAAACTATCTGTGAATAATCTCTCTGGCTCTTCAAATACTTCTAAATTGTATTAGAAGATGTGACTCATTCCTTGGGGGCCCAGGGTCTGCTCAGTAGTAACAAAGGACTTCTCTTGTATGTGTAAGGTGAGTTAGATCCCTGTAGCTCCTGCATGCACCTAATGTGGTTCTGTTGTCCAATGCACCTGGCAGTGAAGGAAAGTGCATGATCTTCGCACACTGCGTCTGAGCACTTGGATACCGCAACAGAATCTATCAAAGGTTACACTTGGATTCAGAAAGGTTCTTCTGTCCAAATGTAAGTTACTGGTGCCTATTGGCTAAATAGCATTTAATATCATCTAGTTGTTGGCTGAACATAAAATTAACATCACATACCATAGTTTTTACCATGGATAAGGAAAGAGTCCCTTCAGATGTACAATCTTGTTCAATCCTTAACAAAAACCACTAGAAGGCAGGAAATAGAAGTTCCAGGAATAGGAACTTACTATCCACTGTTTTAAGCACTTTCTATACATTACACTTTCAACACATACATTGCTGAATGCGTGTGACTCACAACACTATGGAACAGGTAGTGTCAACGTTCCCATTTAATATAAGAAAAAGGAAGGGAAGAGATTGTGATAATGTGCCAAGGTCTGACAGCATAGATCGGAACCCAGGCAACTTGGGTTAATGCTGTGGCCTTAACCTAGTTACTCTGTCCTCTAGTGTGAATGAATGCTTTCTCTGAAAGGTCTGCATGGAAAAAAACTGGTACTTACGTTGCACTGCACAGACAGGCCTGAGTCTGATGGCTCCTCAGCAGCTGGCACAGTTTTCTTTAGCTGGTCCTCTGATGTTTTGGTGGGTACTGTGGCTGATGGGGCCTGGTTTTCTGAGGCAAAGTTTCCATCTGGCAATATACCAAGAAGAGCTAGAGCTTTAAGACCTATATGGAAAGCAAACCAGAGAATGTTTTAAAAATTTTATTATAATTTCCTGTAAATGCTAATCATCACTGTGCATAATATGGAGACATGATTGACCTCCACAAACCTTAAATGATGAGTCTTAATCCCATCCTATCTGGGTACCCAAATTAACCTTAGACAGTAAAGGAGCTAGTGAAGGATACTTGTACTTCATTAACAAAAAAAAAAGATACAAAGGATTATATATATATATATATATAGAAAGGTATAAATATTAAATATTTACAGTAGCCTTATTAAATTAAATTTCTGTATTCTTACTAGCAAAGGGATAGAAAACTAGCTCTAAAGAACAGGTGTGATCCACCTACTACTAAATATGATTAACTACTGAATTCTCTTTATGCAAGAATGGGGAGTCCATTATTCTGAATGAAACCAGAATATCTTAGAAGTTTAACATTCAGATTATCTTCTCCTTAGCCCTCCTGAGTATAAAGTCAAAATCATCTATGCATTTTGTTAAACTATTTTAGTGGCAAATAGCTCTTATCTAGAATATATTTGTACCCCAGGTTAGTAAAGTAAAAAGAGTTAAATAAGAGTAAAATAAAAAGGGCTATATTCTCTCAGCAAAATTACAACTGGTAGATGTAAATACCAAATACTCTAAATACTGCACAGGAAAGATAGTATAGGGATTATGGTACTTGTTTTGCATGTGGCCCACCCCAGTTTGATCCCTGGCACCACATAGTTCCTTGAGCATTTCCACGAGTGACCCCCATGCATAGAGCTAGGAGTCTCTATTCAGCACTGCGGGTGTTCCCCACCACCACCACCACCAAAAAAAAAAAAAAAAACCCCAAACACCCCACATACTAACAATGACTTTTAGTTATTAATATTTTCATGCAAATATTTTTATGTAGATTCATGTTTTTATTATTTACCTTTTTGCTAAAGCAGTTTCTTTAAAACTTTTCTTTTTTTATTGAATCACCATGAGATAGTTATAAAACTTTCATATTTGAATTTCAGTCATATGATTGAACACCCATTCCTCTACAAGTGCACATTCTCCACCACCAATATCCCCAGCATTACTCCCCTCTTTTTAATCTTCCCCGTCTCTTCCCCCATACTCTCTCTCTACTTTTGGGCATTATGGTTTGCAATATAGATCATGCAAATATTTTTTAGAGAAACTAAATGCTACTTATTTAGGAGAGGATCCTAAGTAATGCTCAAGGGCCTTAAGGCTACTCCTTACAATATTAGGCCAACTGGGCCAATGGTTCAGTGTTAGGTCCAAAAACGTGGTGCTGTGATGGTGGGGGCCACTAAGGCCATCAGTGTGGTGCTGGAAATCTCCAGAGCTTCCCCCAGTGGCCAAGTGGTGTCAGGAATTGAACTTGGTCAGATGCATGCTATCTATACTATCTCTCAGGCTATCTATTGTACTATCTCTTCAAGCTATCTATACTATCTCCCTAGCCTCTTAATGCTACTTTATTGTCAATGTTTCTCCAATACACTTAAGAATTTAAAAGTAAGCTCCACACCAGGGTGAGCATCTCCTGTAGAAAAGTGGATTTCACTGCTGCTAAACTGAACATGACACTGTTGTTGAGGCCTTTCCTTCACAGGCAGATGAAGACCTCCCGGTCTTGGTGCAGGAGGAACAATACCTTTTCCCTGGTGAGCCTTCATCAGACAGTCCCCCACAAGCTGCATGCACTGGCTCCGCAGGGTGGCAGCACTGCTGCGGGCCTGGGGATCCAGCTTCTCGCCGTCCACTTCCTCTGTGTTAGCCAGGTGGGCACTGTAGAGGGCCAGGGCCGCAAAGAGCAGCCAAGCATAGTTGTGAATGTAGGGCTGGATGAGCCTCTGCCTGTCACTGATCCGAATGGTCACCATCGGATGGGCGGTGATGCTGTGTGTAGGCAAGTGGCTGCAAAGATAAGATATTTTTAAGGTCTACAGGTCTTTGTGAGGCTCCAAACAGGAAAACAGGGCTTATTGGGAGTCTGTGCTGGTCACAACTGGAGATGCTACCTCTAGGTTGGGATTACTAAAAAATTTAAAGACAGGAAAGGGTCTTCTCCTCAGAAAAAGAAATGAGCACAAACCTGGTACATACATTCAGGATTTTACAACCCCCAGAAGACTAGCTATAGAAACCAAGATAGGTAACAATTCTTCATTTCTGGGGTTTGTTCCTGGGTCGTACCTGGCAGTGCTTGTTCCTGGTTCTGCACTCAGGGATCACTCTTGGTGGGCTTGGGGGGCTATATGGGGATCGAACCTGGGTTGGCTATGTGCAAGGCAAGTGCCTTACCTGCTGTACTATCACTCTGTCCCCCCAATTTAAAAAAACTTCTTGTATTTTTGGGCCACACCTGGTGTGCTCAGGGGATACTCGTGGCTCTGTGCTCAGGGACCACTCCTATTTGGGCTCAGGGGACCATACGTAGTGCCAGGGATCAAACCCAGTCAGTCACATACAAGGCAAGTGCCCTATCTGTTGTACTATCACTCTGGCTCTTTTTTTTTTTTTAATGTATCTTGTTTTTTAAAAAGCCACTCAGCTGAAAGTTTAAGAGGCCTAGTTACAACATGCTTATGCTCTAGTACTGCTGCTTTTATCTGAGACAAATAACTCTTACTGTGACACTTTGCAGGTCATAGTATTTTCAATGTGTGAAAAATGTCTAATTCATTTTTGTTTTGGGGGCACCCCTGGCGGTGCTCAGAGCTTACTCTTGATTCTGTACTCAGGAATCACTTCTGGCAGCTCAGGGGACCAGAGGGATGCTAGGGATCAAACCTGACTGGCTATGTGCAAGTCAAGTGCCACACCCGCTGTACTATTGCTCTGGCCCCAGTGCTTGCAATTTAGAGATGGATCTGAAGTAGGAAGTAGGTAGTAAGAAAATAATTTAAAGTTTGTAATCTAGGGCTGGGGGCAGGGTGGGTGAGAGGAACCTTTAAGACACTGGTGGAGGGAAGTGGGCACTCTGTCTTGAGTGTAATGTTCAAATGAGGTATGCATAAAACTGTCATTAACAGTATTATAAATCACAGTACTTCAATAACATGTAGTTAAAAAAAATAAAATAACTTTAATAAAGAAAAAAAAACCAAAAAATGTGTTTGTTTATTAAAGTGTTTTGGAAGTTTTTCTTAAGTTCCGGGAAACAATACTCTTTTTATAATGTTTCTGGAGGGTAGAGGGAGGGAAGGGGGAAGAGAGGAAAGGGAGACAGACACTAAGCAAAAGAGGGAGAGAGAGGAGGCAGAAGAGGAAAGAGGGGAGAGAGAAGAGGAGTGAGGAGAGAGAGGGGAGGAGGGGGAAGGGAGAGAGAATGAGGGGGGGGGAGAGAGAGAGAGAGAGAGAGAGAGAGAGAGAGCGCAAACACACATACCAAAACAGCAGAACTGTACTGACTGTGGGATCTGAATTTGGGGGCGAAGGGGTGTCATTGTACTCATCTCTTTAGTTGTGGGTATATTTGAGATTTTTGTAAAAAAAATGTTTTTATAAGAATCCCCTTTTACAGAAAAGGAATACATACAGAAAAGGCTACAAGAGGGCTAGAGACCATCTGAGACATACCCGTAGGAATATTTCTTTGCTGCATAGCATCCATAGCAAAGATCAAAGTCGTCACACACATTGCAATTCATCCTCCGGCCTATGATCAAGCCCTGGCAGTGGTCACAAGTGAACTCCATGTTCACCATTTCATGGTCATCCCCATGGCCCTCAGGCTTCACCCCACCTGAGGAAAAAATAGTTGTGTGAGGTGGACTGAGTAAAAGGCTCTTGGTCGGGCCAGTTTCTAAATCTAAACTGCTATCAGTATGAAGACTGTCACCAACTTACGGCTTAGTAAGCAGGGGCCATAGGATCTTCTCACCAAGGGCTTTCACCAGGGTGGCTGAGCTTGTGATGATAATCTCAGCACCAGAACTTCTTAGCAATGGTACTATAGACTGCCTTTCCTCTTCCAATATAACAGAGTCTGATGAAATAAATGACTAATTCCCATCATAACCACCCTTTGGCAGAAACAAGGCTATTCCTTGCCTCCTGTACTCTCTCTCCAGCCATGTGGGCTGTATCTTTTATGACCGGGTCATGGGTATAAAGAACATCCAACTACTCACTACTATTGATACTTTAGCTCAGCATCTATAAGTCAAGAGCACGTAAGATGTTGTGATGTTTGTTTTCTTTGTCAGTACTTCTTACTTCATATAATCATTGAATGATTCAGGTAGAAAAACAATTTCCTGGAAATTCAATTTCCTGGACACTCAATATATTCACTGGTGGCCAGTGATTTTTGTTTGTTTGCTTTAAAGCCACACCCAACAGTGCTGAGTGCTTACTCCTGGCTCTGAGCTCAGGATTCACTCCTGGCTGGGTTCGGGTTACTATATGAAGTGCCAAGGATCGCACCCAGATCAGCCACATGCAAGAAAACTGCCCTCTGCTAACAGGTCAGAGAATACCATTAAGCAAAATTTTTATTTAGCATAATGGGAATTTAAGAAATGATAAGAACAGAGAAGACAGAAATGACTATTACTTTGGAGTACAACATATTCAGATCACAAAATTTACCTAAGAAGCAAGTTTTACAGAGATCCATGTCACTGCACTGTAGACACCGGTAGCGATGCCAGGGGGCAATTTCATCACAACCATCACAAGAAATATCTACGTTTAGCAAGTCACAATAGCGAGCAATAAACATGTGCATCTGTAAGGTAAAATAAACACAATTAACCAACAGGGTTCCAAATATTACAATTATCTATTAAGCAACCCACCCTTCACTATATACTCAAAATATTCCAGGCACTGTACTAGGGGCTAAGATGAGAAGATAAAGGAACTTTGTGGGGCCACTCCCTCAAACAGACAACACTATACAGTTTAATAATATGGGAGCTGACAGGTAAATCTGAGAAGTCTAGAGAACACACAAAGGAATATCAATTGGTGCTAGGTTTTCAAAGGAGAAAATTCCTCAGTGTAGATATCAACTTTAGGATAGCATGTATTATTAGTTGGTTTCGAGTAAGTATGATGGCTGGTCTGATAGGAAGAATATCATGTACTAGATGAGACAATAAGGGGCAAAACAATAGTAATAAAAGAGGCAAAAGATTCACTACCTAGCATACTTTTCTTAGGAGGGATAACCAGATAAAGTAAGAAAAGTTAAGCCATAAAGTGTTTCAAATACTAGCCAAAAAGCTACCAATCAAAGAAAAAGTCACAATGTTTATATAGAAGAGTGGTATGACCAGATTAGAGCATTCTGAAATGTCCTTGGGTGATTAAGAGTAGACTGAAGGGCCAGAGAGATAGTATGGATGTCAACATGTCTGACTTGTTATATGGACAACACCTGCTTAATTCCTGGCACTATCAGGAATGATTCTGGAGCACAGAGCAAGGAGTAGCCCAAACCCCATCCCCCTCCCATCCCCAGAAGAACAAACTGAAGAGGACCAAGACTAGAGTCAGGCAAACTGACCATGACAGAGCTATTCAAGTACACCTATGGCAGGTAAAAACAGTGGAACTGAGCAGTAAGAAAGGAGGGCAGAGATGCATTCAAGGCAGCCAAAAGGAGGAAGCTTGGGAAATGGCTACATATGGGGCTCAGTACAAGGGAAGAGTCAAAAACATCCAGATGATCTTTGGTGTGGCTGCCTGATTAGACAAAGGCAGACACAGATAATACTGCAAAAAGATCACTGTTTCTAGGGATCAACAAAGGAAAACTTTCTGGAGAGACAGTAAGGACACTTTTTCATGAGGACACAAGTTGTTATACAAAGTACGTGAAGTTAAATGTAATTTCTATTTGTGCCCAGAAATAAGGGAATTAAATAACTAAGTCACTAAACAGCAGCAAACCAGAGCAAATCTGCCAAGTCACCTTGTAACTACAAAATGGCTTCCAGTAAGATAGTAACATAAAAGACAGAAAACTCACAAAGGCTGTTTTGGAGGATCAATCACAGAGGAGCTCTTTGAACAAGCAACTGGCACACAGTAGGCACATACAACTACAAAAATGAATGACTTAGAGGCAGCAGATGCCTGACAGAGTACGGTGATAGATAAAGAAATAATGTGGAGATGGTTACAGCAGATTGTCCAAGCCTGATATGTTTACCAGTTGAATTGGGTACAATTTTCTGACAGAAACATGGTGTTCCCTGCTGCTGCCACAGGAAGAGAGTGCTTCGTGCGGGACACCAGACTCAGCAAATCTACTTCTTGCTATAAATTAATAAACTGGCACTTAACATTATACTTCAGTTTCATGACTCCGTGCGCGCGCGTGCGTGCATGCGTGCGTGCGTGCGTGCGTGTGTGTGTGTGTGTGTGTGTGTGTGTGTGTCTAAGTCAAGTTCTACAGGAGGGAGCCAGTTTGTGACTGAGTCAAATTAGGATTCAGAGCTCCTGGTGTTAAAGACTATGCTTGAAACAGTCAGTTCACTAAGGACTGACTGCCATCTGGAGCCCTGTCAGGAGAGAGCCTAGTAGCAACCCCCCTCCCCCCACCCCCACAGACTCTCCTCTCTGAACTCCTAGCAAGTCACTTCAAATTACTCTTGTTGAGAGGTCTTACTTTCCTCTGCTTCTCTGGATCTTCCTGGGCTATTTTTTCATACCAGGCCTCAAACATGCCATCCTGACACTCATCCATCCATTCTGAATTCTGCTTGGCATCAGCAAGCTCATCTTCTTCACTCCACTGGCTGAAAAAGGACATAAAGAGAGAAAAGCATGCTTCTCCAACAATCAGAGTAAATGTCAGTTAGCAGACCGAGTTGGATATATGGGGCACTTCTAAACTTAGGAGGAGCCATCAATTTGATATTCAAAGTCGTAGTATTTAGGGGCCCAAGAAATAATACAGTAGGTAGGGAGCCTGCCTCACACACAGCCAAATCAGTTCAATCCCTGGCATCACATATGATCTCCCAAGTACCACCAGGAATGATTCCTGAATACAGAGCCAGGAATAATCCCTGAACACTGTTAGATGTGCCCCCCTCACGCCCCCCACAAAATACAACAGAAGTCCCAGTATTTTCAGTATTTGATAGGCATTTAAATATTTGACACACATGTATGTGTGTCTATGAGTGTGTGTATATGTATACCAACAAATAAATACAAGGTAAAAGTCTTTTCCAGGGCACTCTATAAGAAACAAAACATTAAGAGCTTGAAAAGTTGTATCTATACGGCATAATTCAACTCAATAAATACTGGTAGCTTTTATGTGCCAGACATTAGGGCAAATAATATGGTTGTTAAAAAAGTCTGATTTGGGGCCGGCGCGATAATATAGTGGGTAGGGCATTTGCCTTGCATGTTGCCAACTTGGATTCAATCCCCAGCATCCTGTATGTCCCCTGAGCGCCGTTAGGAATAATTACTGAGTGCAGAGCCAGAAGTAACACCTGAGCACTGTTAGGTGTTACCCCAAAAATAAAAAAAACAAAAAAAAAGTCTGATTTAATAAAAGTTAAAGCCCTAAAAGGCCGTGTGTTTTGAGGGTTTTACCTTTGGGTGAGGCTCAGGGGGAAAAAAAAAAAACCTCTCTGACTTATAAATGCTGGGGCTGGAGTGATAGTAACACTTGCCTCCCAAGCAGCCAACCCAGGTTTTCTCCCTGGCACTCCATATGGTCCCTTAAACACCACCAAGAGTAATTCCTGAGTGTAGAGCCAGAAGTAGTAACTCCTGAGTATTGCTGGATGTGGTTCCCAAACAAAAAATAAACAACAACAAAAAGAAATGCTCAGTATGGGATTGGAGTGACAGTATAGCGGGTAGGATGTTTGACTTGCATGTGGTGCCTTGTACATGGCTGACCCAGGTTTAATACCTGGCATCCCATACGGTTCCCTAAGCACCACCAGGAGTAATCTCTGAGTACTGAGCCCTCAGCACTGGCATCACTGGGTGTGAAGAAAAAGAAGTAATGTTCATTATACCCTAGTGAGATCAACAGGAGAATAGAATGTGGTGGTGCCATAGCTACAGCTCCCCCCTGGCTATTTTTAAGATCTTGATATAGTTAATCCTGGTGCTCAGTTTCAAATAAAGGGGTTCCCTTGAGATATAAAATTATAAATTTCCATAATTTTGGTTTACACTTTGCTTTAGCAACTAGAGTTATAAACAAAAAGATTTGCTGACAATACTAGCCAACAAATCCACATTCATGCACTCTACCAAAAAGACTCTAAGTCCATTCATACTTTAATTCTGGGCTACGTATTAAACTGGTAATGTAACAAGACTGTTATTGAGGGGGATGGTATCTCTTTGGATCTCACCTTGTTTTATCCTTACATATAATTACATATAAGTGGTGAGGCATATTCATCAAAAGTAGAAAAGCCAAGGAGATAGCTCACAGGGCTGGAATGCAAGCTTTGCATGCAGAAAGCCTGGGTTCAAACCCCAGAACCATCAGGAGTCAGGAGTAACCCTAAGCACCAAGATAAAGCCCAAAAACCTAACCTCTTTTCTTTTCTTTTTGGCTTTTTGGGTCACACCTGGTGATGCACAGGGGTTACTCCTGGTTCTGCATTCACAAATTACTCCTGGTGGTACTCGGGGGACCATATGGGATGCTAGGAATTGAACCTGGGTTGGCCGCATGCAAGGAAAACGCCCTACCCACTGCACTAAGCTCTAGCCCCATAAGAAACCCACCCTCTTAAAACAATGTAGAAAGAAAAAACCGAAGTATGCACCATCTTTCTTTATTATACTTTACCTTTTTGTAAGGTGTGAAGACATTATAGTGATTTAAATCACATATAAGCATAATTCAAAATACTGAAAAGGATTCTCTGATTCAACAAATTATATTAGTATCCCTATCTCTGACTTCATAATACCATCACCATAAGCACTACTATGCACCAGATATAGTGTCAAACATTTAGAACTAGAATTCATGTTTTCTTCAAAACAATCCTACTAAGTTTGTAGCATTATTATCTCCAGCTCTTAAGGATGAGGAAACTAAGGCACAGAGGGGTTGATTAAATAACTTGCCCAAGGTTATCCAACTAGTAGAAGGCTAAGCCAGGACATTACATGGAAAGTTTAGTCCCCTGTAATTTAAATTCCACGCTAGGGGCTAGGGTCCCTATATTCTATTATACTTCAGCACCTATAGAGCGCAAGACTCTTTTCTTACCTGATCACACTGTCATGGACACTTATATTTTCCTGTGACAGTTTCATGAGGAGTTCTGGTAACTGAATATCAACAAAGAAGGTGAGATCACTGGGTTCCCAGCCCATATCCAAAAGATGAAGCACAGCTGTCTGAACACAGGATAAAGCAGGCAGCAAGGACCTAACAAGGCAATAAAGGTGAAAATTATCAAAGCTGCCAGTCTCCAGTGGAGATGACAGAAACAACACAAGTCAGAAGCTTTATTTGTAAGTGGGAAAGAGAAGGGAACTACAGATTGCTGGTTGGGTTCCTAAGTATTTCCTTTCTTCTCATTTGCCATACAAACTCTCTTCAAAGGATGGCTTAAGTAAAATATTCTTGTAGCATACAGTAAGGTTTTTATCCGACCTAGGCGACAGTATATAGTACAAGTCTGAGTATACAAAGTACACTCAGATCTGAGTAAAAATATGACCCCCTGACCAAAAAAAAAAAAAAAAGCAAATTAGTCAAGGTCATGCAGTGCAATTTAGGACTGCAAGAGAATCATTTAATGAAAAGTTTATTTGTTAACCAATCTTCTCCTTTACTAAGGAGAAGATTGAGATATGACTTTTATATTCAAGTTTGTTTTGTTTTGGGGCCACACCTGATGATACTCCTGACTCTGCATTCAGACCTCAGGGGACAATAAGAGATGCCATTAACTCATCAAAAATTGAAAGTAACAGTTGATACAATCTGAAATAAACCAAGACCTAGTTTAAGAAAACTTACACTCCATAGAGATAAAAGCCTGGGAGAAACAATTCTGAACATGCATTCTGTTTAAAAAAAAATAATTAATGTGAGGTCAGGGAGATAGCTCAGTTGCAGAGCACAAACCTGCATGTGAGAAGCCCTGGGTTCAGTCCCCATTACCACAAGCAAACAAAAGAAGAGAATTACTTATTTTCTGGATAGTATAGTCATTCGGTACCTGTCATTCAAGCTGTTAAATCCTTTAATTGCTTTGACCAAAAACAGAACAAGTTGATAGTAAGTGTCTCGAATTTGTTTATGTAGATCTGCACCACAGCCTTCCAAGTGTCCAAAATAACTAGAAAGAGAAGAAATCACCAATTCAGTTACTATAACAACATAATTTACTTAACCATTATTCCTTACAAGGAAAAGAAGCAAGCTGCATGAAGTGGCACAGAGACTAGGTATGTACAAGCTAGATCAACTTTAGAAAATAACTGGCAAGTGAATCTATCTGCCTGCATCAAGAAGGTTGCCCGCACCAACAGCATGACTTGATGATTATCTTTCTTTGCTAAAAATCACCCATCCCACCACCACTTAGTGCCAGATATAGTGTTCAGTACTTTTCAAAAATTACCTTTTTCAATGTTCTCCACACAGGCAGACCTCCCCTGCCTTGCTAACTTTAGTATCATTTTCACTATTTTTTCTAACCTTGATCCTGGTCACCTTGGGACTTCAACACCATGGGAATTATGCTCAGTTCTTTATTCTGAGTCCCCTGCCCTCTTTATCTCCACCACCTTAAATATCCGAGTCTGATGGTCATACCCTTAACCTTGTCATTACAATTATGCCATTACCTCTAAAGTCCTGACTTGAGAACCCTATTCTGACCCCAGCCTCTCATTACACTACCTCTAAAACACACTCCCACATTGCGCTTTCAATCCCAATCCCTACTCCAGCCACTGCTCCTATTCTTTGTTCCACACCAGCTTAGATTCCATGACGTATCACCATAAACAAACATCAGCTCCCGCTCCCCCACCGTTTTTTGTTTTTTGGGTCACACTCAGCAATGCACAGGGGTTACTCCTGGCTCTGCACTCAGGAATCACTCCTGGCGGTGCTCGGGGGACCATATGGGATGCTGGGAATCGAACCCGGGTCGGTCGTGTGCAAGGTAAATGTCCTACCCACGGTACTGTCGCTCCATCCCCACATCAGCTCCCTTAATGCTTTCTCTCTCCATGAATGTGCTTGAGAAATAGTATACCAATATCAAAGCAATTGTATGTTGCTGAAGGAATAACCACACAACTAAACCAACTAGAACAACTTGAAGTCCAAAACTATAATCCTCAAATAGGCCCTCAAATTTTACAGGCAAGCTAATGAATGAGTTTTTTCAATTTTCACTATGTGAAACCTTTGTACCTGTCAGCAAATTACTACAACCTTATCTTAAAGTTTCACTATGAGCAGATGACTATCCCTATACTTCTGTTTGCTTTTTGGGCCACACCGGTGACGCTCAAGGTTAACTCCTTGCCTTGTGTTCAGGGATCACCCTTGGTGGATATGGGGGTCAGTATGTGGTGCTAGGTATCAAACTTGGATCTGCTATGTAAGAAGCAAGCACCCTCCTCAATGTATTCTCTCTCCAACCTATACCGTATTTTTTAAAAGAGAAATTATCATGTAGAAATATCCTCATCTGAGCACCACAAAATCTACGAATCAACTTGCATACATACCTGTTACGTCTTTTCCTCCTGCTACTAGTAGATTTCTTTCTTCTAATGTACCTGCTACTACAATATCCCATCTCTTTCTGAACCAAGTTTTCTTTGGTAACTGACTCATTCCCACTAGCTGACACACCTACTCTAACTTACAAGCCTTGAAATTATTCCACATCCATTCTAAATACTATGTTATTCCACTTCCCTTTCAGGATAAATTTTTCATGATAATTGTTTCTTTCTTCATTTCATCTTTCTCCCATTCTCTTTTCAACTCTGTTTGTATTCCTTATATACTAATAATTGTACTTACTTGGTAAACTCTTTCTGGCAGGACAGAAGCTCCAAAAGGAAAAGTATAAACGGTGGGTGGAAGCAATGAGGCTGTCCAAGGGATTCTGAACAATACTGAATTATCCTCAGGGCTTCAAGGATGCTTTGGGCTTGGGCTTTCTTCAAGGAAAGAACCTTTATGATGCTGGAAAGAGAACTCAAGTCATGAATGCTCGAAAAATTCTTGAGCTGGGACAAAAGAAAACATATTTCCCATCAAAATTCTATTATTAAAAAGAAAATATTCAGAGGCATCTGCAATATAATTCTGGAAGTATATTAACACCTGTTTATTATTGTTATCATTAATCCACAGCATTACAAATCTGTTCACAACAATTACCTAAAAGGCCAAAAACCCATATTAAGAAATTATTAAGGTACTGCAGCACTATTCACAATAGCCAGAATCTGAAAACAACCTGAGTGCCCAAGAACAGATGAATGGATAAAGAAATTATGGTACATCAACACAATGGAATATTATGCAGCTGTTAGGCAAAATGAAGTCATGAAATATTGTTATAAACAGATGGACATGGAAAGTATCATGCTGAGTGAAATGAGCCAGAAGGAGAGGAACAGATAAAGAATGACTGCATTCATTTGTGGTATATAAAAATATATAGTAGAAGACTAATATCCAAGGTCAGGGAAAACAAGGGATAGGAGGACCGGTCAATGGTTGAAATCTACAAGTGTGTGTGGGGCGGTGGCTAGGTAAAATAAAGAAGTGATAAGTACAACAATAATAGTTGGATACGATCATGCTGGACAAGAACTGAGTGTTAAAAGTAGGTGAAGGGATATACACGACAACCTTTCAGTATCCATACTGCAAACCACAATACCCACAAGTGGGGAGGAGAGAGAACGGACAGGGAGGAGAGGGAGGAGAGGGAGGGGGAGAGAGACAGAGACAGAGAGAGGGAGGGAGGGAAGGAGGGAGGAAAAGCACTGCCATAGAGGCAGGCAGAGGGTGGGGGTGGGGGGTGATGGAAGGGAACCTGGGGACACTGGTGCCAGGAAATGTACACTGGTGGATGGATGGGTGCTGGAACACTGTATGACAGAAACCTAATCATGAGCAGCTTTATAAGGAGCTATCTCAGTGATTCAATAAAAAACTATTGAAAGAAAAAAAAAGAAATTATGAAGATGCTAGATATTATAGAGGTTAAAATTCTTGTCTTGCAGAAGACTGACATTGCTTTGACCCCCAACAATATAAAAAGAGTCCTCTAAACACTGCCAGGAGTGACCCCTGAGCACTGCCAGGTGTGGTCCCAACACCATACTCCCAAAATAAAAGAAATTAAGGGTTGGGGATATGGTTCAACATCAGAACATATGCCTTATGTGAATGAGAACTGGGGTGAATCCTTAGCATCACAGAAAAATAATTCAAAAGGAATTTGGTATCTTTTCTTTCTCATAAAAACAAAGTTTTAATTCTTAGAAGACAAATTTAAAACATGCCTCCAGAGATGTACATTCATACTAACAAAAAATTTAGACAGAAAATATGAAATCCTAAGTTTCTAGGACTAACAGAAGACAAATTTGTGATAGCTACCAAATTTTTTTTCACCCAAATAGTATAGTATTACAATATAATTTACAGACACTGTATTATAATGTACACCTTTTTTAAAAAAAATAAATAGTTTCATTTGGAGGATTTTTAAAGTGTGGAGGGTGAGAGAGTGAGAGAGTAATGTACTCGAGGGGCTGGAGCAATAGCACAGTGGGTAGGGCGTTTGCCTTGCATGCAGCTGACCCAGGTTCAATTCCCACCATCCCATATGGTCCCCCGAGCACCGCCAAGGGTGATTCCTGAGTGCAGAGCCAGGAGTAACCTCTGTGCATGGCCGAGTGTGGTGAAAAAAAAAAAAAGAAAGAAAGAAAATAATGTACTCAAGAGAGAACACGGGCTTCTGCAAGGGTGGAGAGAGCCCCTACACACATCCTAGCATTAGACACAAAAACATGAAAGTACACATCTCAAGAGGGGAGATGCGGGCGACACATGTGCTCGGGCACCACATGTGATCGGCCTTGTGGGCGCAAGCAACACATGGGCTCTGGGCAGCATATGTGCCTATAATGTACACTCTTAAAATAAAAAAATACTTATTAGGACAAAAATGTGACCCACTATTTTAAGTGAACATTCTAAAACAAATCTTGACCTAGCTTTTGGCTCATTTTCAACATGAACTTCAAAACTCTAGCTAGCCTGAGTACCTATAGTTTAAAAAAAAAAAGAGTTAGAAGTATTACCAAACTGCTGGACTCACCTCTCATGTGAGAGTGACTGGTCTTTAATGAAGTCCATGACATCCTTCAGTACCGGGTATTTCTCTTTCATTGTGGGCACTAATCTGGCCTCCTCCATGGACCGAAAAGAGAGCAGCCGGAGTCGCCCTCGAGTGAAAGGAGGCCGCCTGGTGGGTGTGGAGGGTGATGAAGGCTCTTCAGTCAGGGCAGAAGTCATGTCTGGGGTCACGGGGCCATTACTGGCAGGCATCTTTGTCTGCACATCCAAGCCAGAACTGTCTCCCGCAGCAGAGGAAGCTGCCTCTGCGGGAGGTGGTGAAGCCTGGAAATGCTCTTCCACCACAGAGCTTGTCCTCGGACGTTTGTCAAGTAGCTGCAGATGAGCAGTTTCATCTGTAGTCACCAATCTGTCACAGTTTTCTTTAGAATTTACACCCACAGGCAGAAATTTCAATAATAGAATACTCTTCTGAATACATTCTTTTGCTAAATGCAAAAAAGGATAGTGAAAAAAAAAAAAAACAAAGGTAAATGTACTGCCTGTTTTCAGAAAGAACATAATCTATACTATCGAAAGCTGGAACGATAACACAGGGGGTAGGGCGTTTGCCTTGCACGTGGCTGACTGGGGTTGACCCGGGTTCGATTCCTCCGCCCCTTTTGGAGGGCTGGCAAGCTACCAAGAGTATTGCGCCCACACGGCAAAGCCTGGCAAGCTACCTGTGACGTATTCGATATGCGAAAAACAGTAACAACAAGTCTCACAATGGTGCCTGCTCGAACAAATCGATGAACAACGAGAGGACAGTGCTACAGTGCCATTAGGTCTAGAGTGATAGTACAGCAGGAAGGGTGCTTGCCTTGCACATAGCTGACCTGGATTCAATCCCTGGCACCCCAGACAATACCCTATATTCAATAAGTCAAAGTTTAAAAAAAAAAGTTTTGTAAAAAAAAGTTTTTCAGGGTTAGAGAGTAGTATGGTGGGCAGGGCGCTTGCCTTGCATGTGGCCAACTCGAGTTCAAGCCCTGTCACCCCAAATGGTTTTCTGAGCCCCATTAAGAGTGATCCTTGAGTGCAGAGCCAGAAGTAAGCCCTGAGCAAACAGCAACAAAAAAGGAGGAAACAACAACAAAAAAAGGTTTATGATGTAAAAAGTCACAGTGGTCATTTTAAAACATGTCTGGAGACTAGGGAAAGGACTCCTCCATCTACCCCTCACCCAATCTTTGGGACTGGAGAGATGTCTCAGTGAGTTGGAGTACACACTGAGCATGCAGGTGGCCCAGGTGCAATGCTGCGGAACACTGCACATGGCTCAGTACAGTCGGGAGTGAACTCCTAGCACTGAATTAGGAAAAGTCCCAAAGCACTGCTGGCTGTGGTCCAGCATAAAAAAGTGTCATCAACCCTATTAGTATTTGTTTCATCTCCACCCAATTCCTAGATTATTTCCATACAGATCCTAGTTATGACATTGTTCCTTAATTAAAACTTCCATGGGCTAGAGGCAATACAGTAGGTAAGGTGCTTGCCTTGTATGCAGCTGACCATGGTTCAATCCCCAGCACATGTTAATAGTTGCTGAGCCACCACAAGGAAGCCCTGAGCACCACCAGGTATGGCTCAAAACCAAAAATAAAACTTCCACATTTAAAAAAATAATATAGGGGCTGGGGAGACAGCACAGCGGGTAGGGCCTTGGCCTTGCACGCGACCGACCCGGGTTTGATTCCCAGCATCCCATATGGTCCCCTGAGCACGGCTAGGAGTGATTCCTGAGTGCAGAGCCAGGAGTAACCCCTGTGCATCATCGGGTGTGACCAAAAAAAGGGCAAAAAATAAATAAATACATAAAATATCACCATGATGTCATTTAAAAAATTAACAGTAATTCCTTTATATTATTGACTACATTTTAAAAGTGTGAATACATTAAAAAATATAACAAGATATAACTCTAAAAATACCTTATTCCCCTTAGAGAAATAATTAGAAAGCTGCTTCATTCAAATCATGTTAATAAACAATTCTTCCTTTCTACTATTTTTTCTATTTGTGACAAAGTCTTGGAAACTATACTTAGTGTCTATATTACATTCCCTAGAGCAATATTGTGCTGACTCAAATAATCAAGAAGAGAGGTCTCTGGTTTCCTATGCAATGAACCGAGAAGATCTACAACATCCCTTGGAGTTATCACACTTACCCAAGATCTCAGGGTTTGCCTCTGCAACAGCTTCCAATCCGCATTGATCTTCGGTCTCATCGCCTAGGCGCATCAGCAACTTCTGCTTCATCTCTAACTGGAGAAGGGGAGGATTTGAACATAAACATAAATTATGCTGTCTGGACAGGGCATCAGGGCAGCATGGGCAGTGAGAGAAAACTACTTCAAAAGCATAATTATGGGGGAACTTCCCAGTTTTTGTCCAGCCAAAAACTGGACTCAGCTAGTTCTGCTTGTTCTAGAAGTAGCCAGGCTTTGAAGCAGTGTAGAGGTATGCCAATCAAATCACCTTCCTTTGGACTCTATGTTGGGTGATTTGTGTCCATAACCTTATTATAATTTTCCATAATTACCACACCATATTTGATGGGGTTGAAACAGTAGGCAACAAATCATAGAGGGAAATATATGCCTCTAAGAGAGCCTGGCAAGCTACCGAGAGTATCCTGCCCGCACGGCAGAGCCTGGCAAGTTACCCGTGGCATATTCGATATGCCAAAAACCCTAAGAATAACTACTCTCATTTCTCTGACTCTGAAAAAACCTCCAATATGGCAGAGTTGGGAAAGACGAGTAAGGACAGGCTGCTAAAATCTCAGGGCTGGGGTGAATGGCGACATTACTGGAGCCCGCTCGAGTAAATCAAACAACAGGATGACTGTGATACAGTGAACCTTATTATTTAAAAGGTTCTTAAACATGAATGCTGGAGTGGCTGTCCCATAAAATTAACCTAGTGGCCATGAAGAAGCTGTACTCTATAGGCACAGGGGTCTTGTTAGGGACACCTACAGATTTGCAGCACAGGTCAGACCAAAATTTGATCTCTATTCTACTCTGAACAAGAGGTCACCTCTGAGTGAAGCTGAGATTGCAAGGCAGAGAATGATGCTACTGGTACCAAACCAGGCAAGAATCACAGCCTGGGTCACAGAACTGACAGCTCAAGAAGGCTGTGTGAGGTGTATAAGAAGTAAAAGTCCTGGGTGAGAGAGATAGTATTCAATAGGAAAGGAGCTTGTCTTGTATGCAAATGACCCAAGTTCAATCCCCGGCATTGCATACAGTCCCCCAGCCCTGCCAGGAGTGATATGTGAGCTCAGAGACAGGAGTAAGTCCTGAGCACTAACAAATAAGGCCCCAAAACAGTCTTCAGAAAGCTTGCACAGCACTAAGTGAGAGATAATGGTATTGATTTTCTGCTGTAACAATCTCCTTGCACTGACCTGGAGCTATAGCTTTGCCTTGCCTATGTGAGTCACTTGTCTTACATATGTGACGCCCTGAGTTTCTCCACTGTTGCCAAAGGGAAAAGAAAAAAACCTTGCATTCTGAGAGTATATCCAACTCAGCCAAAATTGAGTTTATATTTTTCCCTAAGTTGAGTTGCAGTTCCTTGTCATGTTACACTGGAAATTCTAGACTTGGAGAGATAGTACAAAGACTAAGGATCTTGCCTTGCATGCAGTCAACCCCTGTTGTGAAGGTCCTGGAGAGAAAGGCAGCATTTTGTTCAATTCTGTCCTTTGCTAAACATAATCTACAATGTATATGTATTGTCAACTGCCAAATCATTTTTACTTAATCTAAGGCAGCTGGCTATCAGACACCCTTTTTCGTGAACTTGCCTTGGTTGCTCCTCACAACACACTCTTCTGTCTTCTGATGCTCCTCCTGCTACTCTGATGACAATTTCCAGTTTCTTTTGAGAGCTCCTGTTAATTTTGATCTCTTTCTATCTATTCAATGTATCTCGGGCACCAACTATGTTCTTAATAATTTAAAATTCTGTCCAATGCCGTTTCTTAAATAAATATATATATTTTAAAAACTATTATCAATGACATGAAGTTGTCCTTATTTATTGTGATAATTTCAGAAAGTATCAGGGTTTTTTTTGCTGTTGTTTCATTTTGTTTTTTAGCCACACCTGTGGTGCTCAAGGCTTACTCTTGGCTCTGCACTCAGGAATTACTCCTGGCAGTGCTAAGGGGACCATATGGGATGCTGGGGATAGAACCCAGGTGGGACTTGTGCAGTTCAAGTGCCCTATCTGCTGTACTATCACTCTAGCCCAGTATCAGTTATTTAATTCATATTCTCAAACTAGATATCTTCACACTCAACAAGTCCTGAACCAAACTCCCAGATATAAAACCATTTCTCCCAGTCTGGTCAATGTTTCTAATGCCCACCAACTCACCCAAACATGGGAACACCCCTACATTCCATATTCATTTATTTATCACTAGCAACAATTACAGAGTCTAATATTTTATCTCCCAAGTATCTCCTCATCTTACTATTACAATTAGTCTCTTGTTGTTAATCTCATTATCCATCCTCTACTAGGGCTGGAGTGAAAGCACAGCGGTAGGGTATTTGCCTTGCACGCAGCCAGCCCGGCTGAGCTGGGTTCGATTCCTCCGCCCCTCTTGGAGAGCCCGGCAAGCTACCGAGAGTATTCAATATGCCAAACACAGTAACAAGAAGTCTCACAATGGAGACGTTACTGGGCCCGCTCGAGCAAATCGATGAACAACGGGAGGGCAGAGCAGGGCAGGGCATCCATCCTCTACCAAATGAAGCTGGAGCGATAGCATAGCGGTCGTGGCTGGCCAGGCCAACCTAGGTTCGATTCCTCTGCCCCTCTCGGAGAGCTCAGCAAGCTACTGAGAGTATATCGCCCACATGGCAAAGCCTGGCAAGCTACCCGTGACATATTGGATATGCCAAACACAGTAACAACAAGTTTCACAACAGAGACATTACTGGGCCTGCTCGAGCAAATCGATGAACAATGGGAGGACAGTGCTACAGTGCAGTGCTACCAAATGAAGATTTTTTTCCTCAATTACTATACAATAATAAACATGCATATGAATATATTTTAAAATAATGACTTAAAAGAATGCATCTTCATGACTGAGAAATAAAAATAACACTCCTGAATTTAGTGTTTATCATTTCCAAGCATTTGTGAAATGTCAGTACATATTTATGTAACATATAGAGTTGGTTTACACTTAGGCTTTATATATGGAATATCATGCTACATTCTACTATGACTTGTTTTCACTCCCTCATCCTCATACTTGTGAGAGCCATCAACACTGACATTTCTCTCTCTATTTTACTTACTTTCATTATGCTACAGTATATTATATTAAAATAGAATTACATAGCAACATAATATTTGGGGGGAGGGTGGGGGTTGGTCACACCTGGCAGTGCTCAGGGCTTGCTCCTTACTCTGCACTAAGAGATCACCCTTGGCGGGGCGTGGGGAACCATAAAGGGTGCTAGAGATCAAACCTGAGTCGGCTGTGTGCAAGACAAGGACTATCAAGTACTCACCCACTACACTATCTCTCTGGCCACCCTGCCATTAATCTTTTTATCCTTTCTCCAACTGGTGATTCTGTTGTTTTACCAGGTATTTTGCCACCATAATGTCATAGAACCACTTTTCTACAATTCAGATATGAGAGGCCTCTTCCCTGCCTGAAAGAGTCAAGGATTGCCTAGTACCTAAATCAGACTTTCCCAAAATGGGTACTAGTGTCCCCTAGGAAGGATCCAGGGGAGTGACAATACCTTTAAGTGCAACTTGGGAGGTTCTTTATGTTTGTTCTATCAAATAGGGAACATTTCGGGTGAGGGGGAATTGCTAAGTGTGGGGTTCTAAATTATTTTACACCTATTCATGATAGTAAGCTTTATTTTTCATGGCAGTAAACATGAGATTTAAAAATAAATTGTAAAGATGGGGCTGAAGTGATAGTACAGTGGGTAGGGCATTTGCCTTGCATGCTGTCGACACGGGCTCGATCCCTGGCATCAAATGTGGTTCGCTAAGCACTGACAAGAGAATTCCTGAGTACAGAGCCAGAAGTAACCCTAGTACTTCTCTGTGTGGTCCAACATCCTCTTCCCAAATAATTATTCCTAAAGTTATTATTTTGAGACTATAATTCCATGATATAGAGGGGAAACTAAAAACACATAAAATCAAACAAAAAGGAAAAATCTTACCATCCATATTCGAATCCCATCTGCTAAGGAATACACCTGTGCAAATTCTTCACTCAGGGCTGCCTTGCCCCCACTATTTACTGGGGAAAGGAGAGAGGAAATTATATTCAGTCAACACAAGTAACTACTGCAACGTTAAGTACAAAGCAGGTTCTATATCTCAGAAAGAAAAAGCCCTGCCCTGAGACTCACATATTGCTGATTCAATAGAGAATAAAGGGAAAAATTCTTTGTAAGTCACAACATCAATACTCTGCAATATTGCTCTGAGTTATTTTAAACTAACAATTTCTGAAATGACACATTAAGTGAAGAAAGCATTAAAAATGTAATGTAAAAAACCACACAACACGCACACAAATTTGAGAGACAATATTAAAATTAAGCAAAAGACATATAAACTTCATAATATATAGCAATTAAAGAAGGCAAAATTGTCTTATTTTTAAAGAATACATTATTGTAAATTAAAAAAATAAGACATTTTAAAAAATAGAGTATACATTATTAAAACCATGATGATTATAAATATACCGAGATAAAAATCAAATATATATATACACTTATATATATTTATAAATATATATGTATAAGTACAAAAGCGAGATGCTAAGTGGTCAGATTATAGCAGAGAATTATTTTTATTTTTTTTTTAACCACCCCTAGCTGAGAATTATTTTAAGCTTTCCTAGACTTTTTGAGTTTCTACCCGGCAAGCTACCGAGAGTATTCGATATGCCAAACACAGTAACAACAAAGTCTCCAATGGAGACATTACTGGGCCCGCTCGAGCAAATCGACGATCAATGGGAGGGCAATACATTGAAAGGCTATTATTTTCATGATTAAAAAAAATTGTTTTTTATTGGGCTGGAGCAATAGTACAGCAGCTAGGATGCTTGCTTTGCACATGGCGAACCTGGGTTCGATCCCCAACAACCCATATGGTCTCCTGACCCCACTAAGAGTGATTCCTGAGTGTAGAGCCAGGAGTAACCCCGAGCACTGCTGGGAGTGGCTCAAAATAACCCAAAAACAAACAAAATTTTTTAAAAGATAGACCTAGGAGGCTTACCCCTTCTCTTCATGTAAAAACCAAAGGATAATAAACTAAAATAGTATGGAGTCCTCTGTTGAACCAATGTGTAACACAGCGAATATTTTCTGAATACCCAGAATGTTACTGGGCTCTACGCCAAGCTCTGGGAATTCAACAGACTCGAGTTCCACCCTGCTCTCAAGCAGCTTATAGTGTTCAACTGAATAACTGTCTATATATCTCTGACCCAAAATGGTGACCAATTTTATTTTTTAAATTTATATTTTATAGGTGTCACACCTAGTGGTGCAGGGTGATGAGGTACTGTGCAGGACTTGAACTCAAGAGCCCTGCACTTGTCAGGCACATATTCTACCACTTGAGCTAATTCCCTACCTCAAAGGTGACCAATTTTAGACAAGATGCATAAATTAGCTAGACAAAGACCAAAATTCTTCTTAGTCCTGAAAACCCATGAACAGTTCCTAGAGGTAGGAAAGAAAGAATAGAGAAAAACTGTCTCCATTACAAAGTAACAATTACAGGTAATCTAGAAACAACTCTGATTCAGGGAAATATTTCTAGTTCTAGAGTGTGTGTTTCTCCAACTGATAACTGAACATGATTTGATAAGGATTCCCAACAGAAAACCTTACGTAAAAAACTTAGGCGACTGAAGTAACATCAATTTTTAACTCTCTTTCAAGCTTCATACCTTGAAACATATATACCATGCTATAACAGCTCTAAATTTTCTAAAAGTATGACAGACAACAAATCTTTCTTACTAAAATGTAAACTATATACTGATTCTTTTTTCAAATTCAATAGAGGTCACCTTAGCCCATCCTCTTCCACATGAGTGTTTTTCCTTAAATTACTCCAATCCTGTCCCCAAAGTAGTTTTAGCAGGTTTAAAGCATATATTTAGAGGAAGTAAGCAAAATGTTCTAGAAATCAGGGAATAAATTCAGAGAACTAAAGAATTCAGCAATAAAGGTGTTATGATAATAACAATAACATGAATGACAGTCATCATGGTTTTAATAATGTAGACGGCTAAACAAAATACGCTCTGCTTATTTCACCTGCACCACAGAAAGAACATATACACTGCACAGGTGCTCTGTAAAACCCAATACTTCATCATTAAGTAGATCTGAGCAGCTGAAAGATTATGAACAGAGACTCTCTTTTCTTGTGGGTCCTGTCAGATTTCAGCCCTAATACACAAAAATGATGTTCCTGGGGGACATGAGGAAAAGAAATGGTGAAGAATAATAATAAAGGAAAATGAATAGAGATGATGCTACAAAAAAGCTGCAAGTCCAGAGGCAAGAATTTTATCTGTGTTTTTCTCTGTGATAAACTAAAGTATCTAAGATTTCTTTCTCTTTTCTCTGCCTGCTTTCTCCTTCCCATAGCCTACCCCAGATCCTTTCTGGGCTGTAGTCAGGGATCGCTCCTGGCAGGGTTCAGGGGACTATATGACTTTTCGAGATTGAACCTGGGCTGACCGCATGCAAAAAAATTGCCTTCCCCACTGTATTCTCTCTCCAGTTCTTCTATTTCTCTATTCAGTTATTTAGGTTTTATGGCCACACCTGGAAGTGCTCAGGGCTTACTACTAGCTCTGAGTTCAGAGACCACTTCTGACAGGCTCCGGGGACCACAGGGGGTGCCAGGGTTTGAACCTGCATCGGCCACATGCAAGGCAAATGCACTACCTGCTATACTGTCACCTGGGCCTTTCTTTTTAAGGGACCACATCCAGTGTCACTCCTGGCAGAGGTAAGCCCTCAAGTTCAGGCTTAATGGTTTGGTGCTTGGGTCTGGCAATGCTTGGGTTGCCACCAGGGTTATGCCAGGATGTGCTTGGGGGTCATTCAGTGCTGAAACTGGAACTCAGGGCTTTGAACATTCTAGCCCTACTTATCTCCCCAGCCCAAATTTTTATATTTGAGTAGGTATTATAACCCAAGAAAAGGTTTATTTTTCACTGGCTGTTTTGGCAGTTTTCCATGAAAATTTTGTTTAATGATTTTTTGTTTGGGGGACATCCAGCAGTGCCTATGGCTTACTCCTGGCTCTGTACTCTCCTCCCACTCCAGGAGATGTTTGGAGGATCATATGTGGTGTTGGGAGATACAACATGGGTTGGGTTCATGCAAGACAAGAGCCCTCCATGAGAATTTTGGATAATCACAAATTATCTGCTAGTTAATTACAAAACAGAAGCCCACTTGCCATGTATCATAATTTGCTAAATATAAAGTGATCAAAATCTAGCTGGCAAAGCAGAATTAACAATACGCAGCCTACTTTTGTGGAAATATGTGTATATTTCAAAATACTTAAAAATTTTCACTTAATATAGGCTTTCTTAGAACTCAGTAATTGGTCTTCAGATCAAAATATATTCCCTGTAATATAAGTTACCATATTTTTGCAGCTTCTCATATAAGTCTGGAGTTCGATATACCAGAGCAGCAAAGGTGGCGTTCACAGCTTGATCAATAGTGGAACCAGCAACTATATCTGTCTTTAGGGCCTGTTTTTTACATGCCTGTATGAATCCTTTGAAAAGATCTGAGTTTGGCCCACTGAAATTCTGGGAAGGATCTGATTGTGCAAACTCAAGAAGAAAACGGTGGCAGGGATCATCAGGAATGTTCTTAACCTGGGAACAAACAAATTGAAAAAAGTCATCACGATTAACACATTCATTCAAAACTAGTTTACTGAGCACTTAAGCTAAAGCAGAGGTATAAAATGTGATGCATACTCTCAAGAAGTTAAATCTATTTGGGGGGACGAGACAGACAAATGGCTCTAAAGAAAAAAAAGGTAGACACAAATAAAACATTAAAAGCATTAAGACTAGCACTAACATAAAGCAAAGATTACTAAGTGCCAAATGCCTAGGAGGGGCACCCAGTGCTGAGAATTCACAGGAGTTCCAGGCAGATTAAAGTATTAAGAAAAGCCTCCTGGAGAATATGGACTTTGGGTTGGATCCTAAAGAATGGGCAGGCTTGGCCCAGAGGAACATAACCATTAGCAGAAGTTGAGTCAGTGGGGAGACTGACCTGGCCTGAAGTCTCAGCTGGGGAGTGGTGGGAACTAGAGTCAGATAGGTAAGGTGAAAGGAGACTGTAGAGAGCCTTGACTGTCACACTGAGGAGTTTAGACTTCACCCTGTGGGCAATGGGGAGCCATTAATGGTGCTTGGCAGTGGAATGACAAGAGAACGCAGTGATTTAAAAAAAAAAATGTAGGTACCAATGTAATATTACAAGTACGAGATGAGAGCCTAGATGACGATGGAGATAGGGAAATGGAAAGAGAGGAACAGCACAAGGAAGAAGCCAAAGGGCTTGCATCTAACTGAAGAGAAAGGGTCAGAACAGGGTGGGGACAAAGGCAGTGGGAGCAGTGGCTCACCACTTCAGGAAATAATAAGGACAAAAACAGCAGCAAGCAGTTAAGAAAGACAATTTGATTTTACAACTCTGAGTTTAAGTGAGTCAGGACACTGAAACAGAAGTACTTAACAGAAAGCTGAAGATACATAGTTGAAACCTGAGAGAAGAACCAGGGCTAGAAACTAATATTTGGTAATTATTCACACAGGTGTGACAGCAGAATAGAAAAGTGGGGGTAAAGTCTTGGATTCTGGAAAAGAAGACAAAAACCTGAAGAAAGCCTTCTGCTTAAAGAGGAGTAAGAGAAGTCAGTAAAGAAAGCACTACAAGACTGGGCCTATAGTGTTATGAACTGTAATAAGTTTTGAAACTTATGCTTTTAATAAACGTTTAAAACTTTATTAAAGTTTTAATGGGCTCAAAAGAAGAAAGGGTGAAGGAGCCAGACTTAACAGAGCAGTAAAGTACAGATGCTAAGGGAAAAAAGTTTCTGGATGTAGGCATTTACGATACTGAGAGAGGAGAAGGGTAGAATGGAAAAAGTGGGGAAAAGTAGACTATAGAGATAGAAGGAAGGAGAGATGAAAAAAAGTGGACAAACTTTAGTTTTAAAAACATACAGCAAAAATAATTTACTCAGAAGGCACTAGAAATAGATTAAATTTATTTGATAAATCCATCAGGAGAGATTTTCTGGGCATGTCAGCAATGTATTTCACTGAAAACTTTTTCATTCAACTATTTTGGGGCACTCATTAAATGGCTGCCCCTGTTCATACCAAGTGAACAAAGGAAGGCTTTTGCCTCCAAGGAGCAAAAAGCTTACTGAGAGGTGAAAAGGTACAAAAACGAATATTTACAACTTAACATAACAGATACTAATAAACATTTTCCACTCCAAAAATACAGACAAGAGAAGAATAAATACCTCTTTACTATTCTGGGATGTGTGAGTGGGCCAGTTCGTTTCTAATTTCAACTCTGGACATATCTGATGTCTGAAGACAGGTTTCCACAAGGGGGAGTTTAGTACTGATGCCATTTTTGCCTGAGATAGTGCCATGTTACTTCCTAACTCTGGAAAGAGAAGAAGGCCTATGAAATTCTATTTTTTTCCTCCTAATCATACTGATAACCTTAAAGCTGACCCAAAAAACCCAGTTTTAAATAGTTTAGGAATTATTGAAACCTGTACAGAATTCACTATTTACTAAAATTATAATTGTTATAGGTCATAAACATATATCCCAGATGAACCCAAACCAAAAGTCCTCAAATGTTGCTATTCTATGGGACATTTTGTTACTTTACACACATGAAATTATTTATCTACTAGTAAGCAGAAAACAGAAATGTAAACTATGACTATGGTATATAAGAGTAAAGTAAAGGCCCTCCCATTGATCTTCGATTTGCTCGAGCGGGCCCAGTAACGTCTCCATTGGAGACTTTGTTGTTACTGTGTTTGGCATATCGAATACGTCACGGGGAGCTTGCCAGGCTCTGCCATGAGGGCGAGATACTCTCGGTAGCTTGCCGGGCTCTCCGAGAGGGGGTATAAGAGGACGGCCTTCCCCGATAGAGACGGACCGGACTTCGGTCGAGGGTATATAAGAGAACACTTAGGAATTTTTAATTATAGGGAAAGTTTTGATAGTACAGTGAGTAAGGTGCTTGCCTTACATGCAGCCCACCCAGATTTGATCTGCATATGGTCCCCAGACCTCTGCCAAGAGTGAGCCCTAAGCCTGGAGGAAGCCCTGAGTACAGCTGGTTGTGGCTCAAAAAATAAATAAATAAATAAAACCAAAAATAAAAACAGAGAGAAAAAAACTCACAATTTATACATTTAAGACTGCAATATTAAATCACTTTAATAAATAAATCACATTAACATTTCTATGGGCTGGAGCGATAGCACAGCGGTAGGGCGTTTGCCTTACAAGCGGCCAACATGGCCGACCCAAGTTCAATTCCTCCGCCCCTCTAGGAGAGCCCGAGAGTATCTCGCCCGCACGGCAGAGCCTGGCAAGCTCCCCGTGACGTATTCGATATGCCAAACACAGTAACAACAAGTCTCATGATGGAGACATTACTGGGCCCGCTCGAGCAAATCGATGAACAACGGGAGGACCATGACCGTGATAACATTTCTATATGTTTATATAAATACTCATATAAAGAATATTACAACGATTTACTCTATATTTCTGCGTTCTTGTTGAAGTATAGCAAAATTCACTTACAAAAAAAAAATGACAATTCTGCTACAAACCAGCTCTCGAGGTTAAGATGTATGTGAATGACAAGAGTTCATAATTTGCATGTGTGAGGCCCTGAGTATAACGTCAGATCATCCCTCCCCACACCCTTCAAACCACCCCCCCAAACCCTGCTCTCTTTTCCACTTGTTTTCTTTAGACAAAGATAATCTGCAGCATCCTCTGTGATGTGCTCCTTAAGGAATCTGATGAAAATGGTATCAATATATTCTGGTTTAGTTTAAAGGAACTAAAAGGTTCTATCAGAACCTTTGCTCTGTCATTATGTGGAGACAACTTACAAGACACCTCTAACTCTTCAATATGGCTGCAGTAAGAAGGGAAGGGGCAAGCACGTAGACTTACTATGCACAGTCTTGAGCGCCATGCACTGGGAAGCAAGGCGTCCCATCAGTCTGGAAACGAGGAGTTGTAAATCCAACCCCCAAGACACAGCAACATCTGGCAGGCCATAGGCAGTGACAGTAAATTTGTAGCCCCATTCGTTGTTACTGCTGTCAGAGTGGAAGAGAAACTGTAGCCGAGGACCAGCCTTAAAGGTAACTTTCTATAGGCAAACAAAAAAGGCATGTGGTCAAACAGATGGAGAAGGCAGTATTTCAGTAATAAGCATGTTTTCCTATCTCAAAAACTATAAATGCGAAATCAGTCTATACTTTCACCATAAAAGTACAGTAGGTTGGCTGAAATATAAAAATACAGTAGGGTGACTGAAATAAAACTCACAACTGCACCTTATATAAAAAACAAATTTAGCAGAAAACTGCTGGTCAGTCTTCTAAAACTCAGTTGCCCATCTGCTGTAACTATTCAGCCAAAAATAATGAATTTCATCTATTCCTTTGCTCCCAACTAAGACTTCTGATGGCTGAATGAAGGCCAACCGTCTAAAGCAATATTTAACTGCCCAGTTCTACAGATCAAACAGATCAAACAGACCTCGCTGTGAGGTACACTGGCTTTTACCACTATGGTTTGGGCCCCTCTGGACCCACCAATCCTTTCTTGCTAAAGATTACAACTCCCTGAACCAGAGAGATAGTACAGGAGATAAAGGAGCTTGCTGTGCATGCGAGGCTGACCCTGGTTCAAACACTGCATATGGTCTGTGGAGCACCGCCAAGGAGTGATCCCTGGGCACAGACCCAGGATCTGAGCACTTCTGGTGATGGTCCAACAACTACCCCCCAAACCAAATCCCCAGCATTGATGCTGCCAAATTGTAACTTCCTGTTTACTCTGGCAATCTGAAAATATTCAGAGGCTTGCAAATATGAAAAAACAGACAGTAAATTATTAGACTTTCTGAGCCAGATAGACTTTATGAGTCAGGAAGTATCTGCTAAAACCACTCATTACAATGTCAAAGCAGCTACAGATGATATATAAGCAAATGGGAATGGCTGTATTCCCACAAAACTATTTATCAGGCCAGGAAATAGTTCAATGGTTAGGTTGCTTGTGCCCAACCCAAATTCCCTCACATTCTTGAGCCCTCACACTGGATCACTGGCCAGTGAGCACCACTTGGGAGTCCAAAAAAAGAGAGCTCTAGTAGGACCTCTCCTTTTACGAAGTGTGACTGAAAAGCTTCCCTTCAAAGATCACACCTTCAAGCTAGAGAGATGGCTCAGAGGGCTAGGGATACTCTGAGCACGTGGAAACCCAGGGGTCCATTCCTCGCAACATATGGTTCCCAGAGTCCTGGGTGAGCAACCACCAGCACCAAGCTGACGATAGCCCTCAAACTAAAACACAAAAACAAAGACAAGATTTTCCTTGTCTCCTGAGGGCTAAAAAGAGAGAACTAATGTAGTAAAAATTTCATTTCTTTACGGGGAACCACTTACCTTGGGCCATTTCTCAGTGCCAACTTTGGTATCATAGCGTGTTTTTCCACCTCTAGAGTCCGTAAATTCTAGGTAATCGTACCTGTGAAAGCATAATCTCTGTCACTTCCTTCTCTCAGTTTTGTTTCATTACTTGGGGCAAAAGAACACGTGAATCTTACCTTTTTTCAGTTTCACACTTCTCATCAAATTCTACCTCGAAATACGTTGCCCCTGGGCTAACAAAGATAGACACATCATGGCAATTATTTTCATAGTTGTGAGCAGATTCTTTTGTCCAAGTATGCAACACCACTGGCCGCTCTTGCTGCCAGGACTCAACATCAAGCTAAGCAAACAAATGAAGAGAAAAAGGGTTTTATCACACAACATTGGATGATAAGCAATAAATTGTTTCTATATCAGGGCTCCAGAGAAAGAGGTAGCCTTTGAGGACCCTACACGAATCATCACACTGACTGTCACTGTCATCCCATTGATCGTTGAATTACTCGAGCGGGCGCCAGTAACATCTCTATTCCTCCCAGCCCTGAGATTTTAGCAGTCTCTTCTTACTCGTCTTTTCCCAACGACTGGAGGCTCTTTCAGGGTCCGGGGAATGAGACCTGTTGTCGTTACTATATTTGGCATATCGAATACGCCAGGGGGAGCTTGCCAGGCTCTACCTGTGCGGATGGGATACTCTTGGTAGCTTGCCGGGCTCACTGAGAGGCATACATTTATAAAATATATATAAATACACATAAAGTATATATTTATATATCAATATTAAATACATATTTTAAAAAAGGTAAGGAAAAATAAAATTGCATCCCCAGCACAGGAAAACACACAATCCTGTTATGACCTGAATTGTTGGCAGTGTCAGCAATTTAGTTATACTTTCAACTGGAATCTAAATGTTCTTATTATCTTCCACCAAGTCTCTTTATATCAGAGAACAAGCAAAGTTGGAAAGAACTATTTAATTAACATAGTGTTAATTAGTGGACAAGTTTCTTTGGTCATGAAGCCAAATTCAATAAAATTTAGCGGTAGGGCGTTCGCCTTACACGCGGCCAACATGGCCGACCCGAGTTCGATTCCTCCGCCCCTCTCGGAGAGCCCGGCAAGCTACCGAGAGTATTCGATATGCCAGACACAGTAACAACAAAGTCTCCAATGGAGACGTTACTGGGCCCGCTCGAGCAAATCGACGATCAACTGGAGGGCCTTTACCTTTACCTTTACCTTTACTTTTTAATCAATTCATGTTCAAACTTCTGCAGAACAGAAATTTTTGTCTTATGCAATCACCCAAAGTCTAAAAATAACAATAAATTTTTTTTCTTGGCTGTTTTTATAAGCCATGTACGTGCTAAAAAACTCTTCTTCAATTCAGGCTACTCTTTCTACCCCAATGTTCTCTTGCTAATCAGAATTAAATCTCTCTAGTCTATAAACTTCATTGTTGCTATTGCAAGCCAAAAATGATTAAGTGTGCAGTTTCAAATACCAATTTAATAGGGACATGAGCTGTATTTCTTGGTAAATGTTTTCCTTCCTTGGGAAGCAGAATTTCCAGAGGTATTAAGTACAATGTTTCAGGGATAGAAAACAAAATTTTGCAAATAGGACTTCAGGAAAATTCAGCCTATCTGTTATAGCTCTTGGTTCCCAGACCTACTTATTCTGGCTTTGGGTAACATGGGACCATATACTGGCTGTGGCTTAATCTGTGGGTCCAGAACCACAATTTTAAACAATTTAGTCACACTGACTAAAATACCTAAAGCTCCCATCAACATAGATTGATTATATATTATCATTCTTCAGGTAGAAATGGTTTTTGTGGGCCAGAGTGATAGCATAGCAGTAAGGTGCTTGCCTAGCACACAGTCAACCCAGCTTCAATTTCCAGCATCCCATATGGTCCCCTGAGTACTACCAAGAGAAATTCTTTAGTGCAGAACCAGGAGTAACCCCTGAGCATCACTGGGTGTGGCCCAAATCTGTCCCCTCAAAAAAAAATATTTTTTGTTCTTCTATAGTAACTCTATGATTAGCACTTGGTATCTAACTTTGACATATGAATTTCTTACAAATCATTACAAATGTGAATTTCTAGTGGAAGAAACACTGAATCAGAAGTTTAAAGATATTAAGTCTAATAATATGATCTTGGCAAATCCTCTTCTTTTTCCATTCTCTTTTAAAGTGTTAGTCTTTTTTCCTTTAAAATTGGGTTTTAAATATTTGCCCTTTCTACATGAACAGGACTGTTTTGAGACCGAAACAAAAGCATGAAAAAAAAAAAGTATATAAGGTTATAAATACTTTTGTGTATATAAGGTTATAAATACTTTTTAATTTGTCTTTAACAAATATTTTCTTCTCTAGACCTCAACCTAGTTGTTCAGTTACATCAGTTTTATATAACTCCATATAATGATACAGAAAGCTACATTGTGTAGAGAATGATGAAATAAATCTATGTTCAGATTCTTCTATGACTCCTTTCTAATACTGACTATGCCAAATCAACTCAAACTGGCATTTATCATTGGTAAAACCAATGATAAAATAAAGGAGGTCTTCTAGAGGGATTTTATTTGTGTAGCTCTATACTCAGTGGTAAGTATTATTAAGTTTGCCACATCCCTGCTTGCAGGATTCAAAGCAGATTCAAAAGTCAACTCAAGTTACCTTATCCAGCCCTCCTTCAGGGTCATTGCAGAGCTTTTTCAACAGTTCTGTTAGGGTACTGAACTCTCTCAACAGTGTGCAGTGGGAAATGTCTAAAGTGCAAAAGTCCAGTAGAAAGATTACCTAAAGGAAGATAAACAAAATACTTAGTGTCCACCTCAAACTGCCTGAAGTCCATGTTACTGACTCCCTCCTGGCTTTTACAAATGATCACCACTTTTTCTTACCAGTTGACGAGCTGCCATTGAGAACACCGAATTACATAATTTTTCTACGATGGTTTTTCCACTATACTGTGACAAAAGGGATTCCAAAATAACTCTCATGCTTGCCAGAAATTGCCCCACATCTATCAAAAACATAAACAGAAAGATGAATATTTATGAGGTAGAAATACCATGTGCTTTGTCAACACAAAGGGCAAAGCTGGAAAAGGTCCTAGAATCATGGAGAGAATGCCACAACAGATTGTGCAATGATGGGGTGCCACACAAATGCTATCCTCTGGGAGGAAAAGATACTTTTTAAAGTAATTCTAGTTTTTCTTGTGAAGTTTTCCAGTGAGGCAGAGCTACCATGTCTACCTGAAGTCACTTAGAAACGGCGGGCCTGCTCTGCTGATGCTCTCTTCTTACCATCAGTTTCCAGTAAGCCACTCACCAGTCATGCTGTACAATGGGGCCAGCTTTAGATGTGGTGTGCTCAACAGTGTAAACATTGTTGTCACAGATGTTGAGACTGGGGTGATGAAACTGAATTTTCTACATATTATTGCTCAGAGCTGTTAAATTTCACAGAATTTTCTACAGGTTTAACCAGCACTTTTAGTAATCAGCAAGTATCACAACTATGCTTACATGCCTCAAACTTTAAAGTTTAAGGTTTTCTTCTTTTGAAAACCTAATTTAAAAAATGCAGTGAAATCTGCCAAAGTGTGCAGTATCCTCTAATAAAGTTGAATGATTGTGCAGACAGTGGGCAGACTGTGAAATGATCCAACTTTACAGTAAAAATATTTATGCATACACCACACTGAAACTTGGAGTAAAACAAATGCAACATAAAACAAAATTATTTTAGGGGCAAGGAAGACAGCTCAAAGGACAGGAGTATATCCTAGAATGAGAAGACCCTGGTTTGATTCTGCAGAGCCCTCTGAGCACCGCCGGGGTAGCCCTGGTAACCCATAACACTACTGGGGCCAAGGGCATCATATCACTGGGTTCAAGTGCTGACCTATCAGGCCCATACAGGCAGACTGAGTATCACTAGGACTAGCCCTCAGGCTCTGAGTACTGCTTAGAAGTACCCCCACCTCAATTCTACTTTAAGAAGAAAAATATCCAAAGCAAATTCTGATAATCTAAGAAAAGAAAACCACATATCCACTCAATGAATGATGTACTAAGTGAGTAAATACACACTCTAAACCCAAACACCTATGTATTTTCATGGTTTCTGAACCCAAACTCACATTTTTCAATAAGGTCAATAGCAATATCTTTGGCTTCAGAGTCTGTGCTCTTCAGTTGCAGGTAGCACCAGGAGAGCAGGCTGCCTTGGACAGACCAGAACAGGGAGAAAAGCACTGAGCCAAACTCCCCTTGTGTTCCATTAAGCATCAACAGCTCGCACTAGATGGAAGGAGAAAAACAGAAAGTGTTTACAAGGGAATATAAAACACAGCCAGAGCATTCTTTAAGAGAACACCTGTCTCTGGTAGAAACATTTTAGGAAAGAGGAAATAGTTTGCAATCTATAAGAAGAGACCAAGAAAAACAGTTTAAAAAAAAGTCCTCTCTTGGGGCCATGGAGATAGATAGTATAGTGGGTAGGGCATTTGCCTTGCATGGGGCTGACCCAGATTAAATTCCCAGCACCCTATATGGTGTTCCCCAAGCACTGCTAGAAATGAGAGCCAGGAGTAAGCCCTGAGCATCACTGGGTGTGGCTGAAAAAAAAAGTCCTTTTTTTTGGGGGGGGGCGGGTGGAGGGGAATAGAGAGGTTTGGGGGCCATACCTGACGGTGATCAATTCTTTCTCCTGGCTCTGTGCTCAGGGATCATTCCTAGAGTACTGGAGTAGCATATAGGGTTCCAGGTACTGAATCCAAGTTGGCTACCTTACCAGCTGTACTATCTCACTGGCCCAGGAAAATCCTCATTTACCAGCCAGCTTTTCAGGACCTCCCCCAACTCTGTCACCCCCACACCCTGGCCCCAGGACCTCCCACCAGATGAGGCCAAAAAACCCAAAATGAATAAAAAACCCCCCAATTTTCATGTTATGAAATAATAAAAAATAGGGCAAAAAAGTATTAGCATAGGAAAAAAAGAATCTCTTTGCTGATTAAGATTTTCTCAATGAATTTGTTGAGTAATCCTAACAGTTGAAAAAAAATTGCAGTAGTCTTTCCCACTATTTCCAGTATAAACATATGTGCTGGATTCACTGACCGAGAGTTTAGTGGGGAAAAAAAAAATCCACTCCTCTTTTTCAAAGGAAATCTTGATATGCACTTGCACGTATTTACTGATCAACAGCCCAAAGCAGGTCTGACAAGTGTTCTTCGCTCGTTTGCAGGTACTGATGAGGCACAGAAGGCTGGAAAATCTGTGTGCTTATTTCTACCAGCCACAGGAACAAAGTTACATTCATACTGCAAGTGTAGACTAAAGGGGAAGGCACAGTGACTGCTGTATCCTATGGTCCTGAAGTCCCAAGAAGTTACCTCTCGTGCAGCAACAGAGAGTAGAGTGCTCATGACCGCCAGTACTTCGTCAATGTTCAAATCCGCCTGGTCACCCTTTTCAGGTAAAAGTAAAAGGCCTCCTGGATCCTTATCACTGAAAGAAAGGACACAAATCAGTATGACACCTTGTTTCAGAAGGGAATTTCCATGGTTTCTACCTTAAAAGGGGCCAAAGAAAAACCTAGTGAGAGTACAGTGTCAGTTCTATGAGATATGGGTTTAGGTCAGAAAAAAGGTCACAGTCTCTTAGCAGGGTCTGTGCCACTATTTTCATGTCCTAATGTACGCTCAGGCCCATAAATCCTCAGAAGATAGTCCAAATCTGATGAATGAATCACCTTGCCCACCAACAGGAAAAACACCTAATCTCAATACAACTGGACACTCCAGACTAAACACTTCATATAAACAGTTCATATAGTTACAAATATTCTTCACTTGATTGCCCAGGATCTTTCATTATTCTTGACATGCAATTATGAGCACATCTGCTAGAGCCCTTTAAGTCTGATACTCATATCAGGTATAGTCTGGCTAAAAAACATCAGGTTAAGCTATTAGTTCCCTCCTGCTTTCAAGAGTCTGCAGGGGCTGAAGATATTGCTAAGTAAAGCATATACCTAACATGTATGAGGCCACACACACTCACACACACACATGTGTCCAAAAACGCGACCTGCAACTGGGGATAATGGTGGTGGGAAATGTACACAGGTGAAGGTTTGAGTGTTAGAACATTGTATGACTGAAACCAATCATAAACTACTTTGTAATTGTGTATCTCAGGGTGATTCAACAAAAATTTTTAAAAAATGCAACCCATAAACCCACTAGTTTCCTCGATCATCAAAGCATGTAAAAATTTCCATATTATCCTTACCGAGGAAGCTTCTGTAGCTGGGTTTGTGGGTTGTTTTGGGTATGGGGAATGGGTACACTTAGTGGTGCTGCTAAAGCAGGTACAAGGAATAAACACAGGACTCTTGCATGACAAGCTTCCACACCAGTCTGCTGAAGAACTCCCTGGCTTTGCGGTTAGGTTTTAATGTATTTGAATTTATAGGCTTGAGTACAGAGCCCATTATTTTAGTCGCAGAAATCTCAGTGGATTCAATCCTAAATTATATTATGATGATTAATATTTGCATATATGTCTTGACAAGACTATTATTATGAGGGCTGGAGCGATAGCACAGTGGGTAGGGCATTTGCCTTGCAAGTGGCCGACCTGCGTTCAATTTGCAGCATCCTATATGGTCCCCAGAGCACCACCAGGAGTAATTCCTGAGTGCAGAGCCAGTAGTAACTCCTGTGCATCTCTGGGTGTGACCCAAAAAGAAAGAAAAAAAGGGCTATTATTGTATCATTATTCTAGTCACTCCACCGAATAGTGATATCTCATGCCAGAAATTTGGCTGAATAGATCTGGTTACTCCAAAAACATGAAAGGCAATGATAGTAGAAAAGAATTTTGTAAAGGTTTAAAATATTTGACAATAGAAAAGAATTATAAACTTACCTAAAATATGTGCACAGTGAGCGAAAAGTAAGCTGCAAGGACTGCTTATGTTCCTGTTCAGTGACATTTTTCTAGAAAAAACAACAACAACAACACTTCACTTCTGAAAAATCTATTCTAAACTTTTTTTTTGTTTGTTTGTTATTCTATACTCTACATTCCAGAACGACATTCCAGAATATCATGATATGCCACTGCCCACTGTTCCCAAGCATGAGGACTGCCAACATCAGCAGGCTAGCCCTTATAAACCGAAACCAAAACTGTCCCAATGCTAAGAAAGACCAGAATCACCACTTATATGCAAATGTAACACTTGGCATGCCTACAAACCAAACTTAAAAATGTTAAGAAGGACCAGAGTAATAGCACAACGGGTAGGGCATTTGCCTTGCACGTGGCCGACCCGGGTTCAATCCCGGGCATCCCGTATGATTCTCTGAGCACTGCCAGGGGTAGTTCCTGAGTGCAGAGTCAGGAGTAACCCCTGAGCATTTCTGGGTGTGATCCAAAAAGAAAAAAAAAAAGAGTCAAGAAGGCAGGCTGAGAGTTGGGAAGGAACCTGAGGACAGTGGTGGAGGGATGTTGGTGCTGTGAAAATGAGTGCCTGAAACTCTATTATACACAATTTTATGAAGAAACAGCACAGACAATGCGTTTCTTGTGAGCTTTCTAAATCTTTTTAAACAGTAAGAAAGCTGGAGATAACTCAATGGGTTAAGTGGAGGCTTCTCATGCAGGAGGCCTAGGTTCAACGCCAGCACCACCTGGTCCCCTGAGATTCACCAAGAATGACCCCAAGCACTGAGCGGGAGTAGCCCCCAAGTACCGTGGCTCAACAAAACCCAAAAACATTAGCTTTCTCTATAAGCTAGCAGTCTACTGAATTTGGGGAGTAAGAGAGGATTTGGGTTACACCCAGCAGTGCTACTCCTGACTCTATGTTTCAGGGAACTCTATGTAGTGACAGGCATCAAACCAGGTTTGGCTGCATACAAAGCAAGCAGTTTAAACCCCCAAACACTATCTCCAACCCTATGACGAGAGTTACAGGAATTACATTTCTGCATGGAGTGACTGGGCTACTTTTGGTGCATTTTTTTAAAATTCAATAAATGTACTGAACCTCCACTTCTATGCAAAGCACTAAAGGGAATTCTCAGAGGATTTAGGGCACAGGACCCTGATGGAGATATGACATAGTCATAAACGAGAGCAACACTGTTGATCTAAGTGAGAAGGTAAAACTCTTTTTGTTTGTTTGTTTGTTTTTCTTTTTTGGTCACACCTGGCGATGCACAGGGGTTACTCCTGGCTCTGCACTCAGGAGTTACTCCTGGCGGTGCTCAGGGGACCATATGGGATGTTGGGAATTGAACCCGGGTCGGCCGCGTGCAAGGCAAACGCCCTACCCGCTGTGCTATCTCTCCAGCCCAGAGAAAGTAAAACTCTTACCTATGCTGTCAGAGGGAAAAACAAAGGTAAGTGTCTGGGTGCATTTGCTAATAGGTACAATGACATTCAAGAAGAGAAACATCACCTTTCTATTTTTCTGTATGGGGCATACTCTACAAAACAAATCACTTGCTCAGCTACCTGGTAAACGTGGAGAAAAAGAGACTGCAGTGGAAGGATATTGATACTTTGGTGGTGGCGGTGGTGGTGTGGTAAAATACACTTTGAAGAGGTGTAAAACTATAAAATTAAATGGTTCTGTAAACTAATGATTTCTCAACTTAAAAAAGTTAAAAAAGGAGCTGGAGAGATAGCACAGCAGGTAGAGCGTTTGCCTTGCACGCAGCAGACCCGGGTTCAATTCCCAACATCCCACATGGTCCCCTGAGCACTGCCAGGAGTAACTCTTGATTGCAGAGCCAGGAGTAACCCCTGTGCATCGCCAGGTGTGACCCAAAAAGCAAAAAAAAAAAAAAAAAAAAAAAGGAATAGAAGTCTACTCCAAAGATGAGGAAACTTACCCCTCAAATTGATAAGCAAATTTGATGCTGTTGTTTGGGTTGGGGCCATATCTGTTATTCAGGACTACTGTCAGTTCAGTGCTCAGGGATCTTTCAGGCTATGGTGGGGGAACAGGCAGTGCTGAACCTTGAGCTCCAGTACGAAAAGCTGCACTCCAGCCCTTTGAACTATCTCTTTCTAGTCTTGGTATGACAAATTTTACAGGAAGCTAAAAATCTAACCAAAGAGCCTTCCTCCTCAGACATTTTCCTTAATCACTTAACTCCAATCTGATTCTCCAATCAGGCCTATATGGCAGGTACGCCCCACTAGACTGAAGTTCTTTGGCATTAGTCATTTTGAATCACTTTTACTACATTACTGCAAACAGTAAAATCTTGGGCCAGAGAGACAGTGCAGTGAACAAGGTGCTTGCCTTGTACATAGCCAAATTCAGGTAGATTTCCAGCACCACATTTGGTCTCCTGGGCCTCTTAAGGAATGATTCCTGAGCACAGAGTCTGAAGGAAACACTGAGAATGTCGAAGCGTGACATCACCTCTGCTCCCCAACAAAATAAAACAAAACAAAACAAAACAAAAGAAATAATACAGCAGGTAGGGCACTTGCCTTTTATGTGGTTGACTCAGGTTCAATCCCTAGCATCAAATATAGCCCCTTAAGCTCTGATAGGAGTGATCACTGAATGCTGAACCACAAATAAGCCCTGAGCACTGCCAGGTGTAGCCCCCAAAACTAAAAAAAAAAACAAAAAAAAAAAGCACAAAACCCTTATACTAGGACTTAACAACAACAAAAAAAGATACATTACAACTTCATGGAAAAAAACTTTATCAGTTTCTGTGTATCTTTTTTTTTTTTTGCTTTTTGGGTCACGCCCTGCGATGCTCAGGGGTTACTCCTGGTAGTGCTCAGGGGACCATATGGGATGCTGGGATTTGAACCTGGGTTGGCTGTGTGCAAGGCAAATGCCCTACCCGCTGTGCTATTGCTCCAGCCCCCTCTATATATCTTTTGATGATGCCCAAAACCTGGGCCAGCTGTATATTTTATTTTATTTTATTTTCACTATTATTATTATAGCTAATTAGTACTGTAGTTAAGGTAACCTGTTATAATAGTGTTTATGTTTGCAGTCTTGAGGTAGAATCAGCTACTGCAACTTACCACCACCAAAGTACCTCTTTAAAATTTCTAGAGTATACCTCTCGAATAAAAAGCAGTGTTCAGGAGACTTGGGGGGCCCAGCAAGTCTTGCCAACTAGATACCAGCTCAATGGAAAGGTCTGAGGATGCAGCATTGGTTAGGTTCTGCAGTGCTGAGGAACCATGGGGTGCCTGTGGGACACAACTCTTGGTCTGATGCATGCTAGGCATGCTAGGTACTATACCATCTCCTAGCTCCTACTGCCTCTTTTCCTTGTCCTGTAGTAGTGGAAAGTCCAGTGAAAGCAAGCTTCCTTGTCCTGTGCTTCAATTTTTTTGCGGGGTGGTGGGGGTGGTGGGTGGTCTGGCAGTGCTTAGGGTTTACTCCTGGTTCTGTGGTCAGAGATCACTCCTGGTTGTGCTCTGTGAACTGTATGTGGTGCCAGGAATCAAACCTGGGCCAGCTGTATGCAAGGCCGGTGCCCTACCTGCTATTCTACTGTTTCAACCTCTGATTTCTCATTTTGAAAGGAGTAATTCTGAAAGGACCCATGGCGACAGCACACTCTTTAATATAGGTTCTGGACACATGTCCTCCATCGGAAAGATGATTCCTTTCTATTAAAAGTTTTCTGACAGTTTTGATATTTTAAAATCATCATAATTAATCCTATTCTTTTCTGCATTTATACAGATGAAATTTTTTTTTCCACTTTGATAGATTTTAGGGCACTTCACCAGTGGTACCTGGGGGCCTGTGGACCATTTCTGGTGATACTTGGACCAGAGGTGTGGACGTGACAGTTTCAGTGCTCAGGATTCGTAGTGCTGAGAGCCAACAAGGGTATATCCTGCAGTGCTGAGTGATGGGGCACACTTGTGGTACTGGGGATTGAATGTGACCTCATGTGTGCTAGGCATTCACTTCAGTCCTTTGAGCTACATCCCTAGCCCCTTCTGTGAATTATTTCATGCATTGTGTAACAATATTTTAATCAATAAGGGACCATAATGATGGTCCCAATAATCTGTGCCACAGTATAGGTACGTAGTACACTATACCATCTGGGTTTGTGTAATTATACACAAAGACATCTACACAATAAGAAATCACCTAAAGACAGTCTTCAGAGGTGCCAGTAGGAAAAACATCAAGTAAGGCACTTGCCTTGCACGGGGCATATCCAGGCTCAATCCCTTGCATCACACAGTGTTCCCTGAGTACTGCCAGAAGTGATCCCTGAGTTCAGAGCTGGAATAAGCCCTGTGCACCAGCAAGTGTGGACCAAATACAAATAGTCTTCAGAAAGTATCCATAGCACTAAATGAGAGATAAGTAACTGTACTGATTTTCTGCTGTTAAACCATCCTTGCATTGGGTCTGGAGCTATAGGTTTACTTTCTAAGTGTGAGGCACTTGCCTTGCATGTGTGAGAACCAGAGTTCTATCCCTGGAGTCAAAGGAAAAAAACAACAATAACCACCTTGCATTCCTAGAGTAAACTCAACCCAAAATTTTAAAATATTTTTTTCTAAGTTGAATTTCCCTGTCTTATCATGACTATCACGCTGAAAATTCTGGGCTAAAGAGATAGTACAAAGAATAAGGAGTATGAGTGTTGTCTTCCTGGCTCGTCTCGCTTGCGCTCGGTTTGTAACTGCCAAGTAGCAAGATGTCTTCAGGAAATGCCAAAATTGGGCACCCTGCTCCCACCTTCAAAGCTACAGCTGTTATGCCAGATGGTCAATTTAAAGATATTAGCCTGTCTGATTACAAAGGAAAATACGTTGTTTTCTTCTTCTACCCTCTTGACTTCACCTTTGTGTGCCCAACGGAGATCATTGCTTTCCATGATCGGGCGGAAGAATTTAAGAAGCTCAACTGCCAAGTGATTGGTGCTTCTGTAGATTCTCACTTTTGTCATCTGGCATGGATCAATACACCCAAGAAACAAGGACTGGGACCCATGAACATTCCCTTGGTGTCGGACCCTAAGAGAACCATTGCTCAGGATTATGGTGTCTTAAAGGCTGATGAAGGCATCCTTTCAGGGGTCTTTTTATCATTGGTGATAAGGGTATCCTTTGCCAGATCACTGTAAATGATCTCCCTGTTGGCCGCTCTGTGGATGAGACTCTGAAATTGGTTCAGGCCTTACAATTCACTGACAAACATGGTGAAGTGTGCCCTGCTGGCTGGAAGCCTGGTAGTGATACCATCAAGCCTGATGTCCAGAAGAGCAAAGAATATTTCGCTAAGCAGAAACGAGCTCTGGGTCTTTTAAGGGCCAGGCTGCAATAAGCAGCCATAACAAATCTTTTTTTTGCTATTGTCATGCTTTAAACATGAGACCTTAGACTTGATCAGATATGGTTTGGGATTGGAACAGTTTTTCCTATAGGGGTTGGGAGGGGTCAACTTCCTTGGCAAGAATAGCCTGAGTTGTACATTGAGGGCAGGCCAGCAGATGTGTATAGTACATAACGCCTTTGACCTTTTGTAGTTCCTATTAAACTTGAACTGAGGAAAAAAAAAGAATAAGGAGTATGCCTTGCATGCAGGCAATACCCGTTTCATCAATGGTGTTCCTCACTAGCACCACAGAGTATCACCAAGTTTCCCCTTCTTAGAAAAGTGCCCCCGCCCCCCATAAGAACAAATGGAAATTCTAAAGTTCTTCCTAGGTATTTTGGAAGAGCTTAAAAAAATTCTCTTATCTTACATGATGTTTGTTTTTATTACATTATTTTTACAAAGTTAATTTTCTTTAGGATTAAAAAACATGGATCTTGGAACTAGAGAGGTAGTACAGTGAGTAAGGTTCTTCCTTTGCAGATCAACTGATCTAGGTTCTATCAGTCACACCCCATAGGGTTCCCTGAGCCCTGAATGAGTGGTTCCTAAGAGGAGAGCCAAGAGTAAGCCCTGAACAGTCAAGTGTGGCCCAAAGGTAAAATAAATAAATGAATAAAAATAAAAACCTGGATCCTGGTTTTGACATTCTACTTGGCAATATAATGCTCATATATACTGAAAACTTTTTCATCTCTACGAATATATGAGTAATAAAAAGGAAGGAGGTGAGACAAACCAACTAAAGATTCAAATTTGTTTTCTTTATAAATATAACCAGGAATACTTATGAATAAACCATGTTAGGAATTTACTTTGAAATAATACTGGGTAGGGGATAAAGTAAGACTTATCTGAAATAAGGGCTGGAGCGATAGCACAGCGGGTAGGGCGTTTGCCTTACAAGCGGCCAACATGGCCGACCCGAGTTCGATTCCTCCGCCCCTCTCGGAGAGCCCGGCAAGCTACCGAGAGTATTCGATATGCCAGACACAGTAACAACAAAGTCTCCAATGGAGACGTTACTGGGCCCGCTCGAGCAAATCGACGATCAACGGGAGGGCCTTTACCTTTACCTTTTATCTGAAATAAAGATTAGCCTGACTTAGTAAGTGTTGGACAAAGGGATGGGCACATTTTGGGGATAGAGATTTAGCCTATTTTTGTAGTTGATGTACATTATTTTCATAATTCAAAAGATAAAATGCTAAAGAGAACATAGTTATTGGTAAGTTCTAAAGATTAAAAAAAAAGATTTTTTTTTGTGAAACAGTACAGTAGAAACAGGTCGGTACTATGACAATGATGGAAATAATCACTCTGGATAAGAACTGCATGCTGAAAGTAGGTAAAGGAATTCTCAGTACCTGTATTGCAAATGATATGTTCAAAAGGGAGGGAGGAAGGGAGACAGGGAGGAAGGGAAGAAGGGAGGAAGGGAGGAAGAGAGGAAAGGAGGGGAAAGAGAGAGGGAGGGCGCGCACGTGCGCGCACGAGAGAGAGAGAGAGAGAGAGAGAGAGAGAGAGAGAGAGAGAGAGAAAGAGCACCTGCCATAGACACAGAGGTGGGGACTGGGGAGGGTGGCAAGAGAGAAACTGGGGACATACAGTGGGAAATGTACACTGGTGGAAGGACGGGTATTGGAACATTGTATGACTGAAACCCAACCATGAACACCTTTATAACTGTGTATCTCACAGTGATTCAATAAAAATAGATAAAATAATAATTTTATTGTTTAAAAAAGAAACAAGTTGGAGGGTGGGAGAGAGTGAGGGATTAAGGCTCTTGCCTTGCATGAAGCTGATTCCATCTTTACCTCAGTACCATAAGGTCCCTGAAGCACTCTGGGTGAGGAACCCCAATACAGAGCTCCTAAGTACCACTGTGTATAGTCACAAAACGCAAAATTAAAAAAGAAAATAAAACCAACAGGTAAACAGGTTGAGATTAAGTCATCTCCATCAAAAGTGGTCTCCTACCCTTAAATATCCGTGTTCCAAACAAAGCTTTGCAATAGTAAGTACTAAATATACATTTGCTGGGCCAGAGCAATAGTACAGGGGGTACAGTGCTTGCCTTGCATGTGGCTGACCCAGTTTCGATCCCTGTCATCGCAAATGGTCCCCCGAGCACCGTCAGGAGTGATCCCTTACTGCAGAGCCACGAGTAACCCCTGAGCATTGCCAGGTGTGGCCCAAAAATGGGGGAAAAATTACATTTGATAAATCTAAACTGTCAAAACTTTCAGCAAAAACAAATATTGTCATCATTTCAGAAATGGAATCCATAATTTTAATGTAAGTAATTACCATCATGGTGAAGAGATGGTTCCGCCGGATTTGCCGGTCAGGAAAGAAGACGGCAGCCCCATTGAGAAGGGTGTTCCTGACTTCTTGTTTTAATATTTCCATGGGCACAGAATCTTCATTCACTCTATCCACCACTGATTAAAAGGAACAATGAATTAAGCTTTAATATATTTCATTTGTTACTTACTATATAAATACACAGGCTGGAGTGATAGCACAACAGGTAGGCCGTTTGCCTTGAACGACCCAGGTTCGACTTCTCTGTCCCTCTTGGAGAGCCTGGCAAGCTACTGAGAGTATCCCGCCCGCACTGCAGAGCCTAGCAAGTTCCCTGTGGTGTCTTCAATATGCCAAAAACAGTAAAAACAAGCCTCACAATGGAGATGTCACTGGTGCTCGCTCGAGCAAATCGATGAACACAGTGACAGTGACATAAATACATATTTTAACAAGTCTATAAACTCTTCATTTGTATTTAATACCACAGCAAAGAAATACTTCTGTATAAGTAATCCAAGAAAAATGCTTGTTTCCATTTAATGAAAAAAAAAAAAACATATAAAGGCTATATATACTGGGTTGTTTTGGGGGGATGGTGGTGCTCAGGATTTTACTCGTGGCTGTGAATCACTACTAAGGGGCTTGGGAGACCTTATGAGGTGCCGGGAATCAAACCCAGGTCAGCTGCAAGCAAGGCAAGTGCCCTGCCTGCTGTACTATTTCTCCAGCCCCTATACTAGCCCCTATACTATCTTTATTTCATTATGTTCTGTCCTTTTGAGAAACAACTTTGTAAATTTAAAAAAAAACAACTTCAGTCACATTTGTTTGGTCCTCAATTTAACATTACAATATCCACCACCACCACTCCCTCCCCGCTGCTCCCTGCTCCAATTTATCAGGCTATCTCAGTATGTTAAAGGCTGAATAGTGTAGGGATGGGGGCCAGCCAGGAGTGATCCCTGAGCAGAGTCAGAAGTAAGCTCTGAGCATAGCCTGGTGTTGCCCAATTCCCTCTCCCTGCTCCCACGGAAACAAAAAGACTGAATAATACCTAACAACTACTCTCAATGTAACAAAATTATGATCAGAAACCAGGAGGAAGTAGCTGATGGAAAAAAAAAATTCCTAAAAAATAATGATTAAGGGCTGAGGCGACAGCTGCCTCTGCAAGGTCCTCTAAGTACCACAGGGTATGTCTCCACCCACCCTGAACAAAACAACAAAATAACTCCAAGAGCATCAAAGAAAGCATTCATTTTCCAAAGAAGCCATCTTGCCAAGTGATCACTGTGCCTCTGCCCCCTCTACTTCACTAAGACTACTAACACAGGGAGATACTAAGGGAAAAACATCCAACCCCTACCATCACATAAGTGCGAGAAGAGCTCCTTGGCGGCCTCTATCTGTCCAGGGTTCTGTTTTGCAGTTTTCTTTGTCCCCTGAGAGGCAGCTGGAGTCTCTCCCTGCAGCACGGAGAAGCAGCTCTGAAGAAGCTGCAGAAGCAGGGTTTGGGCACAAATGCATTCTTCCCTTGAACTACAGAAAGACAAAGGACATCAGAGAGCAAAAAATACAAGTTGCTTTTAACCTCCAAAAACAAACAACTGTCTACAAAAAACTGTCCCCTGTTGGCTGGCTTGGTAAAAAGAATGCCAACAGAGAGAAAGGATGGTGGAATGAAAGCACATTTGTATAAGGCAGAGTCTGGATACATGAACCCTGCTTGACTCTGCCTTCTGTGGACAAGGAAATGTAACTCTGAACCTGACTCTGCATCTGTAAAACAAGGGGTATAATATTAAAATTATAATATTGACCTGATTATCTCACAAGATTGTTATAATAGTTAAAAGAAAATAGTAGTGAAAGCACTGCCAAAATATTTTATAGAAATGAGCTATTTTCAATAAACAAATCTTCAAATCAAAACATATTAACTGATGAAAAGTTTTTTAAAATTTTTTAAAAAATCACCCATTTAGAATAGCAAAATTAGTATCTTCAGTTTTGTTTATATGATTAGCACCTTATAATAAATTCTGACCTACTTTTGCTTTAACTTATTGTAAAAATTCCAGAAGATCTGCAAATCAAGACCCGCGAAGTCCAGAAAAGATCTATATTTTAAGCCACTTTCCTTCTGCTGCACCTAAAAAATTATAAAGACCAGAAAACAAAAAATTGAAAAAGGCATTTAGAGAAAATTGATTGTAATGGGTCATTTACTTCTCATTGTTAATGAATAAGGTGGTTCCACAGGGTAAAATTCCATACAGCTCAGCTTACTCTTTTTTTTGGGTCACACCCGGCAATGCACAGGGATTACTCCTGGCTCTGCACTCAGGAATTACTCCTGGCGGTGCTCAGGGACCATATGGGATGCTGGGAATTGAACTTGGGTCGGTCGCGTGCAAGGCAAACGCCCAACCCACTGTGCTCCAGCCCCCACTGAGCTTACTTTTAACAATTAAAAAAAGTCTGTAAACAACTTTGGTGTGAAACATTCTAAGATATGTGGATTTATATAAACATATATGCATAATGCATCTATGAAGGCTCTCTGACTCACAAACACCACAGGAACACAAGGGAGATTTGCTGGGTGATCATTACTGTCTAGGACTATATTACAGGATGTTTTGACCCTTCCCTGTCTGTGGGCTGGAATACCAATTAGACTTATGACTCATGCTACACCTGAGCAGGTAGGACTTAAAGAAGACATAAACCCCATAAACATGCTTTACTCCCTCAGTCTATCACTAGTAAATCATAGCTGGGATTGATATATCTTTAAGATCTACCTATAGGGGGGCTGGAGCGATAATACCGCAGGTAGGGCATTTGCTTTGTGCACGGCTGACCTGGGTTTGATTCTCAGCATCCCATATGGTTCCCCGAGCACTGCCAGGAGTGATTCCTGAGTGCAAAGCCAGGAGTGACCCTGAACATCGCCGGGTGTGACCCAAAAAGCCAAAAAAAAAAAAGATCTATCTATAGGTCTTCCCAGAACCCTCTCAACGATGACCCTATGCCACTTAGTTTTGCTACCAATTCCCAACATCTCATTCCCTTTGGCTTTCTAGTGTCGTCACAGCAGCATGAATAGCTGCTGTATTCATACTGCATGGTGTTAGCAGGATTAGGTTTCACGATTCATGTTCATCACCCTTTTTTCCCAAACAAACAAGGTCTAACAACCGAGGAAACACTACCAGGTCATGCGCGAGCTGCTGGATGAACTGAAGGGTCCTGAGGAGCAGAGTGGCTCCACAGACCCTCTCCTCTGAGTCCTTTTTGCAGTGGGCACAGACCACGCTCTGCTCGGCTTCAGCTCTTATAGGTCGGAGATATCCACTGATGCTCAAGCCTTGAACTCCCAAACGCTCTGCTGACTCTTCGCGGGTGCAGAGGAACTTCACCATCAAATACTAGGAAGGACAAGAGAGATTTGAAGAGAAGGACTCAGCCTTGGACACTGAGAGAAAAGGAAATAACACCTTTCTGAGAAGGCCCCCTAAGATATTAATAATTTATTTAGCACAGCTATGCCTAGGATGGGAAAACAAAATAAAGTCTGGCACCTACAAGGGTAAACATAATACAAGTGTAAACAGACACCAGCATAACTCCCCCTTCAAGGCAAAGAACAAGGTAAGATGAGATAAGGTAGGTTTGCTCTGTGCTACATATCTGTCATCCTGAAACAGAAATCAGGTATGTGATGAAATCAAGTCAACACATTAAGGAATCATCTCACAGACTCCTGCTGATCCTGCCAGAAGATCAAAACACAATCTTTTCTGTTCAAAGGTAAATTTCTATAAAAACTACATGCTTCTTTGGGTGAAAGCGCCATTGGCAAGGGCCTTTTAGAATCCACTACTCTGATCATCTATTACGGATTAAGTCCTGAAAATAACTCTTCTCTTACTTAAACTTCTACTGGGAATGGATGAAGAGACAGCTCAATGGGTTGAGTGCATGCTTTTCACAAGGGAGGCTCAGTTTCAATCCTCAGCACTGCCCAGTCTTCTCAGCACCACCAGAAGCAACCTCCAAGTACAAAACCAGGAGTGGCCTTGTGCTGAGCATCGCCAGGTGTGACACAAAAGCAAAACAAAATAAGGCCTGTAAGATTAATACTGGAGGTTAAAAAATGTAAGTAGTCCGATAATCAGCTTTTTTCCTAATTGCCTCTTTTGCAATTGTATCTTTTATTTATTATTCTTTCTGCCATTCTCCATACACCACAGCCTGACTGAAAATGGCCTGATCTGCTTTCCTCACTAGGTAACAGACCACCTTTCTTGGGAAACCTTCACTACAGATAAATTCCACTAGAGGCATAGCTAGTATTCTTGCTTTGGGCTCCAACAGTCCCAGTATACCCCTTTTTTCAGAACACATCGCAGTGTCTTATATATCTGTCTCTTCCACTAGACCATGAGCTCCTTGAGTAACATAATCATAACTGATGTACCAATAACCACTGGCAACAATAATGACTAAGAAAACAGAAGTTAAAGAAGGGACTGGGCAAATACATGAAGGCTACACCTCATTAATGCTTACTTTGGCAATTCTGCATTGTTGCAACTTGACATCTGCTTCATCCCACTCTTCTTCCAGCTCAAACCATCCAATAGGGTCATTTTCTTCAAGGTCATCAGGTGAGCAACCAATCCTGTAAACCAAAGATAACCACAAAATATTTTTCTATTTCTAAATTTTTCAAGGGCCTATCCTTCATTCTTTAATGAATAAAGAATTATCCCGGTGGTATTTAACAGTGTATATGGCCAGTCAATTAACTATGATTGGGTATGGCACTTAGTTCCCCTATAAAATACATGAGGTAGTTTGTGATCATTTCCTCCCCTTTTCTCAGTCTCTTCATCTATAAATGGAAACTATAATAGTCCCAAATATAATCTGTGAACTACGGAAAAAGTTTGCTTCTCTAGATAACTGGCTTAAGTGAACATTGAGACACAAAGTCAAGGAACCTTAGCTGCACAACATAGGAGTGTGCTTCTGAAAAGGGAGAAGCAGGTTTATTTTTTTCCTCCTAGGTCTGGTCCCTAAGTTTGGACCACTTGGAAACAACTGAAGGAAAAAACTGGAATTGTTCAGATCCTGGAGCTCCAAAACAGGAAAAATTCAGTCTTCACAGATCTCATTATTCTTTTGGCTTTAAGAAGTCCTTCCAGAAAAGCAATTTATCTTGTTAAAGAAGTACAACTGTGGGTTGGAGAAGTAGTTTAAAGAGTTTAGTATAAAAGCAAGAGGTTGGGGCTCAAGAGTACAGCGGGTAGGGCGTTTGCCTTGCAGGCGGGTGACCTGGGTTCAATTCCCAGCATCCCATATGGTCCCCCGAGCACTGCCAGGAGTGATTCCTGAGTGCAGAGCCAGGAGTGACTCCTGTGAATCGCCGGGTGTGACCCAAAAAGCAAAAAACAAAACAAACAAAAAAAAACCAACCAAAAACGAAGGTTCAGGTTCAATTCCTGCTACCACATGGCACCTCCAGGAATAACCTCAGAGTAGTGCTGAACATTAACTGGTATGGTCCAAACCTGCCCCTCTCAAAAAAAAATAAACACAACTGTGTGCCACTTATTTTTCTTTCTGGTACTTGAGTTGTTCTTCCTTTTTAGAAATTAAATAAGAAAAAGGCAATCTTTCAAGAAGCAGGCCTAAAAGTTTACACTGCTATGTTTATAATACAGCCAACAAAAACTGAAAATAAACAAGTATTCTGTATGGATAAGAAAAGCAACCATAGAAATTAAGGGAAGAAGAGAAAAAAGAAAAAGAACCCAGAGTAAGTTTAGGACTGAGGAACAAGAGTTTCTTCTTAGCCTAAGCTTTTCTTAGAATAAACTGATCATGATACAATTTACAGAAAGTTCAATGGGACAGGTACCATTCAGTCTTAGTTCAAAACCATGCTGAGTTTCATCAACATTGTTTCAGGAGCCAGAGAGACATTATGAGGGTTAAGGCACTCATCTTACATGAAGTGACCCTTGTTGGAATCTCTGGCACTGCAGAGGGTTGTCTGAGTACTGCCAGGAGTAAGCCCTGAGCACCGCCAGGTGTGGCCCAGAAACATAATAAAACAAAAATATCATGTGTTTGAAGATTTTTAAATTGATTCTGGAAATCAATGAAGAAATTTTTGAGAAAGAACTGCAAGGGTATTAGAGAACAAGAAAAATAAGTTCATTCAGGACATTACATGGCAGGCAAAGTGCTCAGAGAGTTAAACATTAGGTTTCTTATGTATGCACAGCAATAAAACAGCTGGCCCTGGAGCCTACTGTCTGACCAAAGTCTGACCAGAGCAATAACTAAAAAAACAAAAAAAGGAGGCAAGATGGACAAGAACACTTTAACATTTTGATTTCCAAATTGGAAAGGATCTCATAATATTAAAGTCAATCAAGTAAGGATTTCAGAATAGTACAAACTGAAACAGGAACTAAAATCAAGAGAGAAGTGAATAAGCCTGCAAAGTGAATAAACTTGCACTGAGGTTGAACAAACAAAAACTCATCCTATGTGAAATGTGAAAAATCTTGTTTAAAATCAGGCTTAGGGAAAAAAAAAGATCTATTTTATTTTGGGGGTTTTTGTTGGGGCCACATCCACAGATCATTCCTTGGAGGTTCTCAGGTAATCAAACCAGAATAAGCTATCTTCATAGCAAGTGAAAAAGCCTATTTTAATATGTTTCAAGAGTGGGACATTGCTGCTGAAAACCAAGTGTAAAGTCTAGTTAAACTTAAAAAAATTTAAAAATAAAAAAAAAAAAAGAGGGGGGGGGACCAAGAGTGAGAGGGGGACCCAGAGTGAGAGTACAGCAGGTAAGGCATTTGCCAACCAGGGCTCGATACCTGGCATCCCACATGGTCCCCCGAGCCTGCCAGGAGTGATCAATAAATGCAAAAGAGCCAGGAGTATGCCCTGCTGGGTGTGGTCCCAAAACAAAAACAAACATAAAAAGGGAGCCAGAGATAGTACAGTAGGTAAAGTGCTTGCAGGTGGCCAACCAGAGTTCAATCCCCAACACCTTATAAGGTTGCCTGAGCACCACCAGGAGTAATACCTTTATTTTTTTTTTAAATATTTATTTATTTTGCTTTTTGGGTCACACCCAGCGATGCTCGGGGGTGACTTCTGGCTCTGCACTCAGGAATTACTCCTGGTGGTGCTTGGGAGACCATATGGGATGCTGGGGATTGAACCCGGGTCAGCGGCGTGAAAGGCAAACACCCTCCCCCTATACTATAGCTCCAGCCCCCAGGAGTGATCCTTGAGCGCAGACCAGGAGTAAGGTCTGAGCACTGCCAGATGTGGCTCAAAATCTTAAAAAAAAAAATTAAAAGTATCTTTTAAAAAGGCAGATAATAAGAAACACAAGGTAATAGCAAATGCCCAAAAGCTACAAAAATGAAGAACATAAGAACTGGTCTTGAACAGAAAGCATGCCAAGGGATGGGGGAATAGGGTGAGGAGAGAATACTCTGACAATGGTGGAGAGAAATGGTCCCTCTGGAGGAGGAGGTAGTGCTGGAAGACAACAGTTATGCATGAAACCATATCTGTAACAGTATTTTATACCACAGTTCCTAGAAGAAAAGGGGGGGAATAGGTTCCTACCACAGAAGCAAGCTAAGAGATGGGAGGAAAACTGGGGATATTGGTGGAGGGAAATGGACACTGGTGAAGGGATTGGTGCTAGAACATTGTATGCCTGAAACTCAATCATGAATAAGTTTGTATTTCACTGTGCCTCAATAAAAATAAATTTTTATTTTGGTTAAAAAAAAAAAAGGCATACGAGCACACTTCATGTAATGCTTCTTAGTTTTATTCTACTTACACTGTTTTCAAAATATTTTTAAAATTAATTTTGGTGGGGAACAAATGCAGTGGTGCTGAGATTACTGGCTTAGTGTTTAGAGCCACTCTGGCAGTGCCTAGATCATGCATGGCTGGGGAACAAATGTGGATCTCCTAACATGCAAAGCATACAGTCCAATACTGAGAGTTAGCACCTAGCGGTGCTCAAGGGGCCACTCTAGCTCTTTTTATACAAATACTTAAATTTATATGGAGAGAGAGTCAAAGGGCTGAGTGCATGATTATCTTGCAGGCGGTCTAGGGTTCAATCCCTGGGCACTGCATGATTCCCTGAGCATCACTATGAGGGACCCCTAAGCACAAAGACTTGAGCACAGCTGGACAAGACCAAACACACAAGATCCCACACTACCCTCCCCCCCCCCCAAAAAAACCCCCACAACTACACAGGGGGGCAGGAGTTAAGAGATAGTTCAGAGTACTGATACACATGCTCTGCATGCAGCAGGGCTGAGTTTAATGCTCCAGTTCCCAGCACCACATGGTCCCAAGCACCTATCTATGGCAGGGAGTAAATGGGCAGGAAGATTGGGGCAAGAGTAAATTTACCAGTTACTATGTAAGACTGAAGACCGAAGGCTTCCCACAATGCAAAGCATCTATCGATCTCTTTGGGTGGTGGTACTGGAGATTAAACCTAGGGACTCAGATGTCCAAGGCTGCTTTGTGCCTGAGCTACATCCCTGGCCCAATTCCCAGTCATTAGTTTCAGTTCTCTCGAGCAGTTCTCGGGAACTTGGGGTCCAGTCCTGGTAATATTTGGCCAGCCAGGCTGGGAGTTCAATGCTCAGGCCTGAAGATGTGGAGCTGCTTTGACTCTGCAGTGTCACAGACCATAGGGTCACCTGATGGTGCTTAGGAGTATTTGCTTTTTTTTTTTCCAGCGCTGGGGAAAAACTTATATCTCATGCATACAAGGTATGAGTTTTGCTGCTGAGCTATCTCCCCGGCCCCTACCCAGGCAGTTTAAAGACGTGTGTACCTGGTCACAGAAGGGACTGAGAAAGAGTTTATGAAAAAATTCTTATAAACAAAAAGGGCTGGAAAGACAGTACAGGGATTTAAGCACTTGCTGTGCAACCCACTGGCCCAGTGTGAATCCCCAGCATCACACATGGTTCTTGAGCATTGCCAGGAGTCACCCCTGAACACAGAGCCAGGAATAGCCCCTGACCACAACTCTATGGGGCCTACATACCTCCATAACTATCCCCCCAAAACACATCTTCATATGTACTGCTAAAAAGTACAGTAGTATATAAAAAAAGGTGTTTATAAGGACAGGGTTAGTTGTACTTTTTCTATAAAGATACAACTATTTTGCCAGTAAGAGGATTTATATAATTTTACTAACTATATTTTTATTGTTCCTTACCTCCTTTTTACAAATTGCCTGAACTCCTGAAGCTTCCATTTGTCATATTTTTCAAACCTTTTGAAATGTTCTTCTGCATGAAATTTATCAGAAGATGAATTATAAGCAAACACCAATCCACACTGGGCACCAATGCCCCCACGTCGAACCTTAAAAAAGAGATCCAGATAAAGTACATCAAAGGATCTAAGGATCACAACTTTTGTGGCAACAGTATTTCCAAATTTTGCTAAATTCAAATAGCTTAAAGCTTCTCAAAAAATGATTTCTTACTTTTCTTAATCCTTATATTCACACCATTCGTAGACTTTATTTGTTCATCTCTGTGCCCCTGGCCTGTTACAGGTCTCAGAAAGCAAACAACCACTAAATGACAAATGACAAAATAGAGCTGGGGGACTGGAGCGATAATATAGTGGATAGGGTGCTTGCCTGGCATGCAGCCAACCCAGATTGATCCTCCAGAATGACTTGTAGTACCCCAATCCCTGCCAGAAGTGATTCCTAAGCACAGGACCAGGAGTAAGCCTCTAATTCTATAGGGTCCAAAAAATTTAAAAAATAAAAAAGACTTGGACTTCTAAAAAGCAATCCTATTTTGTTTGTTTGGAGTTTGAGCTATACACAGCAGTGCTTCGGGTTTACTCCTGGTTCTGTGCTCAGGGATCACTCCTGGCAGGGCTGGGTGTACCATATGTGGTACTAGGAACTGAACACCGGTTGGCCACATGCAGGGCAAGTATCCTACTTGTTGTACTATCTCTCCGACCCCCATTTTGGTTTTTGGGATTTTTTTGTTTGTTTTTTAGGTGTAGGGGGCACCATAGCCAGTATGTGGGCTACACAGTAGTGTCAGGGAGGTCAGGTGGTGCCAGGAATTGAATCTGTGGCTCTGTGTACACCAGGCACGAGCTATAGCTCTTTGAATTCTCTCTTAATCACTTAACTTCCCGTTAATCGTCGACTTGCTCGAGCGGGCGCCAGTAACATCTCCATTTGTCCCCGTCGCGTGCTAGTGTAGCCCAATGGCGTCTGTTCGCTCTAGGAACATGAAGAGCTTCAAACCGATCATTCATGATCTTGAAGAAGTCTGACCATCTGGTAGGTGGGCGGCCACGCAGTCTTTTGACATCCCGTGGAATCCAGTTGGTAACAGCCTCTAAATCTCATTACGTGACCAGCCCATCTGATTTTTGATGCCTTGGAAAACGAGACAGCGTCTCTGATTCTTGATCGTCGATGGATGTCGGAACTCCAGATTCTTTCTCTCATTTGAGTGAAACGTGATATTCCAAGCATAGCTCTTTCTATTCTTCTTTGGGAGACCTGAATAGTATTCTCAACTTGTTTGTGTAGGGCCCAGGTCTCTGAGGCATATGTTAATGCAGGAAGAACAGTGGAATCAAAGAGATGTGCCCGGAGCCGGAGGTTCTTCGTCCTCTTAGCTATTTCTTCGACATTCTTGAAGGTGTTCCAAGCCACTCTCTTCCTCCTGCGCAGCTCGAGTGCCAGGTCATTTGTCATATTGACTTCTCGACCTAGGTACACATAGCTGTTGCATTCGGAGATGGTCGTTCCATTGAGAGCGAATAGGGCATCAGAAACGAGGCTGTTTCTCATAAACATTGTCTTCGTAAGATTCAGCTGTAGTCCTACCTTTCCACACTCACGGTCAAAGTCGGCCAGCATTTGTGCCGCTTGGCTGATGTTTGGTGTTATTAAAACAATGTCATCAGCAAAGCGGAGGTGGTGTAGTTGCCGACCATCTATCTTCACTCCCATTCCTTCCTATTCTAGTCGTCGCATGATGTTCTCGAGGGTGGCACTGAAGAGTTTCGATGAAATGGTATCACCCTGCCGCACCCCTCTCTTGACATCAACGATCACTTCTTTGTAGAATGGTGAGATCCTGGTAGTGAATCCGCAATACAGCTCACGGAGGATCCTGATGTATTGGGCTTGAATGCCCTGATTGGCTAGGGCTTCAATGACCGCTTCTGTCTCAACAGAATCAAAAGCCTTCTTTAAATCAATGAACGTTAGACAGAGCGGCATCTTGAACTCCCGAGAAATCTCAATGAGCTTGGTTATCGTGTGGATATGGTCGATGGTGCTGAATCCTTTGCGGAACCCGGCTTGCTCGCATGGTTTTCCTTCATCTAGTGTTTTGCCAATCCTATTTAGGATGACTCGAGTGAACAACTTGTAGATGACAGACAATAGGCAGATCGGGCAATAGTTGCCAATGTCATGGATGTCTCCCTTCTTGAACAGTAGTACGGTCCTACTGGTTTTCCATTGGGACGGAACCTTGCATTCAGACAGGTAGCGTGTGAAGAGCCGAGCCAGTGTATTGATGAGTACTGATGGCAGGTTCTTCAGGTGTTCAGGTCTGACCTTGTCTGGGCCGGGTGCTGTTCGTTTCTTTACCAACAAAATGGCATGTCGGATTTCGGAAGGGAGAACGTTGGGAACGACATATCCATCCTGTGGAATTTGGTATGTCGGCAAGTGGACATGGCTATCGAAGAGATTTGAGTAGAAGTCATGGATAATCTTCTTCATTGCCGTTCTGGAGGATGTGATAGATCCATCAGGACATCGGAGGGCAGTCATCTTGGTCTTGTACTTGGCAAAGGACAGGTGGGCGTTACGAATACTTTTTGTTAAATTCGAAAGTATTCGAATTCTCTCTAGCAATCTAAAAAGAATTTCACTTTTTAACAATAGCAGCACTGGGGCTGGAGTATAGGGGTTAAGGTGCTTGTTTTACATGCCACTGACTCCAGTTTGATCCTCAGCACCACCCCTGAGCACTGCCAGGCGTGACCCTGGAGCACAGAGTAAGGAGTAGCCTCTGAACCCTGTGCCCCCCAAAAAGTAAACAACAAACTGTATTAATGCTTAAAGAAGGTAGCATGAGAATTACCATAATTCTGATCTGTGTAACTTGGATGGCAGAGTCAGTTCCTGTAGAAAAAATAGTACTTGCTCTGGTTTTTCCAGTCTCTGTAAGAAAACCTATAAAAAGGAAAAATAAAGTTAAGATTACTGATGCATTTGTTATGACCCTAGGAATAAGTTCAATAAAAATAAGCTATATTCTTTGAAATAAGACAGAGGGTAACTATTTTTGTTGTTGTTTCTGGGCCACACCCAGGAGTGTTCAGGGGGTTACTACTGGTTCTGCATTCAGGAATTATTCCTGGCAGTGCTGGGAGAACCATACAGGATGCTGGGGAAACCTGGATCTGCTGCATGCAAGGCAAACATCTACCTGCTGTACTATCTTTCCTGCCCCAGGGTAACTATTCTATCTGGTACTTTTGTGGAAAGTGGAAAAATCTTCCACTCTGGACAGATGTTGCCCACTAATACATCTCTAGGTAACTGACCATAAGCCAGATTCAACTTCCTTCAACTTTAGTTTTTGAAAAGGTTTAAATAAAGCTGAAAAAGTAAAAAACAAAACAAAACAAAACAAAAAACCCCTATGTGCTACCTATTCTTGGATATTTTTTAAATATCAACTTGTAACAAAGTTGCATTTGATATAAAGTCCCACTCCACCAAACCGAGTATCTCATACTAAGAGATCACAGATTTTAAAAATGTAATAAATCTACCACTTTAGCTCAACCAACAGTCCCAGAATACCTTTAAAATACCAGAACACTGAGGCAGAGAGATAGTATAGGAGGGATAGTAGCATGCAGCTGCACTGGTTATGACCTTGGTTCAAATCACTGGCACAACATGATTCCTTGACCAATGCTAGGGGTCATTCCTGAGCACAGGAAAGGAGCAATCACTGACCACTGCTGGGTGTGGCTCAATAACCCTCATTCCCTAAAAAGAAAATGAAATACTAGACCAGGAATGGGGATGTGGTTGAAGTGATAGAGTACATGTTGTCTATATGTGAGATCCACATTCAATCCTGGCACCAGTGGATGTGGCCTAAGTGACAGCTGGGTACAGCCCCATGAACAGAAGTGACAAAAAATAAATATCATTTTCAAAGAACTCCTACTGCGGGGCTGGAGCGATAGTATAGTGGGCAGGGCATTTGCCTTGCACAAAGCTGACCAGGGTTCAATTCTCAGCATCCCATATGGTCCCTCAAGCAACACCAGGAGTAACTCTTGAGCACAGAGCCAGGAGTAACCCCTGAGCATCACTGGGTGTGACCCAAAAAGCAAATTAACTCCTACTCTGACATGGTGTAGAAAGCAAATCACTCTTCCAAAAGCAATAGTCTGCCTGTGAAGATTATCCCCTGTCCTACCTATCTCCTAGGTTCATTTTTCCAGTGGAGTAAGACTAAAATTTAAACTGAGTTGTAAGAACGGAAATGGCAGGTGGTAAAGGGAGACCAGAATAAACTGAATTGCTTCCAGGCAACCATTCACAACAAAATAATAAATCTACAACAACAAATAGATTTACAAAACCCATTCATCCAAGGCAGAAGGAAGGCAGGGAGATAAATCTGCAAAACAAAGACACAGGAAGAACAACAACATATGCAAATCATATCAAGTCTAAAAGCTTGCCAATGTTTCTAGTAGCTATAGAACTTATTTATGGATAGTTATGAACTTTCTATTTATAACAGCATTAAAAGAGCTATATATTGGTCAGGGGAGACAGATCGAAAGGATGGAGCACATGCTTTGCATGCAGAAGACCTGGGTTCAGATTCAATCACTAGTACTGTATGATACCCTAAGCATTGAGTCTAGAGTAGCTGATGAGTACTGCTTGGTGTGGCCCAAGATCCATCCCCATATAGGAAGAACCTACCTCGCATGCCTAAGTCAAAAAAATCCCAATCCCACAGAGAGATAGTAGGTTTGTGCTAGCACTGCATGAGACTACCCAAGATTCGATCCCTGGCATTTTATGTGGTCTCCTGAGCAAGAACTATTTCCTGCACATGCTGGGTGTGGTCCAAAAGCAAATAAAAATTATGTTTCTTTTTTGCTTGTTTTGTTTCTGAGCCACACCTGGAGATGCTCAGGTGCAACTCCTGGCTCTGCACTCAGGAATCACTCCTGGCAGGGTCAGGGGACCATACAGGATGTCAGAGATGGAATGCAAAGCAAATGCCTTGCCCTCTATACTATCTCTTCAGCCCTAAAAAAGAATATTTCTTTGGCAGAGTGGTCTTGCCTTTCTTAGGTTGACAAGATGGGAGAGGGAAGAAAGCTGCTACCATCTCTTCCCAATCCCACCCATTCACTTTGAGAGCAGGGGATTCAGTCAAATACAAAGGCCTTTAATGTGCCAGGGGATGGATAATATAAAGGAAAGCCTGCAGAGGCTGAGATACTCAGGGAAAGATAATAATTGTTTAACAGATACCAAAGAGTGGAAGTGTGACAGGGAAAAGTTTATTTTCCCAAAAGCCTTTACTTCAGAAGTTGCTAAGAAGAATCCAGGAAATAGAACAGAGGATAGTCAGTGAGTAAAGTGACATTCATGATATCTCATCAGTAACAGTACTATAAACCACAGTGCCTGAAAGGAGGATCAGGGAGAGGAGATAAAAAAGAAGAAGAAAATAGCACTTGTCATTGAGGCAGGAAAAAGGGTAGAGGAAAACTGGGGAAATTGGTGGGAGGAAGTGGACACTGGTAAAGGGAAGGGTGCTGGAACATTGTATGCCTGAAACTCAATCATGAATAACTTTGTAATTCACAGAAATTCCATTAAAAATTTTTTTAAGTGATAGCCATTGAAAACCCATGAAGACTGTTGGACTGTTATCACTATTAGGAAAATCAAGAGAATAACTAAACTCAAAGCACTGAGAGAAGTTCCTTTCAATGTTTGATAATTGCTGAAATAGTCTATTTTCTTGACTGAATAGGCAATATTTAGAGAAGTACAGGAGCAGAATGCATCAAATGCAGGAGTCTAGATGGCTGGTCAAAAGGATAGATGAGGAAGAGACTCATAAACACATCCCAAAGGAGGAAAAAAGCCTTCAGCATATAAAGCCATGTACTCCAGGCGTCTACTTAGTTTCTTCATACTTAATACAACAAAAAGACAAACTATATTTAAAATGGTGTAACTTGGGCCAGAGATTTATTATATCAAGTAGGGTGCTTGCCTTGCATGTGGCTGACCTGGGTTCAATCCCGAACACTCCATTTGATGGTGTTTTAAGTTTCTATATTCAAGGGAAGTATCCTTTTCAAAACTGTAGCCTATCAAGTACTTTTGTGTTAGTACAGGTGACTAACACCTAGACATACTATAGTGCTATAAGAAAATCTCAGTGGTGGTTCAGAAAGCATTGTCAATTGAAGGATCCCTCAAGTGAAAGCTGCATATTAAAAGCATTTCAAATACTAGTGTGAGATGTCACACATATCCAGTGAGTACCCTATATTTCTTTTTCATTCACTAAAGACAGGAAACAAACAAACAAACAAACAAACAAAAAACTGAACAGATCTACTACTTACCATCTCTTGTCCATGGTTCAACAAGGAGGTTTTCAGGTCCTGATTTTTCTTCTTTCCCTTTGACATCACAAGCCTGAAGAGTCAACTGAAGAGGTTTACCTGATCAAAGAAATGAGAAAGAGTCTAAAGCAAGTCTACAAAATATGAAAAATAGCCAGCGCATCTGGGGAAATAAGAGTACTTATGACAACCTACAAAACTTACTGAAAATTTACATGTTTAAAAACTAAAAGAGGGGCTGGAGTGGTAGCACAGAGGGTAGGGCGGTTGCCTTACATGCAGCTGACCCGGGTTCAATTCCCAGCATTCCATATGGTTCCCTGAGCACAGCCAGGAGTAATTCCTGAGTGCATGAGCCAGGAGTAATCCCTGTGCGTCGCCGGGTGTGACCCAAAAAGCAAAAAAACAAAAAACAAACAAAACTAAAAGAAGTTTTTCAAAAATGGTGTAACTTTTAAGGCCAGAGACATAATACAGCTAGTAAGGTGTTTACCAACCTGGTTTTGATCCCTGGCACTGCATATGACCCCTGAGCATTTCCAGGAATCTCTCCTGAGCATAGACCCAGGAACTGACTCTGACCAACACTAGATGTGGGTTGCAAACCAAAAATTTTTTAAAGGCATAATTCTTTTACATCCCCAAAGGAGAACTCCTAGCTCTCAGAAACAAAAACTAGCCCGAAAAGACTGGGACCTTCTCAGAGTGGGGGCAGGCAACTTTCCTCAACCCCCTACCCCTGCCCCCAATCCCTACCTCCCATACTGTCAGACGCCCCAGAAGCCACACCCACACTCCACAATCCTGGAAGAGATCTCAAGTCAATGAAAGTCCCAGGTACAATGGTCTTCTTTGCACTAAAACTCTGGGGCATTCTTTGGGGCTTGGGGCAGGGGAGAGGTGCCATCTAACTCCTGCCCTGCTAGAGCCTCCTCCAGTCATACCTACAACCAAAACCTCTGGCACAGTTCAGCTTCACTGCTTTACAATAATCTCAGAAGAGTTGCCAAGCAATGAAATTCCCAGGTACACTGGTGTTTGGATGAAAATTCTGCCAGAAGCCCCAGCAGCCTCACCCATTCCCTGCAGCCTCCAGCATATAAACAGGCCCACCTTCACAACTTCATGACAAATCTGAAGAGACACCAAGCCAATGAACCATCCCTGTTCGATTGCTCCTGAAGCATGTGGCCACAAATGAGGCCATAGGACACCTCCAAATTATCTGATTTTTACAGAAAACTTGCAGAATAGATTTCAGAAACAAAACTCCACCCAAATGCATAACCAGAAAACAATTATATATTATAGAAAAGGGGGAGGGAGAAAGCTCACAGTCTGATATGCCTGAGAGACTCATTCTCTGAAGGAGGATGACTGCAGCAAGAAAATGGAGAGGAACAAAGGGGCATTGATTGAAGAGATCAGCTAAGCAGTCAGGTGGACCAAGAGTTATCCCTGTACACAGTGCCGGGAGTAAGCTGGTCATATGAGAATAACTATATAAATAGATAAATAAAAAACAGAGCTGAAGAGATAGTACAGAGGTTAAGGTGGTTGCCTTGCATGTGTTTGACTCTGCTTTGACCTGTGACACCACATGTGGTCCCCAAAATACTTCCTGGAGCAACCCTAGATGAGAACAGCTAGGGGTGTCCAAAACACACAACAGCCCTCCAAAAATACTTAAAAAGAAAAAGAGCTCTGGTGCTTTATATCATACATCTGACAAGGAGTTAATATCCCCAAAATATAAAGAACTCACAAAAATTAACAAGAAAAAAAAAAAAACAAGCAGCCCCTAAAATAAATGGGCAGAAGAATTGAGTTGACTCTGTTACAGAAAGTTCATGAAAAAATTTTCATGTGCCCCACAGATACATGAGAAAACTTTCAACATAATTTACTGTTAGGGAAGTGTAAATCAAAACTACTAATAGTTGGGGCCAAAGAGCTAATAGAGCAGGCAGGGTGCTTGCCCTATACATGGTGGACCTGGGTATGATCCCCAGCACCACATATGGTCCCCTGAGCACCAACAGGCATGACCCTTGAGCATAGAACCAGGAGTAAGCCTTGAGTACTGCTGGGTACATCCCCAAAACAAAACAACAAAAATAACTACAGTTTTATCAATTCAAACACATTAGAACGGTCTATGTCAAAACATTTGGAAAGACAGCTTGAGAGGCTGAATGCAAATTCTGCATGCTGGAATCCCAGGTTCTATCCTTGACACTGCATGGTCCCCAAAGCACTGCCAGAAGTGACCCTCCCAAGTACAGAACTGGAAATAGTCTCTGAGTGCCGCTAGGTATGGCCCAAAATATTATAAATTTTAAAAAAGTGGAAATTTCATATCTTCCCTTAATATCACTCCTAAATATTTTTATCTGAAGCATCCACAGACACAAATTCTAAAGGATATATGCTTCTCTATTCATAGAAGCAGCATTCACAACAGCCTAAACATGAAATCAACCTAAATGCCCTGAGACAGACAAATGGAAGAAGTTGCTGTGGCATATGAGGAATACCACTCTGCCATGAAAAATAAGGAATTTTGCCTCTGAAGACAAAACAGATGACTCTTGAGGTGATCATGCTAAGTGAAATAAGGGAGAGATTACTTGTTCGTTACACTCATATTAAATATGAATAGTTAAAGGAAAAAGAAATGCTGTCAAGAAAATAAAACTGGTGACAGAGAGAGAAGCCAACTAACCTCAGCTTCTTGTTATTTTTGTTTGGGGGCCACACCCTCTGGGGTAATGTAGCTCTGGTGACCATGAGCACCACCAATGTGGTTTGAATAACACAGTGCCCAACTAGCACTGCATCCTTGTGTCCTCAAATACCAGTCTGGTCAAGGCCTCATGGGACAGGAGGAGTTGGCCCTTCTCCTTCCCCCCACCCCAATGGGACTCTGAGATGACGCCCACATATAGCCACCATCAACTTAAGCTCCCACATCCCATGATCCAGAGACACACAAACGAATCTCGGACCCGAGCAACTTGCTGCAGCGATCTCTCCAGACCCTAATTATTAAAATTTTAGAATTCCTAGAGCGCGTGGCCACTCTTGCGGCTATGCAACATTATACTGTACCCACAACAAACAATGTAAAACACATTGTCTAGCATTACATTTTCGGCAGATATGAGCGGTGGTGAGGCTGGGCTCAAATATCGAAGGTAACCAAAGTAGAGAAAGAGAGTAGTATGTGAATTATCTGCCACGCAGGCAGGGGCAGGTGTGGAATGGGGGAGGGAGAATACTGGGGACTTTGGTGGTGGAAAACGTGCACTGGGGAAGGGATGGGTGTTTGATGACTGTATGATGGAAGTTCAAACATGAAAGCTCTGTTATGGTGCCTCATGGTGAATCATTAAAAAGGGGGAAAAAAAGATACTGGTCTAGTCATCTAAGAAATCCTGGGAGGCTGCTCAGAGTCTCCTGAGCACTGCTTGGAAAATTCAGAAAAAAAAAAAAAACACACACACACACACAACTAATTTCTAGGCTTGGTGAAAACTATAGTGGTCACAAGAGAACAGTGTGAAGCCTCATGGGAAGAACGAAGGGAAGGGTTTTCTTGGTTGTGGGATGGGAATGGACTGCAGCTTTGGAGGAGGAAGTGGTAGCAATTATACATATATAGACATGCGAAGCTAAATCTAGAAAATTCTGAAATACTAAACCCTAGGGCCGAAGTGATGGTACAGTAGGTTAGGCATTTGCCTTGCACATGGTCAACCCGGGTTCGATCACTGATATCCCACATGATCCCCAAAGCACTGCCAAGAGTACTTCCTGAGTGCAGAGCCAGGAGTACTTCCTGAGCATTGCCGGGTGTGACCCAAAAAGCAAAAAAAAAAAACAAAAACAAAAAAAAAAACCAAAAAAAAACTGTTAGTCTAAAATGTTAACAATGGTAAATATGAAAATAAAAATCAGCCGAGACTAGTATTATTACTATAGCATTAATCATAATAATATTAGTCATATTAAGGTAAGGTATATATTAAGGCAAAGGTACCACTAAAGGTTAGTATGGCAAATGAGAAAACTCTAGCTATCTGGAAGGTAAGAAGAATTGGACACCATACTGGGTGTGCAGAAAATCACTGTGCTGCAGCACTGTCCTCCCGTTGTTCATCAATTTGCTCGAGCAGGCCTAGTAACACCTCCATTGTGAGACTTGTTGTTACTGTGTTTGGCACATCAAATACGTTACGGGTACCTTGCCAGGCTTTGCCGTGTGGGCGAGACACTCTTGGTAGCTTGCCAGGCTCTCTGAGAGGGGCGGAGGAATCGACCCCGGGTCGGCTGAGCTGGCCGTGCACAAGGCAAACGCTCTACTGCTGTGCTATCGCTCCAGCCCGTAGAAAACCACAAGGATGAGAAAAGCAGCAACAAGTATGCATGTATGTCTATGCATACCTTTTGGACCAGATGGTAAGGGGATCCAAAGACAAATGCTCTTTTTTTCTTTCTTTCTTTCTTTTTTTAAGTGCCAGGGATGAACCCATAGCCTCACATGGGCTCACAGGGTAAGCACTCTACTGTTGAGCTATATGTCCCAGGCCCCCAAAGATATATGTTATCATTATTTTTTTTGGATTTCTTTTTTTAATGTGAGGGGGAGGTCACACCTGGCAATGCTCAGGGGTTGTTCCTGGCACTACACTCAGGAATTACCCAGTGGTGCTCAGGGGACTGTATGGGATACCAGGGGTCAAACCTGGGTCAGCTGTGTGCAAGGCAAATGCCCTACCTGCTGTACTATCATTCTAGTCCCAGGATATATATTGTTTGGAGACGGGTGGGGGTATAGTTTGAGAGGGTTATACCTGGTATAACTGACAGTGCTCAGGGGGACATATGGGATACTGGGAATCATACCTTGATTGGCTGCATGCAAGGGAAGAGCTTTACCTGTTGCTGTACTATCTCTCCAGTCCTCATGGAATATATATCCTAAGACAAGCTTCTTGTGTCCCAAGTCTGAGCTAGTTCTCGCCTGCTATAAGTGAGAAGTGCTCCAACCACCCAACCCTTCTAGCCTATAATGGAACACTTCTATACTTCACCAAAGAGAGCTAAGGAAAAGCAGTAAGGCCTAGACATATTAGGAGTATAGCTAACTGAGCACTTGGGTCTTCTTTTGTTGGTGCTGCCATAAATAAATCAACATCTCCTTCTCCCCATTAATACCAATCAAAGAGGATATGTTCATCCAAGAATGCAGCAATTACAACAATCCAGTGCACAAACAAACTGAAAAGTCAACAATATGCCAGAAGGTTCTATGCAGATGACGCTTTTAATGATACATTCAGGCCGATTATTTACCGTATTTCAGGAGCAGGTTTTGCCTGACTAATGCCATAGATGAGATGAGGGACAAGGCATCATAGTGTGTGTCCAGATGGTCAGTGATGGTACACAGAGAATTCAGCACTTTGGCAACACTTCCTCTTGCTAGTGCAAAAGCCAGAAGAGTCAGCTCTACCTCGGGGGTAGAACTGCAGCTACAAACAAAAAGCAAAAATCTCTTCACTTAAGTACATGAGAAAATTTAGGGAGCCCAAACCATACATACTTAATCACCTACCTTGTACTTTCTATGTTTACCAGAAATGCTGTTCTAAAGTATTTCAAAATATTTTCAAAATCTAAGGAAAAACTAATTCAACTCAGTTTGTCCGGGAAATTATATTCCTGATTCTCAGCCTTCCCCTGTAAAGGCTTATTTCATCTATACATAATTAATTGAATACTATCAATTTTAACAAGATTAACAATCTATTCAAATAAGACTCTTTTATTAAGACGCCTTGGATAATGAGTTGGCCAGAGAGTTAGGGTTTATTTCCTCAAACACCAAATATCTATGTGAGATTTATTCTCTATCACTCTTCTCCGCCTTTAAAAATATACACATTAGGTGGGTGCAAAAAATGGTGCAATGGCTTAAAGCACTTGCATGGCAATTGTTAGATTGTGAATTTAGACTGCTGCCACCCGTATGTGCTGAGGTGATCAGGACAGTTCTGATTTCTGTGATCCCTAGCAAAAAGGGCCAGGATGATGGTTTAGTGGCTTTGTAAGTGCCCAAGGCGGTAATGAACTTAATCCACTGATTAAGCATTGTAAAAGGGTGAAAGTCATCCCAACTGCCCCTTGCTTGGGGTCGTTAAAAATTTTAAAATTGCTAGATGGTTCAGACCCTCATTTGCCCTCTAATGTAATAATGACATTAAGATCCCCAAGACAACACTGAGTGTAACCATACTAAGTGATTATTCTACCAAGGTATCAAGGTTAGTGATTCTTCTACCAAGATATCAAGGTTCAAGAGATAATTATACCTATGTATATAGGAGAGGCAGATGCTGAGTAAGGTCATGGGCTGAGGAAGTGAGTTAATTATGAGGGTGTGCATTCTGGACTTTGAGACATCTATCTATTCTACATGAACCAGACAACGACACCCTTCCTCAATGCCAAGTCTTGGTACAAGATATTAAATGAAAGAGTGAGTTTAGAAGAGTAACTATTATTTTACATTCTCTTCAGCCTTTAAAAACAAACAACTGTAGTGGTGATCTTTTAAGACTGATTTTGTTTTAAATGAGTTAAAAGAATATTTACCATCCATTTCCCTTACAGTTTACCTCATCAACCCTGCTTTTACCTAGTTATCCTTATGAGGAAGCTGTCCACTTCCTCTAGAACATTGGGAGACAGGAAAGTTGAGAAATCTGTAGATCCAGGTGAGAGGGAAAGTGGAGGCATGTGCTGGAGTGCCTTCCTAGAAATGCAAAATGTAAAATTAGAACAAACTGAGGCATATTATTAGACATAAACTGTTGAGAAGCATATTCACTTGTATCACTTGTCACTCATTGATTTGCTTGAGTAGGCACCAGTAAATTCTCCATTGATCCCTATCATGAGCTAGTGTAGTCCTGACCCTGGAAGAGCCCCCAATACGTTTATTACTACCTTAAAAACAAGCAGTATTTGAGGAAGGAGAGATAGGACAGTGGGTAGCATGCTTGCCTTGCACAAGGCCAACCCAGGGTTTATCCCAGACACCACATGTATGGTCTGTGTATGGCCAGAAGTGATCTCTGAGCAGAATCAGGAGTAAACTCCGAGCACAGTCAGTTGTGGTTTACAAAACAAAACAATAACGAGTAGCGCTCCTACAGAGATTCTGACACATAATAAAAATAATTCCAGCCATTTACCCCAGGAATCATGGTACTGTTAGTTTAATAGGATTTCCTGGGGCTGGAGCAATAGCACAGCTGGTAGGGCATTTGCCTTGCACGCGGCCGACCCAGGTTCAATTCCCAGCATCCTACATGATCCCCTGAGCACTGCCAGGGGTAATTCCTGAGAGCAGAGCCAGAAATAACCCCTGTGCATTGCCGGGTGTGACCCAAAAATTTAAAAAAATAATAAAATAAAATAGAATTTCCTTATTCCCTCCCACCACCACCCACCACCCACCCCCCCGCCTTTTTTCAGAGTTCTATTTCTCTCTGCAAATACTTACTCAGCTCTCTGGAATCAAATATTTATCTTAGGTAACCACAGGGGCTGGAGCACAGCAGTAGGGCATTTGCCTTGCACAAGGCCTACCCTGCCAACCTGAGTTTGATTCCTCTACCCCTCTCAGAGAGCCCAGCAAGCTACTGAGAGTATTTAATCCGCACAGCAAAGCCTGGCAAGCTACCTATGTTGTAATCGATATGCCAAACACAGTAACAACAAGTCTCACAATGAAAATGTTATTGGGCCCGCTCGAGGAAATTGATGAACAATGGGAGGACCGTGCAGCGCTACAGTGCAGTGCAGGTAACCACAGAAAGAAGGCATACATGCTCTAAAGAAAAACCCTGGAGTTCTAAGAATATATCCCAGAGGCAGAACAGTTTGTGGCGAAGTAGAAGTTTATCTTATACATGAGATCTTTAAGATTACAGTATCAAAAGAGGCTCCATTAGTTTTCTTTTCTCCTAAATAAAGCAGCACCCATCATCTGCCTATGTTTTCTGGCCTTAGCCTTAATGCCTGCTTCAATGTTTTTCGGTTTTTTTTTTTTTTTTTGTCCCGCATGATGTCTAATCAAAACCCTGCAAAGGTTTTGGAGAAAGACTGGTTAGGGAGTACAGACAAAGGGCTGGGGGTGATAGGAGGCTATTTATATGGAGAGATTGATTAAACAAATAAATATATGAGAGATGATGGGAATCACGTTTCTTGTTATCAGAGACGGGAAAAGAATCCCTGGATGAATTCCCACCAAAATACTTTTTTTAAAAGGCAACAAGGAAAGGGATAATAAAATATTACCCTTCAGATCTAGTACTAAAAACAGTGTTAAGGTTTTAAAGTTTTATTTAATAGCAATAGCAGTAGCTAGGGGGAATAGTACAGTAGATGACATGCTTGCCTTGCATACAGCCAACCCTTGTACGATTCTCAGCATCCCATATGATCCCTTGAGTATGTCCAAGAGTAATCCCTGACCACAGACCCAGGAGTAAGTCCTGAGCATAGCTTGGTGTGGCCAAAATATATTTCAAACAAATAACAAATCAGAAAGCCAATAACAAATCCCAAAAGCCATGTACAGAAGAAACATTAGCAATCTTTTTGCCTGACGTTTTGATAGCCTATGCTAGTAGTGTCTATTGAATTGTAAACATATAAGCAATATAAACATATAATGCTAATAACTTTTTACTGAAGCTTGTTCTTTTGTCCTAACAAGTGTTCTGTTTTGAGTTTTGGGCCAAATCCCGTGATGCTTGAGGCTACTCCTCTCTATTCCTGCTCAGGGGTAACTCCGCACTGTGCATGAGGGAACTGCTGGGAATTAAACCTGGGGCACCTGTACTTAAAGAAAGAACAGCTCTAGCCCTTTGAGCTATATATATCCCTGGACCCCCAAGAGTTTTTTGAAATGGAAAATCCCAAAGTCTAATTGTAAAAATAAATTTATTAATATCCTTAAATATTTATTGTGGCCAAAGTGATAGTACAGCAGACAAGGTGTTTGCCTCGCATCAGCTGACCCAGGTCTGATCCCTGGCATCCTATATGGTTCCATAACACATCAGGAGTGATCCTTGAGTGCAGAGTGAGGAGTAAAACCTGAGCATTGCCAAGTGTGGCACAACCACCCACTCCTCAACTCTCCCCCTGCCAAAAAACCCACCAAATATTTTTTTCATTTGTGAAAAAAGTCCTCAATATGCAGTGAAAAGACCTACAAATTGCTCATTCACCTGTCTGCTCATGTAGCTCAAAAAAGGCCACAAGATCACTGCCTACAGGAATACTAAGTGGGAAATAAGGCCCGGGACAAGGCTCATGCTTTGCATAAGTGAAGCCTTAGTTAGGTTCAACCCCACACCTGGCAAAAATAATATTTTACATGTATATTTCACAATATAAGTTGGTAAATAATACATAGCAACTGAGAGTAATTTTCCAAGATAAAGTGATAAAAAAAAAGTGAGCAATTACTGTCAACATATAAGGAATTGGAATAGCACCTGAGACTCCAAAGAGAAGTGGGATTAATCAACAAATAAAGGAGAATGCTGGCAGAGATTTGAAAGGAGAAGGAAGGTACCTTTCCAAAGTCTATAAAATCAGAACCTCAAAGACAGGAGAAATCGGAGTTGATAGACACAAACAGGAAACAACAGGGTAACTGGGCTAAGCTACTGATTGACAGTTAATGATGAATGATCAAAGGTTGCTCAGTGATATGCTCTAAAGGTTTAAAAAATAAGTACTCATTGCCAGGAATGAAAAGCCAAGAAAGTGACTTACTGAGTATTGTGCAGTACTGTCTGGACAAAGGCGGGATTTGTCTCCATGGAAGCAGTCACCAGAGATGTCAGCAGCGACCAATACCATATTGCAGAAGCATCTGAGACTGAGACCCCAGTCTTCTTAATTTTCTGAAAGCCAACAGCCCTCAGACCATGAATTCTAGTGTCACATCCATCGCTAAGGCAACGCTTTATGTTTATCTGGACATCTGTAAAGTGCAACAACAATTTCAGTATTGAATTAACTTCTTAAGTTCAGCAACTGCAAGGCTTCAAACTAAAAGCAAAATAGTAATTCACAATTTTTTTTTGGTGGGGGGAGAGATAAACTTTGGTGAAATATATATGCAATGAAAGTATATATTTTTTAAAAAATCAGAAAAGCATTAACCAAAGACGTCATACAAAGACTGTGTAAAATTGAGAATGGATTGATGAATCTTTATTATTATTTATGAATCTTTATTTATACACAGAGCTTCTTAGTTTTGAAAATAAACACAAAGAACTCTGTTTTGATCTTGACTAGACACATAAGAAAATTTCTAGAATATTGACTAGAGTTCTGAAATTGAACTGAGTTATAAAACTAAAGATGGTCAATAGCAGTTTTGAGAATTTATTTTTAATAAAGTTCAAACAGATGACACAGGCAACTATTATGAGACATCACAATCTCTTATTTGGATATGAAAAGAGGAGTTGATGTTAAAAAGGATTACCACTTAGAGAAAAGATCACCACAGTGCAAGACAGGAAAAGCTTCTACTGCACAAGCTTAACTATGTGTTTGCCTATGGGTGAGACATGAAGACACTACCTCCCTAGGCCTCAGTTCCTTTGAGCAAAGTAAGAACACTTCCTTTGGCCCAGGAAAGCATTAGGAGAAATGAGACAAAACATGAAGTATTCCGTCTCTCTGAATGAAATAAGCCTGGAAAGAAATCACAGGATTGTGATTATTTCCAAAACGCTATGTGGAAAGCAAGCTTATAATAGTATAAAAATGGAACAACCTAAATGTCCAAGAACAAAGATGTGATTAAAATTAAGGAATATTCTTACAACACTTAAATGATATGAATATATATGACAAAACTTAAAAAAAATATAAAAGAGCATGTACAGAGTATTATTTTTTTGGTAAAAAGGTATTTATATATAAACATATACAGCTCTATTTTTCTTTTCTTTTTTGGCAGTTGGGGGAAGTAACAGCCTTTAACCAGAAGTGGTTAGGGTTATTCTCAGCTCGATGCCTGGGGAATGCTCCTCAAAGTATTTAGGGGACTATCTGATGATGAGAATTGAACCTGGGCTTTGGCACACAAAGTGAGATGTCTTCTTGGCCCCACAGTCATTATTTTATAAAAAAAAAAAAAAAAGCATGTATACATGTATGTATTTATATACACACAAACAAATACAGATGCACAAGAAAAAGCTCAGGAAGGATTCACTCCAAGATGTTCACAGCGACAAAACCTGAGTAGTGAGATTTTCTGTGTGTGGGGAGGAGGGTTTGGCCACATCCAGTGGTGCTCAGGGGCTACTCCTGGATCTATGATCATTCCGGGTAGTGGTGGGGGATCATATGTGGTGCCAGGAAATCAAACTGGGGTCAGATACATGCAAGATAAGTGCTTTAACCACTATATTATCTCTCCAACAAAAGATTGGGATTTGAATAATTTTTGTTTATCTACACTTTTTTTATTTTCACTTTCTAATAAACAGCTTTAGTGCTTTTCTATAATTTTTTACAAACATAGGATAGATGAAATAATGACCACATTCATGTGCATCATGAGAAGCAAATCAACCTCAAAAGGAAAACTACACGCTTCTTCACTTTGGAGGTCTTCCTGCTAAAAAATGTTACTTCCTTACTCCCCTTCCAAGCCCCTCAACTCAATAAGCAAGATACATCTTGGTTGACTCACAGAGTTGACTGATGTTGGCATTTTCCAGCAGTGTCACATAGCCAGTGACATTGCTGGGAATATGCACATCGCGGACTTCCTGGAGATCATTGGCACTTCTCCCCACAGATACTGTCACCTGCTGCGGCATGTAGCTCTGGTCAGTGGCAGCCACTGCAATTGACAAGTGCCTAAGCACAACATCTGGCTTCATTTTTAAACTGGAAAACACAAAGAGCAGAAACTATAAGTGCTTGTATAGGTTGAGAACTGGCAGGATTTATAAGCCCCATTCCATCCCAACATCTTGTTGGGTTTTTTTTTTTTTTAGTATTTTTTGATTGAATCACTGTGAGATACAGTTATAAAGCTTTCATGATTAAGTTTCAGTCATACAATGATCGAACACCCATCCCTCCACACCAGTGCACATTTTCCACCCCCCCTCCCCCCGCTCCATCCCAATCCTCCCCCTGCCTCTATGGCAGACAATTTCCCCCATACTCTCTCTCTGGAGCGATAGCACAGTGGTAGGGAGTTTGCTTGCGCACGGCTGGCCCAACCTAGTCAGGTTCAATTCCTCCGCCCCTCTCAGAGAGCCCGGCAAGCTACCGAGAGTATCTCGTCTGCACCGCAAGGCCTGGCAAGCTACTCGTGATGTATTCAATATGCCAAACACAGTAACAACAAGTCTCACAATGGAGACAATACTGGGCTCGCTCGAGCAAATCGATGAAGAATGGGAGGACAGTGCTACAGTGCTACTCTCTCTGGGCATTAAGGTTTGCAATACAGATACTGAGAGGTTATCGTGTTTGGTCCTTTATCTACTTTCAGCAAACATCTCCCATCTGGAATTATCCCTCACCAACATCTTATATTTTATATCCCCAAAGATTGATTTTTTTTTATGGTAACTGGCATTTCAAACTATTGGTTTCAAAGTTCTTATGACATTCCCAAGACTTTTTTTCCCCCATTTTTTAATAATTTTATTTACTGAATCACTGTGAGAGCAGTTAGTTACAAAGCTTTCAGGTTTAAGTCTCAGTCATACAATGAAACATCCATATCTTCACCAGTGCCCATTTTCCACCCCGCAAAGCCCCAGTATACCCCCATCCCACGCCCTCCCCTACTTGTGGGGCAGATGATTTCCACATTACTCTCCTCTACTCTGATTACATTCAATATTTTGACATCAGGCTGACCACTATTATTTGGGATTTTACCCCAACATTCAGATCTGCTGAAAAGGCAACAGTAGGCAACCTGTTTTCTATTGATGGTTATGAATAACATATGATGTCGCGTGGCTGCAGCAGTGGCTGCGTGATTTTGAAATTCTGAAATGTTAACGATTAAATCTGGAGGGATTTCTGCCAAAACCTGCTGGGTTCAGAGATTTGTTCCTGAGTCTCTTGGATCATGGCCATTAAGCAGCTTGATCAGGAGCCAGAAAGGCCGTTTGTGGGCGGCAACTCAGGGTCTCGTTGGGATGGGGAGGAAAGGGCCAGTTCCACGCCCATCCCGCGAGGCCTCACGTGTCTCGTCACTGCAGGCCCAAACCTTACTGTCCAATGGCTCTGGTGGATGGTGGCCACCGAGCCGCCAAGAGGGAGCAGGTGGAGAGATAGCACCCTTTCCTCCCTGGGGTGGCCCGGCGACAATAACCTACTGCGCAGTCCAGATGCATTTCTGCCAAAAGCTGCTGGGTTTCAAGATTTGTTTCTGAGTCTCTGGGATCATGGCCATTAAGCAGCTTGTTCAGGAGTCAGAGAGGCCGTTCATGGGCGATGACTTGGGTTCTCGTTGGGGTGGGGGGGAAAGGACCAGCTTCACCCCAAATCTTGTGAGGCCCTGCGTGTCTCATCACTGCGGGCCCAAACCTGACTGTCCAATGGCCTCTGGCAGATGGCAGCCACCAAGCCTCGAAGGGGGAGCAGGTGGACCCAAATCTTTTTTTAAAATAAACTTAAGTTATATTTCTACCAACTGAATTAGCTCATTCTCAAAGGTGGGATGGGGAATGTTTTACCCTGGAAGGGGTCATTTGTAACATCACTTATGGGTCATAGAATACACACAAGCCACAGGCAGCTGACCCAAAGCATACATATCTGACAGTTCATGTACCAGGGTCAAACCACATGACTTCTCATTGACCTTATACAGTTCACTGACTGAACATTCCCATTCCCTGCTCTAGAGGGATAAGTGAAAAAATCTAAGACCTCAGTTCCATTCCTACATAATAAGCTGGTCAACTGAGTTGATTTTTAAATTTTTAAGATTTATTTAAGATTTATAAGGTTATTTTAATCTTAAATTTATTTAAGATTTATAAGGTTTCGTGGTGCTTGGGATCAAACACAGGACCTCATACAGGCAAAGCATGTACCCTGATAATTAGCTACATCCTTAGCTCATCTACACTGTATTTTTAAATGCACAGTATCTTAAGATGAAAAACCACAAGCCAGGGAAATGACTCAGAGGCTCACTGCACATATTTTCATGCAGAAAGCGAGGGTTTAATCCCAGGCAACCCACACCACACTGTGAAGCACCAAGGTGAACAACTCCTAAGTACCACCAGGTGTGGCACCCAAAAAACAAAAGAAAAACAAACAAAAAAAATCATACTATGTAAGGCAAGCATTTATCCTTGTAATAACAATGTTCCTGAGAATTAAGTCACAAAAATCTCAAATCACTATCGTAATGATAAAATAATGGATATGTGGATATGTTAAATAATATTTATTTTTGTTTTGTGTTTCGGGACCACACCTGACCATGCTTAGGGACCATTCCTAGTTCTGTGCTTAAGGGGGTCACTCATGTCGTCAGGGATGAGGCTCAAACTGGGTACTGATCCTAGGACTAAATCCAGGATCAAACTGGAGTGGCCCATACTCAAAGCAAACACCTTAACCCTATACTATCTCTCTGACCCCATTATAATGACCAATTTCTTATTCATCACAAGCACATAAAATCGCAAGAGAATACTTCTAGGCTACACTAAGGACTTGTTCCTGGCTCTGCATTCAGGAATCACTCCTGGTAGTGCTTGAGGGATCATATAGAACATTAGGCAGCTTGTACAAAGCAAGTGCCCTATCCGCTAACCTGTCTCTCCAGACCCTCAAGAGAAAAACGAAAAGCTTCATCACTTCCGAGGTCTTCCTGCTAAAAAAATTTATTTCTTAGGGTGTATACATACCACATGGTAATGGGTAATTTCTATGTGGTGAGCACATGAGCATATACTGCAACCAAGTGAGACCTCTAGTCATTTCAAAAGGTTGGGGGTGCGGGGAGGGAAAGGAACAAATGAAAAGAAAAAGAGGGAAGGGGCCGGAGAGTTAGTACAGCACATAGGGTACTAACCTTGCGCACAGTCAACCTGGGTTAGAGCTCCAGTACCTCATAAGGTCCCCTGAGTCTGGCAGGAATGATTCCTGAGCACAAACCCAGGATTAAGCCTTGAGCACTGCTGAGTGTGGCCAAAAGGAAAAAAATTAAAATAAAATAAAATAAAATAAAAGGTGGGGGGGTAGCAAAAAAGGAAGAAAAAAGAAGGGCCAGAGTGACAGTAGAGTGGGTAGGACATTTACCTTGCATACAGCAGACCCGGGTTCAATCCCTGGCATCTCATATGGTCCCCTGAGAACCATCAGGAGTAATTCCTGAGTAGAGCCAGGAGTAAATCCTTAAGCATAGCCGGGTGTGACACCCTTCCCCCCCCACAAAAAAAAAAGGGACTAGGGAGAGAGTTCAAGTGGTATAGCACACACTTGATATTTTCAAGGCCTTAAATTTGATTTCTACCACTACTAGGACGGCCATGGTGGCTCCCAAGTACATCATACCACTGGGTCCATGCATAAACTAATCAATGGCTGCCTCCTGCCACCCATCCTACCAGCACTGCTGGGTGAGGTGACTAGAATAAAAGGAAGCAGAGGCTGGAAATATAGTATAAGAGGTAAGCTATAGGAGGTAAACCACTTGCCTTGCATGTAGCTAACCCTGGTTAAATTCGAATCCCCCTCTCTCCCCCAGCACCATCAAGGGTCTTCCTGAGCACAGAGCTAGGTATGGCAGCTGAGCAAAGCATGGTGTGGCCCAACTTCCCACTAAAAAGAAGGCCAGAAAGATGGCTCAACAGATGAATGTAAGCTTTGCATGCAAGAAACGTAGGTTCCACCCCCAGTACTACATGGTTCTCCAAGGACCCCGAGTAATCCAGCCCTGCACTCCAGCCCCATCCTGAGCAGAATCAGGAGTAGCTCCTGAGCACTTATGGTATACAACCCCCAACCACAACCCTCAAAGGAAGAAAGGAACAGGTGGAGGGAGAAACAAAGGGCAGAAGAGAGGGAAGAAAGAATAAATAAGCTACTTAAGCAGAAAATGTTCCTAAGTTTAAAAAATTTAACACCTTAATGGGATAAATGAAAGGAAGCAGGTGATTTTCTTCCACTTTTTCAAAAAGAGGTATTATACTACTCACCGAATCCAGTGTGAACGTGCATTGCCATCTGACTGCCAGTATGATGATGTTTCTCCATTTGTCATTTTTTCAATGTCTGCAGGGTTGGAGGATGTTTCAACATAAGCATAGCACTTGGCTACTGTCTTGAGTTTGTCCATCTCTGGGCTTCTAGTGAGATCTCCAGGGCTTTCTGTAGAGGAAATCAGATTTTATTATATGACATCTCTCTATTGCTGGAGCAATAGCACAGGAGGTAGGGCGTTTGCCTTGCATGCAGCCAACATGGCCGACCTGAGTTTGATTCCTCTACCCCTCTCGGAGAGCCCGACAAGCTACTGAGAGTATCTTGCCCACACGGTAGAGCCTGGCAATCTACCCGTGAGGTATTTGATATGCCAAACACAGTAACAACAAAGTCTCACAATGGAGATGTTACTGGGCCTGCTCGAGCAAATTGAATGGAGACGTTACTGGGCCCACTCGAGCAAATCAATGAACAACGGGAGGACAGTGACAATGACATATCTCTCACAGAAGAAAAAATAAAGATTATTTAATAAAAATCTAGCATGGGGATGTAGCTCAGAAGCAGAGCACTTGATCTAGTTGTGTGAAGGCTCGGGGTATAATACCCAGCACTTCAAAACAAACAAAACAAAATAACAAGAATATACTTGGCATTTTAGCAAACAAAAACAAAAAACCAACCAAACTACTATTCCTTAAAATCTAACTTCAGAGAACAACAACAAAAAAAGAAGATATTGCTTAAAGATTGCTTCATGAGCTCATTAGTGTGCTTAAATCAACAATAAATTTACAAACCTAGTTAAGAGAAGAAAACAGTATGGCTTGATTTTAAATTAAAAAATTATGGGGGGCAAGAGTGATAGTACAGTGGGAAGGGCGCTTGCCTTTCATGTGGTCAACCGGGTTTGACCCCGACATTCCATATGGTCCCCCAAGTACCACCAGGAGTAATTCCTCTGTGCAAAGTCAGGAATAAGCCAAGCACTACAAAGCTATTTAATTACTTCTTTGTAAGTCATTTTTTTTGAGTTTTATTCTGTTCCTAGTGGGTCAATAGTTTTCTATCAACATATATTTAAGTACACTATATAACATATACATACATGTAATATGTAATATTTACTGAGTATTTTCTGAGTCAAATTACTTCTCATACATTCTAAGTATGAATTCACTTTGAGATAAGTATGACAGAGAGTGTCAAATCGATGAACAATGGGAGAACAGTGTTTTTGTTTGATTTATTTTATACTTTGTTGCATGTCTTGCTGAGAAAGACTTCTCCAGATCAGAATTTTTATAAAGAAAATGACTTTATTTCAGTATTCTTAACAGCTTTTGTTTTGTGAGACTGGAGAGATAATACACAGGTAGGATGTTTGCTTTATATACACCTGACCTGAGTTCGATTCCCAGAACCCCATATGGTCCTCTCGGTCCACCAGAAATGATACCTGAGCATAGAGCCAGAAGTCCTGAGTACAGCCAGGTATAGTCCAACTCCCCGCTCAAAACAAAGTTTTTTTGTTGTTGTTTTGAGGGCCACACCTGGTAGTATTCAGGTGCTACTCTCAGCTCTGTACTTGAGTGAGGGTCACTCCTGCCAGTACTCAGAGCACCATGCACTACCAGAGATTAAACCCAGGTTTCCTGAATAGCCCTTGACGCTATTCCTCCAGTCCAACAGTTTTCTTTTTAATTGAACTTTTATTCAACAAAAATTTATTTTAGGGGCTGGAGCAACAGCACAGTGGGTAGGGTGTTTGTCTTGCATGCGGCCGACCCGGGTTCGATTCCCAACATCCCTATGTCCTCTGAGCACTGCCAGGAGTAATTCCTGACAGAGTGCATGAGCCAGGAGTAACCCCTGTGCATTGCCAGGTGTGACCTAAAAAGAAAAAAAATTGTTTTATGAGCCCGGCAAGCTACCGAGAGTATCTCGCCCGCACGGCAAAGCCTGGCAAGCTCCCCGTGACGTATTCGATATGCAGACACAGTAACAAGTGTCACAATGGAGACGTTACTGGGCCCGCTCGAGCAAATTGATGAACGATAGATAGGAGGACAGTGACAGTGAGTGGAATGGGCTAATGGTTAGTTTCGTTTTTTCCTTCAAACAGCTATCTGGCCAACCCCTTTAGTTAACTAATTTACTTCTCCAACGGGATTTGTTATGCTCATTATAAGGCACTAAATTTCTACAAGTACTTTGGTCTCTTACGTTCCACACACGTATTTACTCACATTACCAACTTCTATTGCTGACACTGAGCCAATAGCGGCTTCCCTAGGTCACTTACAAACCAAAGTATCTACTATGTGTCAAGCATAATTCTGGGTGCTAAGTATGTAACTAAGACAAAATGCAAGTAAAGGGCTGGAGAGACCAGGGTAGGGTACCTGAACTGCATACAGCCAACCTTGGTTTGATTCCCAGCACCATGTATGATTCCCCAAGTACCAACAGGAGTGATCATAAGCACAGATCCAGGAGCAAGCTCTGAGCACTGACAGATGTGCCCCTCTACATTCCTTCCCCCAGCCCCAAAATAGTGTAACAACGTCAGATAATGATAAATTTAAATATAAGAGTGAAGAGAGGTAGGGAGCTGTCAGGATTGCAGGAATATATAGTAAAGGAGAAAGTCCTCTATGAAGTCACAACTCAATAGAGATCTTAATCATGAAAAACTCGTTATGCTAAAATTAGGAAAGGAAAGGAAATGGGGTAGGAGTGAACAGAAAAGAGGGAGAGGTAAAGGGGGAGAGAGAGGGCATGAAAGAGAGGGAAGAGGAAAACAACAGAGGGAGAAAAGAAAATGACATGGTAGCACTTTCCAGATACCCCCAATCCCAAATACATTGATACATACCTTTTTCTTTTTGTACTAGTTGATCCAGAGACTCCTTTAGAACAGAAGCCCTCATGGTGCACATATTGCCACAGTGGTCCAGCAAGGGGTAGGGGATAGCCGTGCCGGAGGCCCGATTGCGATGCAGGAAGCGCAGAATCACTGATGAATGTACTTCCAAACTCCCCTTTGACTCTGCAAATATATCTGTAAAACCTAAACACAACATCTACTTTTGGTATTTGGGTAAATAAACCAAAATCATTTTCGTATCTCTTACCTGGTCTGAACTGGCTGAATTAAAAGCAGACACTAATAATCTTCCTGTCAGTTTTTAGGTTTAATTATAAAATAAGCAAGTTTTTAAGAAATGAGTCAATGGTGCCAGGGGTGCAGCTCCATGGCAGAAGGCATGCTTCACAGTTATTTCTATATGTACAGCCAGGAGTAACCCCTGAGCATCACTAGGTGTAGCCCAAAACAAAAGCAAAATTAAAAAATTGGGGGGCACTGGAACGATGATACAGTGGGTAGGGCATTCGCCTTGCATGTGGCTGATCCGGATTCAATCCCCAGCATCTCATATGGTACCCAGAGCACTGTCAGGAGTAACTCCTGAGTACAAACCCAGAAGTAACCCCCAAGTATTGCTCGGTGTGACCCAAAAAACAAAAAAGAAAGCATGCTTTAGATGCATGAGATCTTGAATTTCATCCCTAGCAACACAAAAAAAAATGAACCAGGGGCTGGACCAATAGCACAGTGAGTAGAGCGTTTGCCTTGCACGTGGCCAACCCAGGTTCGATTCCCAACATCCCATATGGTCCCCTGAGCACTGCCAGGGGTAATTCCTGAGTGCAGAGTCAGGAGTAACCCCTGTGCATCGCCAGGTGTAACCCAAAAAGCCAAAAAAAAAAAAAAAGAATGATAAGCTCAACTTAATGTTTAATTTAATTTTAGAATTATCGAATTTTAGAAGGCTTAGAATGATCATTTACTTCAAGCTTTAAAAATGTACAAGCTTGAACTGAAAGGCTTTGTGACTATTCAACAACAACAAAAAAATGTACAAACACAGGGGGCTGAAGTGATAGCACAGTGGTTGGGTGTTTGCCTTGCAGGCAGCCAACCTGGGTTCGATTCCCAGCATCCTATATGGTCCCCCGAGCACCGCCAGGAGTAATACCTGAGTGTCTGAACCAGGAGGAGTAAACCCTGTGTATCGCTGGGTGTGACCCAAAAACACACACACACACACACACACACACACACACACACACAAAGGTACAAGCACTTACATTCTAATTAGAAGCTAAAACACAAGTATTATGTTTGGAATATGGGTTAGACAAAAATTCATTACATTAGCAAATAAAGCATAACTACCTTTTTTTTTTAGATAGTAGCATGCATACAGTGACAATGATCATAAGACCTCTACACACATCACAATTTCAGACAGCATTTTAAAGTTTATAAAGTACTTCCACATACATGATTTCCACACATATGATAAAGTGGTTTGGGAGAGCAGGGACTAGACAACATAGGTACTGGAATACTTATTTACAACTGAGGAAAATGAGGCTCACCAATAACTGTATGATTATTTTTGTTCTGCTTTCTTTTGGGGTCATACCTGTAGGATATGGGGGCTACACGAAGCTTAGTAGTGGAGGTAGAGGAGATGCTTCTAGCTGGGTAGAAAAAAACATGGTGCTGGGGCTCAAAACTGGGGTTCCTGCAGGTAAAGTATGAACTTCAGACTACAGAGCTAGCTCCTCTGCCCTAACATAATTTTTTTAAACTGGGCTTGAAAGAAAAACTGCTGAGCAGGAGAGAGATAATTTTATGGGTTAAGGTACTTGCCTTGAATGTAGTCAACCTGGTAGAATCCTTGAGCAGAGACCCAGGTGTAAGCCCTAAGTACCATCAGGTGTGGCTCAAAAATCTAGCCTCCCAGAAAAACAAACAAAAAACTAAAGACTAGGGATGTGATTCAGCAATAAAACACTTGCCCTACAAATGTGAGGCTCTAGGATTAATTCCTCAGCACCACACATACAAAAGAAACAAACCAAGACTGGGAATATAACTCAAGTGATAGGGTCATTAAGTTTTTCCCTATGTACTAGATACAAGAAATATTGCTGGGTCACAGCAATAATACAGTGGGTAGGGCACTTGTCTTGCACTCAGTCAACACAGGTTCAATCCTCAGCACCCCATTTGATAGCCTAGCCTTACCAGGAGTGATCCCTGAGCTCAGAGCCAGAAGTAAAGAAGTAAGCCGTATTCACTGACAGGTGTGGTGTCGCCAAACCCCCAATAGAAATATTGCTTAATTTAAAGCCATTTTTAACTTAAATTTCAGAGTGGTAACTTTCTTTTTTCTTTATTTTTTGGCGGGGGGGGGGGGGCATAGGGGTTTTGGCTACACCCAATGATGCTCAGGGGTTTTTCCTGGCTCTGCACTTAGAAATCACTTCTGTCTGGGTTCGAGGCACCATATGGGATGCGAGGAATCGAACTTGGGTTGGCTGTGTGCAAGGAAATTGACTTGCCCACTGCACTCTCTCTCCAGTCCCCAGAGTGATAACTTTCTAAAGGAAAAAAACAAAACCAAAAAAATATCCCAAAGAAATAGGGGGTCAAAGAAATAGCACAAGAACTAAGGCAACTGTCTTGCATAAAATAATTTTCTGCCCTTGTGGAACTGACATTATAAGGTTGAAGACATTTAACAAACAATCCAGTAAAAAAATAACTGCAACACCAGTATGTTGAAAAAGAAATGCAGGCTCTAAGAAATCTAATCTAAGAAAACATAGACACTAAGGAAAGCTTCCTGAGAAAGTAAAATAAAGAGTTCCATGAAGGAAAGCAGCCTTATGATAAAGGTTCAAAAAATGATAGAACTACTCAGTCACCCTTATACTGGGCAAAAGAATGGTTATCCCAAACACCAATTCATATAAAGCACTAATGAAGACTATGACAGAAGCACATTTATTTCTTAATGACAGGAGCTTGCCTAATTACAACTTTTAGCATGGCAAAGTTCGTTTGACGTGGAGAGCATTCTTTCACATTCTGCAATCATATCAGAGATTTACCAGGAACAAGAGAACAGGCCTGCAGCTGTCTGATGATGTGGCTCAGCTCTCCCTGAAGATTTGCTCCACTGGAATTCTTCAGAGCCTCCAACATGTTCTCAGCGTCAACTGTACCATCACCCTCTGCATCAAACTGAGCAAAAGCCTACAAGGTAAGACAAGCAAGAAAACTGGTTATTGTTGTTTTGGGAAGAATTTATACACATAATTCAAAGAACAAGTTCAAAAGAGTAACTCATTATGCTTTATAAAATGCATGTATTTATTACCACATTCAAATATAATTTTATCAATCAACTCATCTCATTTTCAAAAGCAAATTTTCAAAATAAGAAACCATTGGTCCAGGCAGATAGTCCAGTGGGTAAGGTGCTTGCCTTATACACATATGACCCAGTTCAATCCCTGGCAACAAATATACTGCCCCAAGCTTGCCAAGAGTGATCCCTGAGTGCAGAGCTAGGAGTAACCCCTGAGCACAGCCTGCTGTCCTCAACCCCTCCAACCTCCCCTCATCCCAAAAGAAAGCAATCACTACAATTTCTGTTTGTTTTGTTTTGGGGCTACACCTGGCGGTGCTCAGGGTTTACTCCTGGTGGTACTTGGAGGACCATATTTACTGTCTGGGATTGAGCCCAAATGCAAGGAAAATGTTCATCTTGGGCCTATAATTTTTTTTAAATGATTGCAAAGTGTCACACAGGAAAATTAGGAGGAACTGACTTAGCAAGTAGTGCCAAAGGCTTAGCTGAACTTTTTCATTTAAATACTCTTAACAGAAAAGTTAACTTGGTTTACCTACATTATAGCCTTGTTCTCAGCAACTTTTAACCACAAAATCACTGCTCTCTTTCCATACTAGGCCATCTTGGTAACCAGGTACAGTTGGGGGTGGGGTATGAATCCTGCTCTTGGTCACTAATCAACTATATGACTACATTCATTGCTTTACTGCAATGACCTAAGCTTCTTGATTTGAAAGAGGAAGCCAATATTACTAAATTCACAGGCAACACTGTCATCTAGGGAGGATGGCAGATGCTAAGTGAGGAAGGAAGTGTAGAGAATGAGAAGCAATCAGGCCAAGAACACCAGAGAAGGGAACACTGCAGGAACACTTTGCACTGTTACTGCGTTTTCATATTCTGGGGTCTGTTTATGTGATTTTTTTTAATGGGGGCAAGATTTGGGGTTATATCTAGTGGTATTTAGGAGCTACTCCTGACATGGTGCTAAAGGGTGTGGTTGGTGGGGACTGGGTGGGAGTCACTTCCAACAGTGTTGTAGGGAACTATACCATGTCAGGGATCAAGTCGGGCCACCAGCAAGCAGCACCCCAGCCTTTCAGCGATCTCCCTGATCCTATTCACATGTTACTATTCAAACACTGTCTTCACTTACCATTGCTCTCCCTTTTAGGTACACGAAGACAAAATGATAAAGGGGGTGGGAGTGCTCTAAAGCAGTGTTCAGGGCCCTTGGCCACTTGAGATTGTACGGTGGTGTCACTACAACACACAGTTCAGTGCTTGGGCTCAATGGTATGGTGCAGCGTGGTGTGGGGCCCAACTTGGGATCAAACTCAGGCCTCTGCATGCAAAGCATATGCTTCAGCCGTTTGGACCATCTCCCCGATTCTAAAAGACTTTTTTTTTTAATCATAAAGGGAAAGAAAACAGGAAACAATGATACAGCTTTCGAATATTGGAAACTAGGGAAGCAGAAGAATGAGTAGTAGTGAATCAGGTAGCTCAAGAAAGTAGAGACCTGGGGACAGGAGAGATGGCTCATAGGGCTAGAGACCTAGATTCAGTCCCCAGTACCAAGTGATTCCCAAGCAGCAAACCAGGAGTAGTTGGATATGAAGTGATAATAAGGCAATTTGCATGCACCTAGCGAGGTTATATTCCCAGCACCATATATGGTGCCCCAGTCCCACCACAGGTGATCCCTAGAACAGAGCCAGGAGTAAGCCCTCAGCACTGCCAGGTCTGGCCCAATAAAAAGTGAAAAAAAAAAAGGGGGGTGGGGGAGGCTGGAGCAATAGCACAGTGGGTAGTTTGCCTTGCACGCAGCTGACCCGGGTTCGATTCCCAGCATCCCATATGGTCCCCTGAGCACTGCCAGGAGTAATTCCTGAGTGCATGAGCCAGAAGAAACCCCTGTGTATCGCCAGGTGTGACCCAAAAAGAAAAAAAAAAAGTGAAGGCGATTGGCGAAGTTTTTATTTTATTTTGGCAAAAGTCTTATGGTCTATACCCAATATTACTCTAGGGTTACTCTTGGCATGGTGCTTGAGGAACCATTTAGTGGCTGGAGATCAAACGTGGGATTCCCACTTGCAAAGCATGTGGAGCTTTGAGCCATCCCCCATCCATGAACAATCTATTTTGATGGTAGGGGCAGAGAGGTTGGGCCACACACCCAGGAATGTATAAATGTTACTCCTGGCACTGTGCTCAGGGAGCTGCTCCTGACTGCCCAGGGGACTAAAAGTAGCGCAGGAGATCAAACCAGTAGTGAGCTACATGCTAGGTATTTGAGAGAGAAAGTAAATGGAACTTTAACCTCTATACTACTTCTCCAGCCCATGGACAATCTATTTAAAAAAGTTAGTGAGGTGGGCTAGAGCAATAGCACAGCAGATAGGGCTTTTGCCTTGCACGCAGTCAACACTGGTTTGATCCCTGACTGGAGAGCCAGGAGTAACCCCTGAGCACTTCTAGGTGTGGCTCCCCATTCTCCCCCAAAAGTGAGGGAGCCAGAGAGATAGAACAGGGGTTAAAGCACTTGCCATTACACAGCCAACCTGAGTCAGACCCCTGGCAGCACATACGGGGTCCTGAGCATGGCTAGGAGTGACCTCATAGCACACAGCTAGGAGTTAAGCCCTTAGCACTGCTGACTGTGGCCCCAAACCAAAAAGAAGTTAGTGGGTTAGGGAGATGCCCCAGTGGGAGAGTACACGCTTAGCATCTATGAGGCACTGCATCTGATCCCTGGAATCATACACTCCAGCCCCCAACACCACCAAATCTAGTGTCCTGGTAGCCCTTGGGCTCCTCTGGTACTGAGCACTGGCAGAACCAGGCTCAGCATCATGTGAATCATTAGGCCTCCACTGCTAGGCCAAGGACTGGAGGGAGCAGTCTCAGGATCCCCCAAGACTGTCATAGGATGACCCCTATAAAAATATACTTTTTAAAAAAGCAGTTAGAATCAACTGGACAAATGTGGTGCCAGAGAAGAAAATGATTTTCCTGCATGAAAATCATGCACTCTAGCCCTCTGAGTTATCACTCTGGCCCAAAAGTCATTCGCAAGAGAAAGCAAATGGAACTTAGATTAAATACAGCCGTCTACCGTTGAAAATAGTAATGTGAGAATTCATTACATTCCTATCTCTACTGTCTCATGGTTAAAACTTTCCACTAATAGGAGCTCGATAGTTTAACAGTTTGGATCACATTCTTTGCACACAGGAGGTCTGGGTTCAATCCTTGGTACAGTACGATCCCCCCAAGTACAGCAATTCCTGAGCACCAGGTTGGAAGGAACTCCTAAGAACTGCCAGATGTGGCTCAAAACCAAAACCAAAACCAAATTTCTACTAAGAAAAAACAAAATGCTCAAACCCCAGAAATCTTTCTCCAATCTTTCTGGCTTTGGTTTTGAGGCCAATCCAGTGGTACTCAGGGCTCACTACTGACTCTGTGCTCACGGATCACTTCTGGTGGGACTCAGGAAACCATATGGAGTGCCGGAAATTGAATCTGGGTCAGTTGTGTGCAAAGCAAACAGCCCACCAGCTGTATTATGGCTCCAGTCCCTCTACTTGTACAGAAGGCTGGGGTTGAATTCCCCAGAGAGAGTCGTATAGAGTCTCTAGACTAGGAATTATCAGGTCCAGTATGGCTAAAAGTATAAAAATTTAAATAGAGAAGGTAAGAGTCCAGGGATTGCTTAGTGGAAAAAAAATGTTTGTCTTGTAAGAATGAGCCCTTGTATTTGATTCCTGATGCTGCCCACATGGACAGGGCACAATCCCAGTGGTTCTGCTGTTTAGGATCCCTTTCGCTACCACAATATACAATCTCCAGAGCACAGTCAGATGTGTGCAAGGACAAATGGAGTGTGCCCCCCCAACACACACACACACACACACACACACACACACACAGATTCTGGCAGGCTGAGGGTGTGAGCACTGTAATAAGATGCATGACTCAGGAGAGCAGCACAGCCAAGAGTAGAAAACCATGTGTAAGACTCCTAGTCACTGCAACAAAGACAATGGGAAGAAAAGGGTAAGTTTTAATTTAAAAAAGAAACTAGGCAGAGGGATAAGGACTCTCCTTTTCCCTGGAATCCCCAGAATGCTGACAATCAGCTTACACCCTCCAGGCAAGAGACTAGAAGAATCTTCTCTTGAGAAAAGATCTCTAGATTCTGGCAGCCACTGGGAACTCCTACCCCCACAAAATGGCTTTTCTCTCAGTAAGGCTCATTTACCAAAAAGGTGGACACGAAGAGCACCCTCCTTTTAAATCCCTGCTTCTTTAACACTAGTGGACAGTCCAGGCCCACCAGATAATTGAGGAGAAACTTAGTGTGAACGAGAAAAAAACAACCTGGAGAAAATTCTATGAAAGAAGACAAAAATTTCAAAAGGGTTGTAATTTGATAATATATTCAGGGCTATCATTTACATAAATATATTTTAAACTATTATCAGTTTGACTGAGGTGTGATCTACCTGTTATAAAATTCACCCTTTTAAGTAAACAATCCAGGGGATTTTAGCATACTCAGACTTATATAACCACCATCACCACAACCTAATTAAAAAAGATACTGCAATAATGACAGAAAAGCAAATTACTAATTTTAAAAATAGGCTATTCGGGGCCAAGGAAGTAACTCAACACTAGTGTACTTGTCTTACATATGTGAGGCCCTCAATTAGAGCCCCCAATACCAAAAAAGGAAAAATTCAACAACGAAACACTAAACATAGACTGTTAAGAAAAATTTTATACAGTCTTAAAAATTGAAATCACGGGGAACATAGAGATAGTCCTGCTGGTACAGTACTTGCTTTGGGCACGTCCAACCAATGTTCATTGCCCAAGCACCACATATGAT